GCAATCGAGTTTGGTCTTTTCCCCAAGAAAATTGATGTATAAATAAACGTAATTGACATCTTTTGACCAAAAATATTTTGGGCACAAAAAATGCATATGGATCACTTCTTGGGCATCAAGGAATAGTGTTCAGTTTGTTCCACAACAGAATTGATGCCTAAATAACGATTTTGGACAACAACGTGATGAATGCGAAAGTTAATTTTTGATCGAGTTTTTGAAAGTTGCACATCTAGAACGCTTAAGCTTTCATATAGCAAAAACACGAAGTCGATACGTGGTCAAGTGACTGAGGGACGATAGACGGAAAAGTGAGGACAAAAGCGCTCCACTTTGGGGGGGGGGGGGGCGCTAAAAACTCCCTACAGTGTCCGCGCTTACGGCACTGGGACGGGGGACCAGAAGCCGGCATGTAGTCAGGGGTAGTAGCCCACCTAGAAGGTGATCTTGCCCTCACTGGAAAGTATGGTTAATTGTTTTATGGTCCGTTTCCAAAATACAAAATGTACATCTACCCGTCTCAACATACTACTTGCATACAAATTACTATTAGACTCGAGTCGTTAAATGCCAGAAAGACACAAAACCTTCCCCATACAACTTTAATCTCGAATTTAATAGAACAATATTGTAAAAACAGCGATTAGTTTCGACCAACGGCCATTTTCTGGCTATAAAATCTGTTACAGATTTATGAAATTTATAGGTTTAAAATACATACCTCGATTATATACAACCCCATTTTGAGTTACTTCACACCATGGATATCTCCCATACAATTAGACTGTTAATAGAACATGGCAACAAAAACATTTGAAATACCACAAAACTTACAACCCTCACAACAGACGGACTATTGTGTAAAAGATGGCATTCGTAGAAAAATTACAATTTCTGAAAAAGAAAAGGGTTCACTTTTATATGTACTTAAAGGGTGGCTTATGGGCACTGTAAACTAAATCAAACGAGCAAACAACAATATTCGATGTACATAGCGATCAAAAATGATTGACCGTCGAATCATCTTTGGAATTTTTCGAGAAATTTTTGTTTACATGAGAAATCGTACTTAACCTGAACTTCCAAAGGCGACTCGACAGTCACTCATTTTTGATCGCCCGATACTTCAAAGAGTACAGCACTCACTTTATTTTAAAAAGCATCAAAAAATGGTAAGTGTAGAAAAACCGAAGAAAAAACGTTTCCCACCATAAAGTTTATTATTTTCCGCTGTAGAATAAGAACACTTGACACTTAAGCAACAGTTATCTGAAAATGTCTCGGAAAATGTGCATAGCATCATTAAATGGGCCTCTCCATATGACGAGTATTTTATGTAAGTAAATCATTTTCTGATATCAACTGTCTCAAAAATTAAATTTTATTTTAGGAGCACAGACTGTTCAACCCATGTATGTGTAACTAGTCATTTACAGCTTGTGGATCCTGTAAACAATATCCTCGAGGCTCGACAATATCAAACAAAAAATGTACAATTTATGAACCGGGGAGGGCGAGGGGACGGGCTTTACTTTTATGCGCATCTAAACGATGGTTTGTGAATCCTGTTACAAATATCAAACAACGAAAGAAAGGCCTCGTTCATTCCAGACCTATTATTGCAGCTGCATCTTGAGAACCGAAGGTATCAATAGGTTCAATGGATGCCGCTCGCGGCATCTTGGTTAACGGAGGTCCGCACCCTGGCGGGACATGTTCTTGAATAAAGACATTATTTCAATATACTAACACTAGAACCGAGACTAAAACATGCACGAATTAAGCCCCCCGACCCCGACGGTGACATTACAATTGATATGGTACTGGCTACGTCCAGTTTGAATTTCATGCAATTCGGTTCATAAATAGCCGAGATGACAATTAATAAGGCACTGTGAATGTTGAATCGACGAGGATCAACTTTTGGCAATGCTAAAGCTATGCTCAGTTCGAATTTCATGCCATTCGGTTCATAACGAACGGAGCCTTCCTTATTTTTTGGCCTACATTGCCAATTCACGAACTCCGATCTACAAATTTGATAAAGAATCCGCCTGTAAAATTTCAGCGTAATCGGTCTATCCGTTTTCTTTTAAATCGATGGACATGAAGTCATTGACCGAGCGAGCGAGCGAGCGGACGGACGGACGAGCGATCGGGCGATTAGGAAAAAGCTTAAGCGTCTCGCTTAACAGCTCGACGCTAAAATTGTTGAGTACAACTCACACTCACACACACGCATTATGTAAAAGTTCATTTTATTAAAAAAATTGAAATTTTTGAAACAAAGAAGAGATCGCTTACATGTGCCCTGAAAATGGTGATTTGTAGGCCCCGTCGAGGCCCTGTAAACAAAATCCAAAATGGTTTATGTTCATTTTAAGGGTGGTGAACAAATTCAAACAAAGATACAAAAATATTTAAAGTACCACACAAACTACATCCGGGGATACATGCTTCACAATTAGTGTTGTAAATTCCCGTCATTTATTTATTGTTGCGAAAATTCGGGCACTTTCGTGAATATTCGGGAATGTTCTAGAATGTTCGGTATATTTTGCAAAATATACTATACTATTTTTTTAAGAATAAAACGCATCTGAGTATTAAATTCTTATTTAACATACCTAAAAAAGAAAAACTTTTCACTCTCTGTTCATATGCCACGAGATATGCCATAACAAATATTGCACCTTCCAAACAAAACTTTAAAAATTCAGAAAAATTAAAGAAAACTCGGGGGTTGGCCGATTAAAAACTAGTATAAACTGGAAACTTCGGAGGAATGTTCTTGTAAAGTTCTGGAAATACTCGCTTAAATGCCCGGTGCGCAAATAGGTATTCGTTAGCAATGCGAATAGTCCCGAACATTTCCGGAAATATTGCAAAATTCGTTTGGAAATATTCGCATTTCGATACTTTTGTGGAAGTGTAGATCAGTGACTGCCAACGCGACCCAGGTGGACCCCACGGGAAACTGATCAAAATCAGCCATATCCTATTAAACCAAAGATTTTTTTTCTTTACAGGTAGATAACTAATAAAAAACATGATGGCTTGCTTATATCAAAATATGGCAAACCCTCGGGAAAACCACCACACCGTCGGAGAACAGTTAAATTACTCGGTGTTGAAGAGGTAAAAATGACTCTGCACAAAAACAAAGACCTCGAGAAAGACCTACCTATTGATGAAATGAGCTATGATACTGAAAGCTTCTTGTCAGTAATGCAAACAACTCATTTTTCTATTCAACTGGACACATCCATTTTACCTGGAAACTCGCCTGGAAATGAAGCATTCTTATTGGCACATGTGAGTGCCCATTCGCAAACACTTTGGAGACGGACAGTAAAGGCGAATCAATATTTAATGTCCTGAGTGAGTCTTTTAAGGAACAATCGAGATTTGCATTTACAAACATTATTTCGGTGGCCGTAGATGAAGCTCTGGCCACGATATCATGAACGTGATCATGGATTTACACGCCATCTTAAAAGAATTAGACCAGGAATAACACTGCAATTCACTGTGTCATCAATGACAACACTTGGTAGCGAAAATGTTAGTGCGAGTGTTAGTGATAAATACACCATCCGCTTCAATTTGTGAATAAGAAGCAATTCGCTGAATATCCGAAAATGATGAAGACTTCTAAAGCCGGCCCGTGGGGCGCAGTTCAGTTGAAGCTGGACTGTGGTGCTAAGGGTCCCTGGTTCGAATCCGGCTTCGGGCATGGATATTTGTAAATGATGTAGAGTGGGTTGGGTTGGTAGAGCAGCCTCGGCTGAAACCCCGCCCACTCAAAAATACAGGCAAAATAAAATAAAAATTCTAACTCTAACTCCTAACGATTAATCTTCCATAGTAAGCTGAAGTCTGGGTATCGAAATTGTACTTACTATTGCAATCAGTTTTGCGTTTCTGGGATAAAAGTAGTCAAATCAGAAGCAGACATCGCGTACTTGCCAGATTTCTTCAAAAAACAATAAATGATATTAACTTGCAGTTACGAGGGGATACCTACTCTCGGGGACATAATAAAAACAAAGAGCGTGATTTCGGATTTTCTGGAAAAGTGAGAATTATGAAGCAAAATATTTGTCGGTACCAATCCTCCCAGTTTCCAACTAGGCAGGGTGTCTTTATGAATGATATTTGGGATATTCTGAAATCCCTGTTCTGGTTATGAAGCCTAGCCAGGACTCGGGAAGTCAATTCATCCGCGGCACTGATTGGCAGACAATTGGCGCTGAAGATCAAAAATGCCGCTTTTATGTATATTATTATTTTGGGGGTCAAAGAACATCAGGTTCCCTCAGGCTAATTTGTCTCAATCGGAGAAGCCTTTGCCCTTTATCGGAAATGTGTTCAAGGTCGCATTTTTGTAGTTAATGGTATCCTGTCAAAGTTTCACTCAAATCAGGGTGGCTGCATCCGACAATGAAATGAGGTAATGATTTACTAATGACTAGTGCACCAATATTTTATTGGTAATTGTAAACACAAAGAGAGCCGTAAAATGAAATAATATGCCTATTGACGTAAGAAAAAACTGGTTTCTCCAATTTAATAAATTATCTGGTAGATCGTACACCTCACAATACCTAATTAGGTGGGTTGCTATCGTTTTAAAAAAATTATAGAGGAAACGACAAGTGTTATCAAAGAAAATTATCACAAACACTACGGAAATATAAAGAAATATAGTTCAATGACAGCCGAACTTTCCATATTTTCTCGAAAATGCCCAATTTTTAAACAATGCCGATTTTTTATACTCGAAAGATTATTGCGCAGACGGTTCCTAAATGCAATTCAATTTTTAAATCCTCTCTCCACTTTTAATTAAGCAATTTATGTAAGATGCAAAGTAATTGTTTTGTTATTGTTATTATTATATAAATGTCTGTTGTAAAAGTCACGCTTGGGAAAATTACCCAAAAAAGCAGTTGTAGTCAGTCGGTTTCGAAATTGTAAATAAATAAATAAATACTCACCAAGTTTACATAAAATGTAGGTAGGTATCCAAACACAAACGTTAAATTGGAAATAGATACATGTCACTCTCCACAGGCCGTGTATCTTGCACTAACACATATTTCTTATCAGATTACTTATCAACTATTTACCTACAGGATGCTTCTTATATATAAACACAGAAATACGCAAACGGCTGACTTTTTATTTCAATAAACAATTGACACGCGATATTCCATTAATAACTTATCATATGTTAATGAAAGAGAAGAAACTAGTTCTTCCACTCTCTTACTTTTGCACTTCTAAAGAATAAAGATATAAAATCCCCACTATTATTGTTATCGTAAAGAAAATATAATTAAATATGAATGGCGTATGCTCTCCTTATTTGTTTCATTGCACTTCACCATTATAAAGGATGGTAAACGTGCAGCTGCCGTAACAAAAAAAAAAGATGTCTCAAGGAAATGTTTTGAAAAAAGGCAGTTATCTTAGTAACGTTGCTTAGTACATATTTGTGTTACGTTATTAAAACATAGATGGCTCTCCCAACGCATCACGAAATATATGATCACGAACAAATTTCTGCACGTGTGCTCCTAAAGATACTTTGTGGCGAAGAAAAATATACATTTTATGTGCGTGCACGTTGTATATAATCCTCTCATAGGCCACACACAATACATTCAGGTTGTATAATCATAATGAGTGGTTTGGAATTGGAACCTAACGAATCAAAGGTCTTTCTTTAGTATTCAATAAAGAATCAAGGAAAGGAGAACCAATCCTTCAGCGTCCTGAGGGTGACCATCAATTGCACCCTTCGTTTCCCCCTCGGTACTAAGGGTTGAATAAACGGAATCCACAAAATGTGTTGCTAGCGAGTGTATAATTTTGCGGTATCTGTCCGTCCGTCCGTTAGCACGATATCTCAATAACGAATTTATATATTTTTTTTAAATTTATTTATTATCCCTCTTTTCAACAGGCTTGCTCCCAATTACGGAGTGACCCTCATAATGCTTTTTTTTAGAGGTGCCTCTGCAGAAGGTCTTAAGTATGTTCTATACTACTCCGGTATTTACCTTACAAATTAGGAAAACCTAATTCGGAGTAGCCGGCAGAATGCTCAAAACTGGTCTAAGGCATAGAGGAATTGTATTTATTCTATGTCTAAGGTAATTCCCATCTCTGCCACAGATGAAACATTCACCTCAATGCTCAATCCATGCAGGTTCGAACACCCGACCTCCGGATTTATAGTCCATCGCTCTACCATTGAACCACAAAGTCAAAAAATAAGGAAGACCCTTTTGACATCGTTATTAGTTATGAACCGAATTGCATGAAATTCAATTTGGGCATAGCTCTATAACCATATAATACACAATTCCAAAAGTTGAGTCTAATCGATTCAAGATTCAGAGTGCCCTTTTTTCGCATCTCTACCATTTATGGTTTTCAAAAGTACCTATACTAAAAATACACAAATAAAATGTCGATCCTTACAAACCTGAAAGGTTTAAGAGGTATAATTTTTTGGACATAACAGTGCCTCAATTTTTTAGCACAATGATTCACGTTACCCACTTCTTTGAGGTAAAATAAACCACCCGTACTAAAATCTCCTTTTTTCTGTTCTTTTATAAACTTAGGTACCGAATATTTCGTGTGAAAAGTCTTTGTTAACATTTGACATAAAAAAAACTAATAATATAACAGGGTGTATAGATAAAAATTAAAGTAAATAAATAATTTCATTCCTAAGTATAAATTATTTAAAAATCCCCATACTGGCTGCGTTTCCCCTTTGATTAGCCAAGCTGATTCGCTGTTTGAGGTAGCACTTCGGTCTAGATCCACCTGTTGTATGATAGTAGATGATATGGGGTCTCCTCAGAATCCCAGGGCTCCAGTGTAAAGTAGTTTTTTCGTATATTGATCTGGCCTGTCGGCATGTGAGCCCTTTTGTTTAGCAGTTCTAGCCATGGGCTTTTACATTTACTGGTTTCTGTGTTAGAACTTCTATTTTGATCAAATTTGCCCTGAACAGTTTAGATATTTATTAAGTTTTTACTTCTTGTCATTGCCCCTCACTATTTGCATAGAAAGATTTTTATTGAGCTCAAACCCAGAGTTGAGTTAAACTCAAAAATTACGCTATTACGGCACTTTCTCCGTGCGTCCGTCGACGCCTAGTTATATTTCTCTCCTTTTTACAATTGGTAGCTAGCTCTGCGCTCAACCAATAAAAAAAAACTTGACGATTAATGTGCGCATGCGCAGGACTGCAATGTCAAGTTTCTTATTTAATGTTTTTTATTTTTTGAAATTTTAGTCACATATGCTTCTAGGGTATGCTGTGCTTCTAGTGCAGACAAGAATATTGCAAAGAACAGCAAGAATGTATTTTTTACAAGTACATTACTGAATTAAAAGGTTTTGTAATTTTTATTTACTTCTTACATAATTTATCACTGGTGCAAAAATTAAACCGCATACAAATTTTACACAAAATTATAATTTAAATAGGGAGATAAAATTATAGCAACCTAAAATTAGATTAAATCAGTCGGACAAGAGGTTAGTGTTTCGATGGCATCATTAAGAGCTCTTTACAGGTATGCACTGAAATTTCTTGTAACGGGACAGTATTGTCCAACTCACTTAGCACACTTAACGATAAATCACCATCATCGACTAGTTTTTCTTCAACATCCAAGCGATTAGTTCCAGCCAATCGTCCCTTATGTTTAATTATACGCGGAGTAGTAGGAAGGTGGCAGTGAATGTTTATGGGTAATTTTAAGGAAGGTTCACTAGTCGACTGAATTTTACGTGGAGGTGCATAGATCACTGATGGGAGAAGATTTTCCCAGTCATTATCGTTGTTTGGCAACTTCTGACTTGGGAACAAATTTTTTTGAGATAACTGCTTTGTGGGAACGTTTTGTATCAGAGGAACGTGTGGTGAATTCTTGATGTAAATGGCGACTGGACTAACAATATCTTTATAGTGTGGAGTTTTTGTAACACATGGGGATTTTTTGACCAAATTCTTTTTGGTCACTATTGGTATCTTGGACAATGGTTTTTTAAAAGAGTCACTTTTATCATTGGAAGTGTTGATTTTCGTCAATGGTGTGGAAGGATGAATAGGTGACATGGTTTCATTTGAATATGTTGCTGCTTCTTTTAGGAACTTCTCCATTTCTTCTATTGTATCATTAAACTTCACGTCTTCTGTACTTGTCGAGCCTAAGTTGGTGAAGCCGCTATCTTTAAGTTCGAACAGTGAACTTTGAGTCGAGTTGAGACTGGTAGTTAGCTGTTCATACGATTCCTCATCATCCGAGATGATTATGACACTATCACTACACAATCGCAGTATTCCGCTTTTATTGTCACAAGTTGTATCTTTTTCGCTATCGCTCACTTGTAAAATTTCTGATATTTGCTGTATATACTTTGAGGATGAGGAGATATTCGGAGATACTACAATAGGTGGATCATGTATAACTTGAACCGACGAATCTAGATCCACATCATCATCACCGTTCGACAAATTCATTTTTGACCACAAGTATAATTCAGGATATTCAAAGAAGATATTTCGTGATGGGTTTAGGTCACTATAAAGCAATATTATTTACAATGTTATTATTAAGTTCATTACCTGATGGAGGCTCTTCTTTGAATAGACTGGGGCGATTTTTTTATAGATAGTGCCTTTTTTATTTCGGTAAGAGTTAGCGGTCCCGAAAAGCTATTAAATTGACATTGTTCTTTTTCCATTTTCTTACTCCTTCATCAACAATTATGATAAATTACGATTTTAAACACCATAAAATTGAACAGAAACGGTTCTTGACTTTGACCGTTATGTTATAATTTTCAAATCACAGAAGGATACGAAAACTAAAAAAAACAGCGTTGTCATGTTTATTTTGTTAAAATATCTAAAGGTGTGTATACAAAATAAGCTGTGACGTAATAAAGACTTGCTTACAGAATTTTTCCTTTAGTGCGGCACTAAACAATGTATGAAAAAAAACCGTGCGGTTGCATGAGCGACTAAAAGTGCTGCAAGTAAACTGTAATGAGAATGGAAAAAATACGCGCAGTTTTATCCAGACCAGATGCATCATTGAGAAAAGAAATCCCCTCCCTACATCAACGTAGATCCAGGGGGGAACCAAATAGTACCTTATTGAACATACGCGGGTACGGGTGCAATAAAAGAGATTCACAATTTACTGGGTTCATAATCACACGTGATATTATACTTTTTAAGAACAATTACACACTTTAAATTTAAAACCACACTTTAACTTATATGTGAATTTAATGTTTATTAAACACCACTAAAAAATTCCAGTTACTCCTAAGACCCCTTATTACCGTCTCAAAAATGTTATCAATTATTATTTATTAATCAAACCCATTAACTTTTAACACATTTGTCCATTTTTTACAAAAATGATGCCTTAACAAATACATACTAAAGTATGTAATCAAAGTAAGTATTGTAATCAAAGAAAACGCCTGCAAGCCTACAAATTTTACAAATTTTCTCAATTTAAATAAAAGCAATAATTTCGCATAGGTATCTAATAATAGCCAACATTCAATTAAGTAAACAATTAAAGACCAACCAGGCACCTGTCGGATAAGCCTTTTTTATAATACACAGTTACGCAAACTAAAATTATGCGTGTTATCACCGCAACATAAAAATAACGAAAGTAGGCTCCAATTTTACTAACTGGCACGGCAACGAAACAATCGTTCGGTTATGAATCATAATAAACACTCTTCATTTTTATATTCAACGCCCTAGGCTTACTTTCTACTTACGCATGCGCGTTCACTTTACGTGATGCGAGCGCATGCGGCATGTTACGCTTTGGCGATTTCCACGTTAAAATGGAATGCGCACGAATTTTGGGTCTTTCTGGGATGTAACCAAACCCAACGAAATATACAAGTTATCATGAAATTTTTAGGCATTAAAATGTACATACTATGAAATTCCCTAGGTTGATCATATTTAGTTACGAAGAAGGGTCGTTCTGTAAATTGTAGGACTTCGTCACGCGGTGTTGCCACATTCTAAAATAACTCTGGAGTTCAGTACCGTGAAGGTAGCGGAGATACGTTTACTTCACTTGACACACGTTGATTTCTTTCACTCGGTGATCTAACCTGTGATATGTTTAATTTTATTGAGGAGAAAAATGTACGATTCTAAATTACCGCAAGAAATTCAGCGAGTGCCTGAATCCATCGATTTTCCGGCCGAAGAAGAAAAGATATTAAAATTATGGGAATCCCTGAACGTATTTCAGACTTGTTTAAAACAATCTAAAGGAAAACCCAGGTAGGCAGGCAAATTTTTAATCCGCTTTACAAGTAACACATATCCTAGGTATTCCTTCTACGATGGCCCACCTTTTGCCACAGGTTTACCACATTACGGTCACATATTAACAGGCACAATCAAGGATATCGTGACAAGGTATGCACATCAGCAAGGATATCACGTGGAGCGTCGCTTCGGTTGGGACTGTCACGGTCTTCCGGTTGAGTTTGAAATTGATAAAACACTCGGCATTAAAGGACCCGAAGATGTGGCCAAAATGGGAATTGCAAACTATAATGCGGAATGTCGCAAGATTGTGACACGTTACGTCACCGAATGGGAAACGATTGTAAATCGTATGGGGCGATGGATAGGTAGGTAAACTGACTGGTGATTGGGATGGAACACTGTTTTAGTAAATTCTAAAAATATTTGACCTCTGATGTGGAGTAGAATAATTTTGGTTAGTAGGTACATAACACTTTTTCATTGCTTTTATACTCTTAATGTAGGATATGGAGGAAAAGATCAAAAGTTATTTCCTGTTGAGATAGTTCTGTAGCTCTTTAAAAATGCTATAGGGAGTTTTTGTTATGAAGCATCCGAACCCGTAGTTGTACTGATTATGTATAGAGTATACATAAATATCTGTTTCATTTTTTTTTAAATATCTTAAAAAACTGATCAAATGCATGAAGTAGATGGCTATAATAGGCAACCAACTTTACTCTCATGTGTTTTAAATGATAAACTGCTGCTATGGAAACAGTAACTGATTATTTAATGTCAAATTAGGGTTAGCTATTAGTTTTTAGTTTTATTATTAACATCAAATGGTGATTTCTTAAGGCTCCTCTGTAGTCAATCCGCCATATTGGAAAAATAGCTAAACTGTCTTATGAAATGCTGCTTTTGTAGTTGAAGTCTAACAAATTCTCGATAGTGGATATTCTTCGCAATGATGAAAAGAACGGCGATACTTAGAAAAGTTGAAATATCGGTCTTAGTTTTTTAGGAAGATCGATGAATAGAAAAATCGTTTTTCGTAAATAACAGCCGTTGTAATGGGCGTAGAAAAACCTACAGCACCAATTTGGAAATCCAACAGTATTTCTTACGGCGGTACTTAAAGATATTATTTCCATCTATTATGATAAGGAATATATTTTAAAAAATATGTTTCGCGATCTTCAGAAAAAAATCAAAACGCTAACGTAAGGATAGGCAACTCAAATTGCACTTATAACGCCTGAGGCGACAACTCATTACTTGAAAGGGAAAACAAAAGAAAGTACCTGGCGTTACCCTACACATTGTTAGCCGTTCCTAATGATATGGATTTGATAAATTACTATTTATTATTTATTTATTTGAATGCTGTTGATTTGTAAATCATAATGTCACATATTCCCAAGACGAAAAATGAATATCCTATTATAGATACATTGGAAATAATTTTTTATTTCTAAAACCTTTTGCACCCAATCAGAATGCTTCAAGAAATAAAAAAAACCCTATAATGAGGCTGTAATAATATTCGGGGCGGGGGGTATGTACAATACTAGGTACTTCACATATTATATCATAAGTAGTGCTGAATATGAACTCTGTTTTATAACAATGCTTTCAAACTACCAGAAGCGTAGCACTTTGTTTAGTTAGATCAAATCAAATATGACTAAATTACACGTTTGTGTATATTTCCCATCTAAAATTATCAGTTTCCTCAGATAGTCCAGTATGCGGAGCAGTCAGAAGGGCAGATTCCTGCAAAATGTGGTGTAAACGATTTTAACGTTTTAAATGGTACACTTGGGTCCAAATAACATGTATTTGAAGAGTGCATACCAATTTTTTCCCGGCACAACTTTTGGCAGCCAAAAAATCTCAACACGTTCGGACTTTTTTTCAGTTTTTCGCTTAAAACTCGAAAACGGTCCATATTTTATGAATAACACTTCTTTAGTAAATTAAAGAAAACAACACTCTGCGTTGATTAAAAAAAAACAAACAAAATCGGTCCAATAGAAAAATTTTTACAAGCGATCAAAAAACGCCCATTTTTTCCAACTTTCTAAAGAACTGAGTTAACCTTTTTTTAATGCGTTGTGGCTCCTAAGGGAACGAAAAAATCCACTACCCCCTCCCCCCCTTCCCTAAAGATTGTAGAACATCAATCAGAGAGTTCAAAAAGTACCAACAATTTAAAATTGGACCAATTTTTGAAATTCGTTTTTTTTTATCGACGCATAATTTTGTTTTCTTTACTAAGTTATTTATAAAATATGGACCGTTTTCGAGTTTTAAGCGAAAAACTAAAAAAATGCCAAAAATGTTGAGGTTTTTTGGCTGCCAAAAGTTGTGCCGGGAAAAAATGTGTGCATACTCTTCAAATACATGTTATTTGGACCCAAATAGACTATTTAAAGAATAAAATCTTTTACACCACCTTTTGCAGGTTAAAATTATCTGCATACTGGACTAGGAGTAAGTCTTCGTGAAAATTATCTATTTCGAGAAATGCGACCAAAAGCAAAAGATGCACATGCCCTTTGCTTTCCATAAAGTTGCGCCCAATAGATAATAAATGACAGATAGTCATTTTGTCAATTATTAGCGGAACATAAACATAGGAAACGTCGTGGTATGTTATATAAAAGAAACGCTACCGATATAAATACAATTCCCCTTTTTAGTTAAATTCCTAAGCGGGATACGATAACTAATGGCCGACAGTGACAATTTTATTTAAAACAAAGTGTCACTGTTTTGCTCATGTAAAGTCTGGTTAGTGAAAGGGGTGGATATAAAAAAATTCTTGCACTTTTAAAAAAATTCGACTGTTTATCTTTCCGTTTGAGAATACCTTTTGATGGAGTCCTACAAACTTCACATCAACTTGATCAATTTTTTTCAAATTTCCAATACTATGTAGCGACAGAAACTGGTAAACCTACTTCTTTTTTTAATATGGACTGATATCAACTTTATCAGCAGGAATATTTGTCTCTCAAAAAATAGGAGGATCAAGTAAATTTTATTTTTACCATTGAATTCAGGGCAAAAAAGTGAAGTCATCTTACCGCACAAAAGATGTTCGGAAAAATTCTCCATGGGTGGTGCATAGATATAAATAAGTAATACGCTAAATGTACAATTGTTATTAATTTTTGAAAAAATTAGGATTTATTTAGATCAGTATAAATGTTATACTTTTAATCATTGTAACAGAATTTTAAATGTCAGCTACCATTTTTATGAAAAACATACAATTTTGTTGTTGTTCGCCCTTGTATATAAGTAAAGAAAAATTTATTTTAGGTGTTCGAAGTGCCGGTTTTTTTTAGGATCTACCATACCTAAGTGAATTCATTCGTGCACATGTACCTAATAACTATAAAAATCTATAAATCTGTAAAAATGATTAGAACAAATCACAAGAAATAAAGGGGTACTTAAAAAATGTTATAACAAACAATGCTAATCTAGTCCACTAATTACCTGAAAACCAGGTAATTTACAGAAGGTGTCATTATAGAAAAATGCAGTAAATGCATTGAATAGTAATTTATTCAATGGTAACAGAAATAGGTATTTGTGCATCTCCAGTCAAATATTGTACAGTTTTTCGATAAACTTGTTTACGTAATTAGTCCTTGATCATTATACATGGTCTATTGTGTTTAACAATAAATGAAGAGAATATGCAAAACTGAGAAGGATGGATACATCGTTAGTTTCACTCAAGGAGATCATGTAGCAGTGTGTATTGTTGGTGGTCTAACCAATTGCAATAACACTGAAATACAAATTGACTACAGAGGAGCCTTAAGAAAAGTTCCCTGTATAGTAAATATAGGAGCAGTACATAGGACCTGCGAGCGGTCAAACCGACCTTCAATGGCCGGGCCATTGTGAAATGTGCGTGGAAGGTGAATTATCTGATATGCTTTGCTCGCAGCCACCTTGTTTGTTGCTTTCATTTTGGATTTGTTTTTGTCTGTCAACAAGGCCAAAGATTTGCCTTATTGCCTTCTGTATAATGGGAAAACCTACTCGGAGGGGGAACACGTCAAGTAAATTCTGTTCTGTTAGTTGGTGACTGCACACACTCGCAGATAGTTCAAATATTTTTGGAATAAAGACTTAAATAGCGTTCCACATGTGTATACTTTCTACATTCTCTCATTTTAGACTTTAAAAACGATTATAAGACACTCTATCCGTGGTATATGGAATCAATTTGGTGGGTGTTTCAGCAATTGCACTTAAAAGGATTGGTATATCAAGGTAATAAAATTATGCCATACTCCACTGCGTGTAATACACCCCTCTCTAATTTCGAATCGGGTCAAAACTATAAGGATGTGGTCGATCCGGCTGTCACAGTTACACTACCGATAGTAAATGACAAGGATAATGCTTCACTTTTGATCTGGACTACGACACCCTGGACTTTACCTAGCAATCTTGCAGCTTGCGTCAACGCTCAAATGGAGTATGTTCGCATTAAAGAGATCAGTTCAGGCCGTTACTTTATTGTAATGGAGGCAAGAGCAGCGTTTGTGTTCAAAGAGGGCGATTATGAAATTGTGGAGCGGTTTCCTGGTAAAGCACTGGAGGGTCTCATTTATGTGCCAATATTTCCCTACTTTGATTACATGCGTAAGCAAGGTGCTTTTCGTGTGCTAGTCGACGATTACGTCACTTCCGAATCTGGTACAGGAGTTGTGCACCAAGCGGCGTACTTCGGCGAGGACGATTATCGCATTTGCTTAGCCGCCGGTATTATTTCAAAAGATCAAGATCCAGTGTGTCCTATTGATCCCAGTGGTAGACTGACTAAGCCTGTTACTGATTTTGAAGGGCAATATTTCAAAGATGCGGACAAGAATATTATCGCGCATTTGAAGGTGGCGAATCGGCTGTATCATCAGACCCAAGTTAAGCACAGCTATCCCTTCTGTTGGCGATCTGAAACGCCTTTAATTTATCGTGCAGTTCCGTCTTGGTTTATCCGTGTGGAGCACATGTCTGATACTCTACAAAAGGCCAGCTCGGAAACTTACTGGGTGCCGGATTTTGTCAAGGAGAAGCGGTTTGGTAATTGGCTTCGAGAGGCCCGCGATTGGGCAGTTAGCCGTAATCGCTATTGGGGAACACCTATACCAATTTGGATCTCTCCGTCCGGAGATGAAATTCGATGTGTTGGAAGTATTCAAGAGCTGGAAAGCTTGACCGGGAAAAAGATTACAGATTTGCATCGCGAAAACATAGACCATTTGGAGATTCCTTCCAGGACTCCCGGACAACCCCCTCTTCGTCGTATTCCGGAGGTTTTCGATTGTTGGTTCGAATCTGGATCTATGCCGTTTGCTCAGCAGCATTACCCATTTAAGAACGTTAAGGAATTCGATGAGTACTTCCCTGCAGATTTCATAGGGGAGGGAATTGATCAAACGCGAGGTTGGTTCTACACCCTCTTGGTAATTTCAACCGCGTTATTTGGTAAGGCGCCATTTAAAAACCTAATCGCGAACGGTTTAGTTCTGGCAAGTGATGGACAAAAAATGTCAAAACGTAAAAAAAATTATCCCGACCCATTGGAGATTGTCTCAAAATATGGCGCTGACGCTTTGCGTTTGTATCTCATCAATTCACCCGTCGTGCGCGCTGAAAACTTGCGCTTTAAAGAGGAGGGCGTTCGCGATGTTATCAAAGATGTATTTTTGCCTTGGTACAACGCTTTCCGTTTTCTTATGCAGAACATTGAGGTCTACATTCAAGAAAATAACGCCCCCTTTCATTACGATGAATCAAGACTTTCCCAGGTCAACAATATCATGGATAAGTGGATATTATCATTTACACAGTCACTATTGGACTATGTTCGTAAAGAAATGGCCTTATACCACCTATACAATGTTATTCCTCGATTAACAAAATTCATTCAACATTTAACAAATTGGTACGTCCGCATGAACAGAAAACGCTTAAAGGGCAAGGACGGCAAAGAAGACTGTATGTTAGCGCTAACCACTCTATTTAACGTCCTATTTAATATTATAAAACTAATGGCGCCGTTCGCTCCATTCCTAGCCGAGCATATGTATCAGTATCTTAAAACTTTAACCGATACCAAGTCAGATAGTGTACACTATCTCATGCTACCCGAAGTCGTCGAGTCTCTAATCGATACAAAAATTGAAAGGGCGGTATTGCGCATGCAATCTGTAATCGAATTAGGACGTATTTTACGTGATCGCAAAACTATTCCAATTAAATACCCCGTACCAGAAATCGTAGTCGTCCATCAAGACCAGGAATACGTGGATGATATTAAATTATTAGAATTGTACGTTCTTAGTGAATTAAACGTACGAGCACTGACATTAACGACTGATAAGAGTAGATTCGGTATTACGTTACGCGCCGAGCCCGACTTTAAGATTTTGGGTTTGAGGCTTAAGCAAGATTTGAAAGCGGTAACCACCGCAATTAAATCACTTACTGATGCCGAGATCAATGATACAGTTAAACGAGGTTATGTAGATATTTTAGGGAAGCGTATCGAGTTATCCGAGATTAAACTCATTTTTAAGGCTGATGACGTCACTTCGCATAAATACGAAGTTTTGAGCGATAACGATGTTTTGGTTCTGTTGGATCTGACACCAGACAGCTCAATGCAACAGGAGGGGGTTGCCCGCGAAATTATAAATCGCATCCAGAAGTTGCGTAAGAAGGCTCATTTGGTACCGACTGATGAAATAAGCGTAATCTACAAGGCGGCTGGAGATCTTGCACAAGTTGCGTCTGATTACAAAGAATTTATTGAAACTGCGATTCAAGCTACATTTAGCCTCGACGGGCATGGAGCACAGAATAACGCTGTGATTATTGAGGAAAAGCAGCAGCTGAAAGGAAACGATTTGCACCTGATTTTAAAAGGTACGAAGAAGGTTTCTAGTAATAACGTAGAAGGTCCCTTTGTAAATTGGTTGAACATCGAATTGTATAGGGTAGACTCCGTTTATGGAAATGATTACAGAAAAGGAATGGTATTAATTCCCAAAGGTACCATTTCAATAACGGACTTAAAGAACGAAATTTCCACATTATTTGGTTTGTACTCAAATTTTGACTTGTGGAGCACTAACGGCTTAATTCTTAATGACGCGTCTTTAAATAAATTAAAAAATACTACTATTTACGTTACGCATGTTGGATGTAAGTTGCATGAAAAGATCACAGAGTCAAAACCATTTTGTAAATTTGTTAATTTCAAAGAAAACGGCGTGCAAGGGACCCTCCTATTGGAAAATCCAAGTGGCATTGTTACTTTACAAGAGCAACAGTATAAAGATGTGACTGCCATCTGGCAGAAAAACACTCATTAGTCATTACACAGAAATGTTTCAATAAAGCTGTTACGATATTGCCGTTTTTATTTATTTTATTTATAATCCGGTCTGGTCGAATGTAGTACCAGACTAACAAAACCATCATAAGGGGAATTTTTTTCTTTTTTACGAATAATTCCTCTAGTAAAAAAATATCCATTGGATCTACAGTGTTCTCATTAGCGGCAGCGTGAATATTCCTGTTGAGGTGTTATTGAACGCCTCCTCAATGTCTTAAGATTTAAGTACAATTTCTTTGCGACTGAATAATGTATTGCTCACTGTTCTGTGAAGAACCAGTTCACAGACCGGCTTGGTAAGCATATTAGTCGAGGAATTCCAAATACTTTCCGACACATTAACAAGAAAATCGCCAATAGCTAGCCATACACGAGCGCTCTTTCCTGCCCGATTGGAACGGACCGCGCCAATCCTCTCGAAAGGCGTCTTCCTCAACACTTATGTCGGATATTGCAGAGTGAGTTACGAGTTTAATGTGCAGTGGCGTTTGTGGAAAATCGAAATGAATAACGTAGATTTATTTGATGCACCCAGCAACGCTACCGATGATTTAGTAAGATTTAGGGAATGCAATCCCGCAGCAAAATTTCGATCCCGGAAGTTGCGGGATCGTCATATGTTAATCCCGCGGGATCCCGCAAAATTTTAAATGGATTGGGAAATAAATTCTCCAACAAAACACAAAGCACATCGTATTTCCCGGAAAGAATGCGTCACATTCGCTTTCGTTTCTTATTGTCGGTGACTAATCTTTTATAGCGCCTTTATGTTTATCTGTTTCTAGAATATTCACTACAATATTTCCATACAGGCACTTTTACTACAAAAGTTTGTATAAACAATCGACGAGTTCAACATATTGTACATAGGAATAACGGTATCTACGTTTAAAACAGGTGCAAAATATAAGCCAGATTTTCGCACTCCTGGCTGTTTAACAAAGTCACACATTCAAGTTAGCGCGTAATTATCGCATGAACCGCAACAACAAAAAAGTACGAAATAATCAAATTCAGGGAATTGCGAATGTATGGTTATGGGAAAGTCAATGTCCTTACGATTTAAGGACGACCTGAGTATCTGGACTTCTCGTTACGCGTTTTTTAATGAAATTTAAACGCTTACCCGTGGTAAGGTTGCTCGATAAATTTCACAATCCCACTCCATTTCCGTACGGGATTATAATCCCGTAAAAATGCTGGGGGATCCCGATATTGCATTCCCTAAGTAAGATGTTATTTTTTAAGTGGCATTGCTTTACGATGGAATACTGACTTTTATCTATTTGAGACATAATATGTAGAGATGAGTTTATCAACACTTAAACGAAATTGAAGAAGTTAAAATTGTATAGAAAAAAACATCATTCGGATTTATCCACAATCATCGATTTTATCCAAAGCCAGTTAAAGGAATCTGGTCAATTATGTGGATATCATTGGATTCATCATAGATGTATACAGAATGGATTTTTTGTGGCACAGGCTACAATTAGAGTAATTTTACAAGAATTGGATCCAGAAGGCCTAGAATACAGAAAACGTAATAGACTACGCAGACGAAAATATTCGATAAAGGGCCCTAATCATGTATGACATATGGATGCATAATTATGACAAACTAAAACCTTATGGAATAGCGATTAGCGGGTGCATTGATGGTTTTTCGAGACCAATAATATGGCTGAGGGCAGGCAGGACTGCAAGTAATCCAAATGTTATTGGAGGTTATTAATCGATGCCGTTCATGAAATTGGTGGATGCCCTAGAAGAGTACGAGCTTTATTTATGAAACAAGTCAAAACCAACGTATTGAAGCAAGAGCTGAAAGAAAATAATTGCTTTTTCGGCTAAGCACTGGACAAAGCCTTAATACAGTTTAGCTTTCTAAGAATTGTACAGGTAAGTGTTTCTATAACGGGCGATCACAAATGAGTTGCATTTGGAAGTTCTAGTTACGTACGATTTCTCATATAAAAAAAATTCCAAAGGTGACTCGCAGCAACTCATTTTTGATCGGATAGTATAGAGGGTGTTACGTGTCCAACGTGTTTCGTTTGGGAGCCACCCCCAAAGAAGTGGTGAAATTTGGATTTCTTCTTTAATTTCTTTCTCAGCAACCATAAGAGTTACAAAGATGGGTGGCACGTCTTTGAATAGGTTTTCGGATATACCCTATCCGATTTTGAAATCTTTTTTTCAAAATTCCTACCACGAAAGGACGAAATATTGTAGTGAATATTCTAGATACAGATAAACATAAAAGGCGCTATAAAAGATTAGTCACCGACAATAAGAAACGAAAGCGAATGTGGCGCATTCTTTGCGGGAAATACGATGTGCTTTGTGTTTTGTTGGAGAATATTCCGTTAACCGCACAAAATTTCTTATTTCCCAATCCACTTAAAATGTTGCGGGATCCCACAAATACCGGGATCCCGCGGGATTAACATATCACGATGCAACTTCCAGAATCGAAATTTTGCTGCGGGATTGCTTTCCCTAATCTTACTAAATCATCGGGAGCGTTGCTGGGTGCATCAAATAAATCTACGTTATTCATTTCGATTTTCCACAAACACCGCAGCACATTAAACTCGCTACTCACTCTGCAATATCCAACATTTACATAAGTGTTGACTTTGTGACAATACCTAATATGTTTTTTCCAATATATTACATTTTTTCGCAATATTTTTAAGTTTTTCCCAATACATTCAATTTCAGTAGCGGTAGTTGATTTCAGAACGGAGTATGTAAAGTTGCCTATTAGGATGCACATTTTCTACCAGTATAAAACAAGCGGGCCCTTTATGCGGGATATTACCTAAGTATATACCACCAGATTGCTGATGCCGTTAGTGAATGATAAAGGCACACATAGGTAATGAAGCCAATACATAGCTACAGACATAGAGGAAATACAATCTGGTCAATCTCTATGCTACAGCTATTGCCGGGATGCTTGATGTATTGTGGGCTGCCTATCATCAACACTTAATTTCGCGCTCTCGATGCAAGTGGTTTTTCCAAGATAACTTGTCTATAAATGAAGTTGGAACAATTTCCAAAATTTCGTAATGTTAATATCTAGGCAATAATGCCAGGAAATTCTTTTTTTTATTTCAAAATATGTCACGCTAACCCGAAGTTATTATCTAGCTAAAGCATTCACCTTTCACAGGAATATTCTGCTCTTCTTTATTTCATCGAGATATTGTAAATCAAAATCAAGCGTTTTCGGGCGCAAAGAAAAAGGTGTAGTAAACGGCTCAAGCAAGGGATTTTGAAATATTGGCGAATGAACCCACCTGGGCACAAAGGTAACACAGATTGTGTAGTACTGTGCACCAGTTACGATAGTATAGAAACATGTGGTATTCTGATGGGAAGAATGAAACAAATCACATTCAATTTTACCGAAACAGAGGGAGACGTTGGTTGAACTTGAATAGTTTTATCACAACGAATGAGGAAGAAATATTCGTTTACCAAGATCATCTGATTAAAATGGCAGTTCATCGGTCAATTATCAGATGATCATATCGGAAGCAACAGCAATTGCCTGGACCCCTAGGTACAATGGCAAGGGATATTTCAAACCATGTGTCTAGGAAGACAGGTTTTCATCTGCAACCTAGAAAGAAATTACGAATTACCTCAAAAACTCCACATTTAATACTACTAATCATTTACAAACTTAAAAAATTGTATCTTCAGTTATGGTGGTGCTTTAGTTTCAACCCGTAAACCATGAATCACTTTTATTTGCTTATCAAGTGCCTCATACACTGCTTTGTGCTGCTTTACGATCGGCACACCCTTAAATGAGCTGCATTCAATGTAGACTGTGTACATTGCTCCACAACCACCAGAAACATCCTTAACTGTTATTTCATTAGCGGTGGGAAATCGTTGTTTCAATATGTTTCGTAACAATTCCTCTGATGTATCGTTTCCTGCGTTTTCGCCCCCATGTGCATGCTTGACAAAGTCCTAAAAGTCAAAATGTTACTGCTACCTTTTAGCACTCAGTTTGAAGGATATACATATTTGATACTTAAAGCTTTTCGATACGTTTTTGTTATGGAGTTTGTTACAGATCTTAAAAAATTGTTCATTTTTGAACTGTTTATAACCTAGAAACTGTCATTGGCTATTAAATGGGCCGCGTTCATATATTGCGAACAAACCGCGTTCAACCAAGTAGGTGAGCAAGTGATTTTCTGAAGTATCATTGGTCATTAATAAGCGGGCGAGTGTTCTTTAAATTCAGGTAAGGGTGAAAGAATTTTAGCGCACGAAAAGAAAGAAATATTTAATTATTTACTTTCTTTCCCATCTTCCAACAAGACTTCTTAACATAAATACATAGGTATCTACTATATTTACATGTTATGTAATTGCATTCGAGATACATGGGTCACTTCAATATCTTTTATTTGACGAAGAATTTGGCAAATCTAATTTTATATGTGACATTACAATCCATCCGATCGCGAATGAAATTACTTCCGGTTTAATCGGAAATGGATGCAACTTTTGTTTTTCAAATGCAATGCCTATCTTTTTAAGATATTTGAAAAGAGCAATCAATGTCCTGTACGATAACATAAAATATGCATATCGTTGATATACCTACACAAAAATTCGTGATTCAATATTTAGAAAACTTATGAAATTATACCGTGTACTGTCAGGATACGCGGTGTCTATTTGTGTCACACGGGTAGATCGTATCGCGCAAAAGTAAACCTTCAAAACGAAACATTGAACAAGTTTCAATATGCTATCGGTTAGATTGTAATGTCTCATAGAAAATTATATTTCATAACTTCTTCGTATCTCACCAAATAAAAGAGATATTAAGATGAACATCTTATCTTGAACGCACTGTATATTTTGTTAATATAGGAGATATGTTGATGGCTGATGCTCTGTGAATATTGTTGTTATAGTTTTATGTTATTTTGTTGTGTACTTGTTTTTTCTACTATGCGATCCAAAAAAGGAATTTATTTCTACCAACCGCAGTCGTGCTCCCCGACCCCTTATCGTGATCGGTTATAATTTCTCATATTTCAAGACCAGAGTATCCGAGGAGAGTACTCACAAAGGCAAAATAAAGGAATCGTATAGACGAGACATATCATATCTATTGATGAGGGCGAAACGAATATCTCGAAAACGAATTGTCGGAAGAGAGTATACTCGTAAAGTGTGGGAGGAAGCAGACGCCAAATCTTTTAATACACTTGCTGAATGCGGCAAAATCACCGAACGCTTCCCTAACGCTTTTTAACGAAATCTTACGATTTTTTACGATTGATTTTAACGAATTGCGTCCATTGCCATCTGTGATCACTGACGTAGAACTACAGTTCATTTCTTGGTCGCTTACTGTATCATTTTTTAAATATTAAATGTTTCGTAAACCAAAAAATACTTACTCTTTGCGTAAACTTTGAAAAGTATCTGCCTATCATTAAGGCATGAATAACGAAAAAATACTTCAATTGGGATCCAGTATCAACATCAAACGAACCGATGGTGAGTTTTTTACGTTTTTAATTATGTGTGTAAGTATCGGGTTTTATACCTACGGCGATATTTTGTCATAGTAGACTTATCAATATCAATTTGTTATTGACCCATTGTCATTTATCATCCTGCTACTTTTTTTTAACGGATTAGATTATTGTACTATACGATTATTAAAGCCATATCAACATCGCGCACTTAATATGGAGCACATTGCAAATAATGTGCCTGTTAAAAATTGCAACGAGCGTTCGAACTCACTTTTTCAGATGCCTTATTAGCGCATTTCCAAATAAAAAAATGCGCTATTGTGGCCACTTTGTCCGTCCGTCCGTCCGCTCGTTTTGAGACGCTACTAGTTCTTTATCTTAAGAGCTATTGTTCTACTTTTTCCGATATTTGGTTCGTTATGGTGTCGAGGCTTGCACCAAGGAAGGAATTTTTTCTGCGTTTATTGCGAAAAAAGTTATTGTAAAAAAAACCAACAAGCCGTTTTTTACATGTTCCATAATTTTACACTTTTGCCGTTTATTAACGATCCTAGAGATCATTTATAATTTTGTATTGTTGTCTGTCGTCTGTCTGTTGGTCTGTCCGTCTGTTCCTTTGCTTGTCTGTCCCTCTATCTGTCCGTGTGAACGATAACTTTGTTTAGAAATGTCCGATCGCTTTTACATCTCCGTTAGTTATGAACTGAATTGCATGAAATTCAATATGGGCATAGCCTTAGGCATATAATACGCAATGCCAAAAATTGAGTCGAATCGATTCAAAATTCACAGTGCCCGTTTCACATCTTGACCATTTATAAACCAAATTGCAAACTTTTTTCTTACAATAAAAATAAATGAAAATCTAACGCCAATTTAAAAATTTGGTTTTGCGCATGTACAGTGCCAACTTTTTTATTTATGGAAGCATTTAAATGAAATTTGATACATAGGCGCTTGGAATAAAGGAAAATCTAGCGCCAGTTTCAAAATTTTATTTTGCGCATGCGCAGTGCCAACTTTTTTATCTATGGAAGCATTTAAGTGAAATTTGATACTTATAGGCGCTTGGAACAAAGGAAAATCTAACATTAGTTTCAAAATTTAGGTTTGCGCATGCGCAGTTCCAACTTTCTTATTTAGAAAAGCATTGAAATGAAAATTTTCTTATAAACTGAAATTGAAGTAGCACGTCAAAAATGGGAAATGAATGCAAGTGGAAATGCGCTTTATGTAAATCGTTTACGATTACTTTTTAACTTGGAATTGAATTTAAATCTAATTTCTTACTCATAAGGTTCACAGTTTAAAATATATGTATTTACAAGAAAGTGCGTACAACCTCTGACCCATTAATCAAATTATCTACCGGTTTTAATCGTTTTACATGAAGCTAATAGGTGCAATTAATAGAAAAAGAATAGTGGGGTGGGGATGCATGATCTTCCGCCTTCCTACGTGCCGCGTACATTATATGGGGCGGCTGGAACCTCATCAATCGCACCGATGTACGTAAATATAAGTTTTACTGCATTTCCCATTTTCCAAACTTGCCCAAAGTTTTCACACCTTTCAGGATCATAATAGAATATTCGTACAAAATTTCAGCCAAATCGGTCTGCTCCTTACACAGTAATACGTAATTCAAGAAATATCGACTTTATTGTAAAAAAAAGGCATTTCCCATTTTCGAATCGTGTTTATGGTTCCCGAACCCCAAGAAGTCGGTTTCGGTTCCCGTTTCACCTAAATTAGTGGTCTTGAGCAGGTACCAGACGGCACGTCCGTCGGTATAAGTTCCTTAAAAACTGAGAAACTCCTTCGGGGGTAGAAAGAAAGATTTCTAGAAAAAGATGCTTAGGGCCGAACGGTAAGAGCGGTGGGGTCAACATTTATGTAGGGGATACGCCCAATTTACATTGCTTTCTAACGCATTAAAAAAATGTTATTTTACCCTTCTGTCCGTCGGTCTGGATCCACACTTCTGCAGCTTGACCGCCACTAGAAAGTGATTTAAAAACTTTCTTTTTCAAACTGAAAGCTTAGTGCCTTGAATTTATGTCGAATTCGCATATTTAGCATACTTGGCATTGATAGATCTATATTATCAACAGTTGAACTCTTTCCGCTTGTAACAATTACAACGTATCATGTCTGTTCGATGGAGATACATGGTTTTGAAATGTAGCAAAAAAGTTGGTTCTCTTTCGTTAAATGCCGCCCAATTATGCAATTGAGTAACAAATGCCGAGTATAAAAAATCAAAAAACCACACTAAAAGAAGCAATCTTACGTCGATGATGGCCAAAATTAGGCATTCAATTGGATGTTCTTCAAAAGCTCCTCACGTTCGGATATCTTACTTCTTGTGAATGACGTCACGTTTTTTTGCGCGCGAAATATTGAACATTGCGAAAACTTCATTTTTGGTCCGAATTTCGTCGCACTGTAGTGGCATTAGTTTTTATCCGATTTTCATCAACAAGGGCTCATCTCAAAGGAAATTTTATGTACTTTAATTTATTACGGAAGTTTTTTCGCCAAAAAACCGATACCAAATGAGTTTTGTAGAAAAACCGCCGATTTGCCGCCATTTTTTCTAACATGGCGGCTCCCGCGTCAGGCGGATTTTTGTGCAAATGTCAAATTCGGATTCAGCGATCCAAAAAACATAAACCTTGCATCTTATGGTTCTTTGTCTCAGAAATTTGCAAGGTGGACCCCTGTTTTGAGCTCTAGGGCCTGGACTATATGACTGACATGAAAGTAACAATTCATTTTTTACAGGACGCGTCCATACGGCTTGTGTGTCTCGTATTGACTATGATCTCAAAAGCGCAACAGTGGAGTGGTTCGAGAATGGTGAAACGAAAGGAAAAGAAGTTGATATGGATGCGATAGAATCTTTAAATCCTGACATTGCACTACGTAGGCCATGTGATCTACAGCCCAGCTCGTCTAATTCTCAAGTAAAAATGAGCCCGCTGCAACGGGTAGGTATAGGTACTTTACAGATAATTAACTTTCAAAGGCTTTTGTGTTTGCTGTATCTATTTAGTGCCTGGTACGGGTTATTGTGCTTTACCGATCAACTCCTCATAATGAGCGACACACTCTAAATTAACTAGTGCAATTTTTCAATTTGTGCTGCTAAATATCGGGATTCGTGTGCTTCTTCAGAAGATGAAACTAGTGCTGCAATGGCGCAATCGGGTCGTTGTACTTAGTTATAAACTTGATGAGAGTAGCAATGATTTTAATAGTAACCATCTTTCACCACACGCTACTTTATCGGTATTTTTATATTTTCATTCACAACACAATTTGATATATATATATAATATAATATAATGCGTTCTTTTCCCTTAGAATCCAACTAAAGCTTCTTTCGCCACTATTACTAATAAAACTACCAGCGGTACAGCAATAAGTGCTGCTCAGTTCAGACACAGACAAACCGCCCTTGTTCATACCAACGGCCACTCACAGGCGTTAGCTGCAACTGCAAATGATACGAGTCGTCAATCTCCGGTAACAATTGCAACGATTTTTAATATATGGAATTCAATGTTGTTTTATGTGCAGAATCCATCAAAATGTAGTGTAGTAAAAGAGATAGAGAAATTGAAAAAAAATCGAGAGGAGAGGAGACAACGGCAAGCGGAGGAAAAGGCAGAGAAGGACGCTTTCTTACAAATGGCCCCTGGAAATCCCCACTGGGAGTTGCTGAATATGATTTTGTAAGTATGAACATAGTGAAATAGCGCGGATTGTCAATATACAATAATACAGTTTGATCAGTACACCTCTGTTCTTCACTCTATTGTTGTACTGGGTGGCCGAATAAAAATGCAATACGGTTGTATCTTAGAATGTAATCTTCCTCATTCAGTTTAAGATGCCTCGATAGAACATTATTTTCTTCTTGCTCGATATGCCATATAATGTATTATCAAAACAATGAAATGCGATTTTTTGCAGAGATTATCGCCGTGGTCTTGATATAAGACCATTAACGGAAAACGATGCCATTGAAGAACACTCAATTACAGTTTGTGTTCGAAAAAGGCCATTAAATAAAATAGAATTGGCTCGGAAGGAGGTTGATGTAATCACTATACCCTCAAAAAATCAACTTATTGTGCATGAACCCAGAAACAAAGTTGATCTCACGAAGTATTTGGAAAACCAATTGTTCAGATTTGATTACGCCTTCGATGAAACGTGTTCTAACGACATTGTTTATAAGTAAGTTTTTTTGCAATGTACAAATTTGAAACCCATTTTACAACAGATACACTGCTCAACCGTTAATCAAGACAATTTTTGACGGCGGTTTTGCCACATGTTTTGCTTATGGACAGACCGGCTCTGGAAAGACACACACTATGGGAGGGAATTTTAATGGCAAAAATCAAGACTGTCGAAAGGGGATTTATGCGATGGCGGCGGCCGACGTATTTCAACTAGCGAAATCTCCTAAATACAGGCATTTAAATATGGTCGTGTCATCGAGCTTTTTCGAAATCTACTCCGGAAAAGTGTTTGACCTTTTAGACAATAAAACAAAGCTTCGAATATTGGAAGATGGAAAGCAACAGGTGCAAGTCGTTGGTCTTACCGAACAAGTTGTCACGTCCGTACAGGATGTGTTGAAATTAATTCAAAAGGGAAATTCAGCCAGGACCTCTGGACAAACCTCGGCAAACGTCAACTCTTCTCGGTCGCATGCCATCTTTCAAATACTTCTACGAATAAGTAACACTATTCATAAAGTGTATGGAAAGTTTTCGCTTATCGATTTGGCCGGTAATGAGAGGGGTGCTGATACATCGTCCGCCGATAGACAAACCAGTAAGTACAATCAATGAATAAGTAATGAAGTGTTCTTATAAACAATTCTTGCATTTCTTGATCAGCAACACCAGAGTGCTAAATATGTTGATAGGTTTGTTACAAGAGCTGGGTCAAGCGTTCTAAAAAACCGCTCGAGCGACGAGCGCTCTAATTGTCTCAAAAATGCTCGCGAGCATCGAGTTGTTTTTTAAAACGAAACCGTTTGCGAGAAAAGCGCTCGGCAGCGGAAAAAACGCTCGCGAGCAGTGCTTAATCATCCAGCGCTTAAGGGCGGTTAAAAGCGCTCACGAGCGAAGAAAAAACGCTTAGGAGCGGAAAGAGCGCTCGCGAGCGGAAAAAGAGCTCACGAGCGGAAAAACCGCTCGTGGGCAGAAAAAAAGCGCTCGAGCGCCGAGCACATTAAACGCTCGAGTATCGAGCACCAAGCGGCCTCTCCGAAAAGTGCTCGCGAGCAAGCGCTTTTTCAAGCGGAACGCTCGCGAGCAGTATCCAGCTCTGGTTGTTACCATATCCACATTCGGGTTTGTTTTTCTGTCATGGCCATAGGGTTTTACTGTCTATCTGGTATTATATTTGCTTGAAAAGATTGTATTAAATAACAAAAATCAGTAATATAGATCGGACTAAAACGTTTTCCTTTTTGTCCAAATAGTAGTAACAAAAAGAAAAACATTAACTTTATAGTGACGTGTATCACATAACCCATGGTGCAACAAATCTATGTCCTTTTATAGGAATGGAAGGAGCAGAAATAAATAAATCACTCCTCGCCTTAAAAGAGTGCATAAGAGCATTGGGTCGTAAAGGATCCCATTTACCATTCCGAGTTAGTAAACTAACTCAAGTACTGAGAGATTCTTTTGTTGGCTCAAATTCGAAAACGTGCATGATTGCCATGATCTCGCCGGGTGTGTCTTCCTGCGAACATTCGTTAAATACGTTACGGTACGCCGACAGGGTGAAAGAATTGGGCGGCGGTGACCTACAGACTACCTCTTGTGAAGAAGAATTTGATGATGAAGCCTTGGTACAACTTAGATCGCTAAATGTAACTTAAATGTGGTACTTTTGAGATGGTATGACAATTTTTTTTAGGAAAGTGACATGACTCCTGAAATGTTAAAGTTCCATCAAATGATATCAGAAATAAACATCGCCGAAGATACTATGTTGGATGTTCATAAGCAAACGTTAGATAACTTTCTTCCTGTTATAATTGAGCAAGGGAGTAAGTACCTCAAAATGGCTGAGGAAGTTGAGTTTGATCAAGAAGGTACTGTTCACATCGAAGATTTAATAATTGAAATGTTTTTTTAGCATACTGTGCTGTGTGGGAAGAACTGATTAGTAATGCTATGCGTGAACTAACAAGAGCGCGAGAGGCGATCACCAATCTTAGAAGTAAAATGGCAGCCGAAGAACAACTTAGTCGTAAAACCAAAAGAAAATAATGAGAATTTTTTAATGAATCATTGATGTAGTAACACGCTATTATTGTGAAAGTTGCGAATTGTGCATGATAGTGTTTTAATTATAATTATTAATGTAGGTATAAAGCGATTCGCTAAAAATTGTAATAACTTTTATTTTGTAATTGTAGTAGTGTAAAAAATTTTAATGTTTGCCACTATAAGTCAGTGGTAGGTACTTAAAACCGTATCAAAGTATGTATGAAAATAAAAGTTGTGTAAAATGATAAAATAAAAATATTTATTTATTTTATATGGACAATTTTTCCTAATAATTAATCTCTTAAAATGTGGTTCTGAAGGGTTGGTGTTAAACACTTCGATATACACATTATAGTGGGTTACTGCTTCTCCTCTGTAGTCAATTGTATTTCAGTGTTATTGCAATTGGTTAGACCACCAACAATACACACTGCTACATGATCTCCTTGAGTGAAACCAACGATGTATCTATCTAAAGTCGAACTGCGCATGCGCAAATCTAAATTTTGAAACTAATGTTCGATTTTCCTTTGTTCCAAGCGCCAAAGTATCAAATTTCACTTAAATGCTTCCATAGATAAAAAAAGTTGGCACTGCGCATGGGCAAAATAAAATTTTTAAACTGGCGCTAGATTTTCCTTTATTCCAAGCACCTATGTATCAAATTTCATTTAAATGCTTCCATAAATAAAAAAGTTGACACTGCGCACGCGCAAAACCAAATTTTGAAACTGGCGTTAGATTTTCCGTTATTCCAAGTGCCTATATATCACATTTCATTTAAATTCTTCCATAAATAAAAAAGTTGGCACTGCGCATGCGCAAAACCAAATTTTGAAATTGGCGTTAGATTTTCCTTTATCCCAAGTGCCTATGTATCAAATTTCGTTTAAATTCTTCCATAAATAAAAAAGTTGGCACTGCGCATGCGCAAAACCAAATTTTGAAACTGGCGTTAGATTTTCCTTTATTCCAAGTGCCTATGTATCACATTTCATTTAAATTCTTCCATAAATAAAAAAGTTGGCACTGTGCATGCGCAAAAACAAATTTTGAAACTGGCATTAGATTTTCCTTTATTCCAAGTGCCTATGTATCAAATTTCGTTTAAATTCTTCCATAAATAAAAAAGTTCGCACTGCGCATGCGCAAAACCAAATTTTGAAACTGGCCATAGATTTTGCTTTATTCCAAGCGCCTATGTATCAAATTTCATTCAAATACTTTTATAAGAAAAAAAGTTTGCAATTCGGTTTATAAATGGGCGAGTTGCGAAAAGGGCACTGTGAATTTTGAATCGATTCGACTCAACTTTTGGCATTGCGTATTATATGGCTAAGGCTATGCCCATATTGAATTTCATGCAATTCCGTTCATAACTAACGGAGATGTAAAAGCGATCGGACATTTCTAAACAAAATTATCGTTCACACGGACAGATAGAGAGACAGACAGGCAAAGGAACAGACGGACAGACCAACAGACAGACGACAGACAACAATACAAAATTATAAATGATCTCTAGGATGGTTAATAAACGGCAAAAGTGTATAAAATTATGGAACATGTAAAAAACGGTTTGTTGGTTTTTTTACAATAACTTTTTTAGCAATAAACGCAGAAAAAATTCCTTCCTTGGTACAAGACTCGACACCATAACCACAGATATTAAATCTGTGCCATAACAAACCAAATAGCGAAAAAAGTAGAACAATAGCTCTTAAGATAAAGAACTAGTAGCGTCGCAAAAGTAGCGGACGGACGGACGGACGGACAAAGTGGCCACAATAGCGCATTTTTTATTTATTTTTGTGGAAATGCGCTAAAAATGCGTTCATTTGTTATCTATTCGGCGCAACTTTATGGAAAGCAAAGGGCATGTGCATCTTTTGCTTTTGGTCTCATTTCTCGAAATAGATAATTTTCACGAAGACTTACTGTTAGTCCAGTATGCAGATAATTTTGACCCGCAAAAGGTGGTGTAAAAGATTTTATTGTTTTAAATGGTCCATTTGGGTCCAAGTAACATGTATTTGAAGAGTACGCACAAATTTTTTCCCGCCACATTTTTTGGCAGCCAAAAAACCTCAAAATTTTTGGCATTTTTTTAGTTTTTCGCTTAAAACTCGAAAACGGTCCATATTTTATGAATAACACTTTTTTTAGTAGAGTAAAGGAAACAAAATTATGGGTCGATAAAAAAAGCAAACAAACTCGGTCCAATAGAAAAATTGGTCCAATTTTAAATTGTTGGTACTTTTTGAACTCTCTGATTGATGTTCTACAATCTTTAGGGAGGGGGGGTAGTGGATTTTATCGTTCCTTGAGGAGCCACAACGCATTAAAAAAAGGTTAACTCAGTTCTTTAGAAAAGTTGGAAAAAATGGGCGTTTTTTGATCGCTTGTAAAAATTTTCTATTGGACCGATTTTGTTTGTTTTTTTTATCGACGCAGAATTTTGTTTTCTTTAATTTACTAAAGAAGTGTTATTCATAAAATATGGACCGTTTTTTTAAGCGAAAAACTGAAAAAAGTCCGAACGTTTTGAGGTTTTTTGGCTGCCAAAAGTTGTGCCGGGAAAAAATTGGTGTGCACTCTTCAAATACATGTTATTTGGACCCAAATGGACCATTTAAAACGTTAAAATTGTTTTCACCACATTTTGCAGGAATCGGCCTGTAGTGAATATTAAGAGGTCTCCACTGGTAAAAACAAGCGTACCAACTGACGCTTCCTGTTAGTTTTTTGTACGTATAATGCCAGTTCAGTGACATGTTAGATTTTGTAATGTGAATATATAAATATATAACTTTTTGCTTGTTGTACCGCGGGTTAATTTCTATCCACCCACTTCGTCATGAGCATTGGTCACCACACGGCCCTTCTGACTGCTCCGCATACTGGACTATCTGAGGAAACTGATAATTTTAGATGGGAAATATACACAAACGTGTAATTTAGTCATATTTGATTTGATCTAACAAACAAAGGGCTGCGCTTCTGGTAGTTTGAAAGCATTGTTATAAAACAGAGTTCAGATTCAGCACTACTTATGTGAAGTACCTACCCAGTAATGTACGTACTCCCCGCCCCGTCAAAGGGAAATATTATTACAGCCTCATTATAGGTTTTTTTTTTATTTCTTGAAGCATCCTGATGGGATGCAAAAGGTTTTAGTAATAAAAAATTATTTCCAATGTACCTAGGGATCTCCATTTTTCGTCTTGGGAATGTGTGACATTATGATTTACAAATCAACAGCATTGAAATAAATAAATAATAGTAATTTATCTAATCCATATCATTAGGAACGGCGTAACAATGTGTATAGTATAGGGTAATGCCAGGTAGTTTCTTTTGTTTTCCCGTTCAAGTAATGAGTTGTCGCCTCAGGCGTTATAAGTGCAATTTGAGTTGCCTATCCTTACGTTAGCGTTTTGATTTTTTCTGAAGATTGCGAAACATATTTTTTAAAATATATGCCTTATCATAATAGGTGGAAATAATATCTTTAAGTACCGCCGTAGGAAATACTGTCGGATTTCCAAATTGGTGCTGTACGTTTTTCTACCCTCATTACAACGGCCGTTATCTACAAAAAACGATTTTTCTATTCATCGATCTTCCTAAAAAACTAAGACCGATACTTCAATTTTTTTTAAGTACCGCCGTTCTTTTCATCATTGCAAAGAATATCCACTATCGAGAATTTGTTAGACATCAACTACAAAAGCAGCATTTCATAAGAAAGTGTAGCTATTTTTCCAATATGGCGGATTGACTACTTTAAAATATGAGATGTAAGGTGGATAGAGATAAGCGTAGGCATTGAATTTATAACTACTAAATTCAATCGCGTAGGTAATCTTGCGCATTACCATTTTGCATATAAGAAAAAGTCGGTATCCAAATAAAAACTTTGGCACGCCTATTATAAAATATTTTAGAGTGGACATAATGCCAAAAATAAAGATAATAATTAATTGAAAAACAGTAATAACAAAGTTAAAAAAATGTGTGAAGAAAGCAATAGTTGAAATTACTGCTAAATAAAATGAACGTAGAAGTTTCCAGAGGTGAAATGGACGTGCAAGTAAAAATGAAGTTGCAATTAAATTTAAAAAATATGTTTATACAAAATAGATTTTGTGCATTATTTTTTCCCTATAATATATTTTTTATTTATTTATGTTGGAACTCTTTACTCTTGAAAACCGAAAAAAAGTGGGACCAGAACCGAAAGCGGCTGGTACCGAAACACCAGCCGCTAGAACCTGATAGTAAAAACATCAGGCATGTACATAATAATGACCGTAACTGCACGTAAGTTGCGCGGCAATTTTAAAAACGGCCATGGGCGCTTGCTTGACTGTTATTGTACAGGGTGTTACTATTAATGATCCATCGGGTTTAAAAGACTTATAAATTAATAAAATGGATTATACATAAAAAGAAACAGAAATACATTTAAAAAAAAAAACAAGCGCTAAGTACAATAAATTACTAACAATAATATTAATTATCTTCGTCAATACTTTATGTACTAGCCACTGTCACCATTTATGGAAATTACAAGAGGTTCAACATGCACATCTAGAAAGACTTCGGTGCCAATGTAGTGTGCGGTCTCCTAGTAACTGTAAATGAAAAGAATCTTGAGCAACCTCCAAATCTTTAATACGAAATAAAATTCGCGCGGGAGTGTTGCGCGTTTACAAGATCTTTCCAACGGCACCAATTTGAAAACAATCCTACCAAAACTGTATAAGCAGATAAGAAAAAAACTGAAAAATCACCACATTAGCATAACTCTCGGGGATGGCGCCCAGAAGTTGCCCCAAAATTCCCATTTAATTTGGTATCATTAAATTATGATCCAAAAGATACAAAGTCACGCAATTTTATGCCAATTAATTTTCTTGTAGCAAAGTTATAGTAAAAAAAAAGAAAAATGTCATTTTTGAGAATGCGCTGAAAATAATAATGGCTTCTTCTAAACCAATTTTTTCGCCGAAAATATACGCCTCAGCACCCATGTAATGCACGAGACCAGAGCAGTAATAGGCACTTGAAAAATGGTGAAAGCACTTTCCAGTCTCTTTCACTATTTTAGCACATAGATTACTCACAACTCACACCAGTGTGCTGTACCTATTTGCATGTAATAATAATAAATGTTGAAGGCAGTACCTAATTTATTTAAGAACATAGGAATTATACAAAATCATGCACGAAACGCGACATTGCATGCCGCCGTAGACACTTGCCTAAATCGTCCAGAACATTCCATACACTGTGCATGACAAAGATGAATTTAAACAAGGTATATTCACATTGACCGGTCAATGATTTTTCGCAATAAAATCATGTCACATGACACGCACAGTGTATGGAATGTTCTGGACGACTTAGCCAAAAATCATAGTAACACCCTAAATATTCCTAATTGTATCTTACAAAATAACACTATTGGTCCACTATAACAAGCATTCCCGCGGGTGATAAGTTAATTTGGCCGGCAGCATTGTTATTCATAACACAACTGTCGGAGGCATAACAAACAGCTCCGAAGGTAAGTAGTTGGTTAGAATGGCGACATTGTTATTCATAACTGTGGTAGGCATAATCGTCGAAGGTGATGAGTTATCCACTTCCATAAGCTCCTCAGCAACATCTAGCGGCATATCTAAGCAGAAATCCAACAAGAAAAAGTTTTAAACGTACCACATTCCACATAACCATCAAAGGTATTTTTGGTAACATGCATCTCCGAAGATGATAAGTTGGTTTGGATGCCAGCCTTTTTATTCATAACTGTGGCAGGCATAACAAATATCTCAGAAGGTGATAAGTTGGTTTTGATAGTAGCATTGTTATTCATAACTGTGGTAGGCATAATCTTCAAAGGTGATGAGATTTCTACATCCATTGGCTCATCAGCAACATCTAGAAAGTAGAAACATATCTATAACATAAATTCCCCACGAAAATGGTAAAACATACCATATTCAACATAACCATTTTCGGTAACGAGCATGCCTGAAGGTGGCAAGTTGGTTTCAATTGCTGCATTGTTATTCACAACCGTAAGAGGCATCACAAATATCCCCGAATGTGATAAGGTCATTTGGATGCTGGCACTATTATTCATTACTGTCAGAGGCATAACGAAAAACCCCGAAGCTGATAAGTTGGTTTGGCTGGCAGCATTGTTACGAATCATTACTGTAACATGTAATGCACTCGTAACAAAGAAAACTTCCAACATTTTGTGGTCAGATAAAGAACCGCTTAACAACAGGAAAAATTGAAAAAATAAAACTGTGGTATGTTCTAGAAAGGAAATGACATAATTGCTCAAGTTTTTAGCTACTTGTTTTAGATTATGTTCTTATTAATTTTGGTAGGTGAAAAAATAACAAGTAGAACATTGTATACCAAAACACGCATCTGCGAAAATGGCCCCAGACATTTTTAATTTATTAAAAACATTGGTCGTCAAATTAATTTTCTTTAAATTTCACGAGGGAGCTTATGTCCTAAAATCTCTATTTTTTATATTAAAAATGTTTTCCAACGCCCAAGCCTCGGGTGAATCACTAGGACCACACCCCGGATGCTCAGATGAAGCGGCGCGCGCATGTTAATTTTTTCGTGGACTGGATAGAAATTTAATTTAAACATTTCTATGAGGAAGGAAACTGGATCAGAAGTAGGTCTGGTGCCCGGTGCACATAAGCCGCAAAGTAATCGGGACGCCGAGATTGTTTTCTATCAAGTTGGGACCAAAGGGCCAATGCACAAGGGACGCCGATAGTAGATACTTATCGGATACCTTGGCCCATTACGCCCAACGCTGCGCCGATAAAAAACAATTTCGGCGTCCCGATTCCTTTGCAGCTCATATGCACCGGGCCTAACTGTTTTAAATTGACGGTAATCGGGTCAACATACCTATATTGTATACTTAAGTAACCAAACACAACTTATCAACTAACTAATTACTAAAGGTCAAGCGGCTTTTATTGTAGTGGGGTCGAGATTAAAAAAACAGCGCATGCTCTTTTGAACTAAAACTAAGGAGTTGTGTTTAAATTTAGATGTTTGTTTTGATTTTAAAAAAAGATTTTTTCAAAAAGATATTTTCAGGAAAGAAATCACAATATACTGTAATTGATCATGATACAGTATTGTATCATGGTAATTGATGAGTTAATAATAAAATAAACATGCGTACCATGTATTTTTTAATGTCTGGTCTGGTATAACCTCCTTACCTGCTCCGTACTTGGCGAAAGGATGCGGTAATAGAAATGTTCTAAAATTAACAGGATTCATTAATATTTTTATTTACAGGTGAGTGGTTTAAATTTAACCCGGAAAATGCACTGAAATATGTGAATGACGAGGTGCACCACTTTCTATTGATTTGAGATGATGGTGTATGATCGGTGATAATTATGAATGGGAAGTTGATGTATGCTTTTCGTGGCTGGATTGCCTTTGTGGCCTTTGTCGATCTCGGCACTGCGATCCGAAGCTATATCGAAAAGCGCTCGTTTCTCAACAATGTAACCCCCGATATGGAGTACGATGACGGTAATGCTGATCTCATTCATGCAAGTGTAGGCATTGGCAATTTTACAGAAAAATACACCGTGTCGAGAGTAGTTGGAATTTACTCAGTATTAAAGGCCTTAGCATTGATTCACTGCACGTTATTTATACATTACAAACCGTAAGTGATTTTTTAATTTTCAAGCCTGTAACAAAACCGTCTTTTCAGGATTGTCAGTATGGGAATTTGCTCGATTATTTTAACAATCGTTCTGTATATTACTGAAACGTTGTATTTTCGTTCGGCTACATTAAACTTTCTGGTCATTTTCCCATGTGTGCTAAACAGTAAGTATTTCACAAGTCATATCACTGGACACTTTGTAATACGTATAAAACTGAAATTACACACTTTTAGGTATTACACTAATTGGCTTAATTTACTTGCCGAAACATTTAAAATTATGGGATCCGCCACCTGAAATCGAGGAGGACGAAGCTTTCCTGTTGAAACACGGAAACGCATTGAGGCGGAAACGTAATATGAGAAAAATAAATTGAAATGATTTAGAGTTCCCATTGAGACACGCAATAATGCCTTGTAGACATGTCTAGTCTTACGTAACTAAATACCTAATGTTTTTCTTACACTTTGCATTTAAAAGTGTATATTTATTCGTATATATACATACCTAAATCTATAGTTTACAATCTACAATTGCCATATGTTAATAAAAAAATCAATAAAATGGTTAACTAATACAGTTTTTATTTCGACTACTAGCTACAAAAGGATGGTACCACTGAAGACCATACTTTTTAGCGCATTTCCACAAAAATAAAAAAAACGCGCTATTGTGGCCACTTTGTTCGTCTGCTCGTTCGTTGAGACGCTACTAGTTCTTTATCTTAAGAGCCATTGTTGTACTTTTTTAGCTATTTAGTTCGTTATGGTGTCGAGGCTTGCACCAAGGAAGGAATTTTTTCTGGCGTTTATTACTAAAAAACTTATTGTAAAAAAACCAAAAAACCGTTTTTTACTTGTTCCTTAATTTTACACTTTTGCCTTTTATTAACAATCCTAGAGATCGTTTATAATTTTGTATTGTTGTCTGTTGCTTTGTCTGTCTGTCCCCCTATCTGTCCGTGTGAACGATAACTTTGTTTAGAAATGTGTGATTGCTTTGACATCTCCATTAGTTATATGAACTGAGTTGCATGAAATTCAATATGGGCATAGCTTTATTAGCCATGTAATACTCAATGCCAAAAGTTGAGTCGAATCGATTCAAAATTCACGGTGCTCTTTTTGGTTCTCGACCATTTATAAACCGAATTTGCAAACTTTTTTATTTATAAAAGTATTTGAATGAAATTTGATACATAGGCACTTGGAATAAATGAAAATCTAACGCCAGTGGTTTTGCGCATGCGCAGTGCCAACTTTTTTATATATTGAAGCATTTAAACGATATTTGATATCTAGGCACTTTGGAATAAAGTAAAATGTAACACCAGTTTCAAAATTTGATTTTGCGCATGCGTAGTGCCAACTTTTTTATTTATGGAAGAATTTAAACGAAATTTGATACATAGGCACTTGGAATAAAGGAAAATCAAACTCCAGTTTCAAAGTTTGGTTTTGCGCATGCACAGTGCTAACTTTTTATTTTTTATTTATGGAAGCATTTAAATGAAATTTGATACATAAGCATTTGGAACATAAGCATTTGGAATAGAGGAAAATCTAATGCCAGTTTCAACATTTGTTTTTGCGCATACGCAGTGCCAACTTTTTTATTTATGGAAGAATTTAAACGAAATTTGATGCATAAGCGCTTGGAATAAAGGAAAATCTAACGCCAGTTTTAAAATTTTATTTTGCGCATGCGCAGTGCCAACATCTTTATCTATGGAAGCATTTAAATTTGATAAATAGGCGGCTTGGAACAAAGGAAAATCTAATGTTAGTTTCAAAATTTAGATTTGCGCATGCGCAGTTCTAACTTTCTTATTTAGAAAAGCATTGAAATGAAATTCTTCTTATAAACAGAAATTGAAGTAGTACGTCAAAAATCGATTGCACATGTGCTATATCTTTCATATTTGTGGCCGGATTTTTACGATTTTAACAAAAAGTTGCATCTTAAATGGGAAATGAATGCAAGTGGAAATGCGCTTTCTGTATACTTTTTAACTTGTTTATGATTTCTCAAATATTTAAAAAATGATCAGGGCGTGGAAGGCTTTGAATTCAAAAAGTCGTGTTCTTAGCGAATTCATAATTGACGCTTTTTAGCTGCTCAACTCATTTCATTTAGCCTTAAATGAATTTATAAATAAAGAAGAAGAAGTTTTTAATTCATGTCTGCTGTAACTCAAAACCCAAATTCATTTATGTGTAATTATTCTCATAGCAAAGAGTAACCACTCGCTTTGCTCATAGAAATTCCAAAAAACCCTTAAGCAATTTACGATTCACTTTGAACTGAAAGTCTTGCTCGACGATCACTCTATAACATTCCAATTCCAATTATGATCCTTGCGTACCTTTTGTTTTTAAATAATAATAGCCAATCTCAAACAAACTACCTGTAGTCCGCAAAAGGTACTACCATCTGCTCTACAATTTAACCCATATACAGTGTGTAAAGCGATGGGGTAGGTATACAAGAGGGATTTTTTTTTAAATATTGATTTATGAAAAAAAATTATTCTTCATGATATTGTTTGCTTGCTTTGAAAGTACCAATAACGTTTCGATAATCTAAAATTTATTTATAGAAATCTGGAAAAATAATAAAATTAATTTTTTTATTGAAAGTTATTCTACATTATGATCAAAATAGCGTATAGGCGCGTACAGACCGAGTTTCCAACGCAAGCCTGTGGTTACAGATTTGGAGGTGTTGGGATTGGTGTGTACCTCGCAAGCCAACGGTTTCCAACCGCTTCCAACGACGCTGTTAGCGTTCGATTGCGTTCGCTCAGTGAGCGGTACATCAAAGGGAAATTTGATGTGGTCTGGACAGGATTTGTCGCGATTTTAGTTTTTAGTCGTTTGTCTGCCTTTTTAAAATGTCCACCATCTTCATTTTGAAGTTCCTCTAGTAAGTGACTGCCACTATACAAACTCCTATTTTTAAATGGTGTTGTTACCTCGTCCTCGTCGCTTGACATTGTTTGACAGACTAGCAGTACCGGTTACCGAACTTTACCCAACACGGTCCCACCAAGTCCAACTCAAATCTTAAATTTTGGTGTGGACGAGGGCATTCCAATCGTTTCCAACGACAAACGCCAACGTCACATGTGCTTGGATTCCTTGCCTTGGCGTTGGAATCCGGTCTGTACGCGGCTTATTGCTATCAAACCACAAACAATCGAAACGTTATTGGTACTTTCAAAGCAAGCAAAAAATATCATGAAGAATAAATTTTTGTCATAAATCAATATTTAAAAAAAATTCCCTCTTGTATACCCCATCGCTTTACACACTGTATGTATATTACACTTAAGTGTCATAGATCAGCCAATATCAAACATAAGTGGATGATATAATCCAAATAAACTTGATGAAATTTAAAAAGGAAAGTATAGCGAGTAGAATATTAAATGTAACATCATAAGTACTATCATAAGGTTGACCATCTATATAAGAATTTCTGGAAATGTGTTCTAAAGTGAAGTGACAAGGAATTAAATATTTTGGCCACAATGTAGCTAACCGATCTTTCAAAAGCGCGGTTTTTTATGCCCTGGAATAGAGATGTTCCTGGTTCTAGTGTTGAAGTGAAGAACTGTATAGATTGCACGCACATGCGATAGAAAAAAGCAAAGACTAAAAAGATGCAACCTAGATCACTTTTTACCTGTTCTATTTTTACGTGAATTGCGTCTGTATCTATCTTTACCTTAAAAATGTCTAACGACGAGTCTCAAATTACGTAGGTATGTGATAGACTCGGAAAGATTGATATTAGAGGTAGAAAAGAAATCGTGTTCCTAAATTACTTTTTACAGAAAATCGCAAGTGTGCGCTCAGCTATAAGTTGGAGTACGGGTCTAGGACACTTCGCCGAATGTTCACAACGCCGACACGATAATTTGATGGTCCATATCGCCGACTAGGGACACTACGCCGACTGTGCCCACATCGTCGACAAGGGACATATTAAGCCGAACGTATGACCACAACGCCGACTATTCGAAAACCAGGCCCCTCACCCTCTGTCCAGGTTCATTAAGAATTTTTGTTCATTCGTTTATTGTCTCGCATAGTCACCATCGATACGGCCATGCATGGAATTATTGCCATAAGAAATACATTGTAAATTTGTAGGCAAAAATGTAAGGTTGATTCCCAAATGAAATACTTAGTGTTTAATACACGAAAGTATAATTATAAGTTCTTGGTTTAATATCACTGGTTTTGTAATTTTTTTCTCTATCGAGTGACGTAAAAATCCAATATGGCGTCCATTTAAAATAAGGAAGTTGCTGTTATCTCCGAAACCGCCATTTAAAAAAATGTTTGCTACGTTCATTGAATTTATCCCATCCAATCTTGTAACTTTTATTTGAAACTTTTCTCGATAGCTCTCTGTTACTTTTTTAAAATGGCGATTTTCACTTTTTTTGAATTATCTACGAAACGATTTATTTTTTTCAAAATGTCGCATCGGAATATCCATTAGCATCAAAAACTACACAACTTTGCCAATTTAACCGAATCTGTAAGTATAATAATAACATAGCCATGTTATCCTACTCAATTTGTATGTTCTTTCAAAAATCCGGACCGCTATATTTATCGATGTACGTACGGAAAAAAGTTGCTTAAAATGATCTAACACGTCGACATTTGATGAAATTTGTCCAAAAAACGGTGATTATAATATAAATAGGTATACTATTTATATGATTACCTTTAGCCTTTAGGTATATATACATATAAGACGTCGATATTTCCATTTTCAAAGGTAATTATGAAGATGTTCATAAATAAATTCAAAGACCCTAAGAAAAAGAACTAACACTGTGGTCCCATTTATTTTTTACTGTAGGTATTCCCTAGGGAAAATTGGCAATTATTTGCTAGAGTTGGAGTGAAGGTGTTAATGGTATTAATGGCGAAGGTACTGGGTAGAAGAAGTCTAGGGACGCTATGGGCGCCTAAGAATTTGTTTATTATCGAAATATTTACTTCTTTTGGTATCGCAGCTTGTTACTCAAAATATCAATAAAACAGGTTAAAAACAGTTTTAAATTCTATTGCTCTACAAAAGCATTCACTGTTGATGATTTTCACATTTGTGCAAAAAAAAGAATTCGAATTCATTTTACAATGACGATGTTAGTTCTGAAATGAATGACTAACACTCTAATATTTTTAAATGAGCTTAAGCCCTTTTGTAAATCAAAAACCTCATGTAGTTTTTATTTAACGAGGTTTGGGAGACCCCCGCCAACTAATAACAGTGTGGGACTCCCTTCCGCTTAAGTAAGGTTTACCCCTTTCCTCAGTCGCTAAAGTGCCCATGGTCTACATGTGGAATGGCTCTGGGTAGGTGGGTGCGGTTCCGAGGTAAGTCTGAGTGTCGTAAGTTTACTGCCTCTCGGTTATACAGTGGTTTCGTTCGATTTTTGGAAATTATCACCCCAAGTAACTAGTTGAAATATTTGAATTAACCTCTTTCAATTTTGAATTCTCTGGCAAGTTGAATTTTTAAAAACCAAAACCGTAATTTGCAATAAGTAAAAAAAAAACTATGGCAAAAATGTATATTTTATAAATACTAACAGTATATAAAAGTTTTTCATTAAATATTAATAGTAGCTAAGATGTAATAAATTAACAATAAAAAGTTTACAGAAAAATAAAAGTAGTGATTCTTAAAGATGGTTTATGAGGTGGTGAAAATGGTTTCAGCTACAATTTTACCAATACTAATTTCTGAAGATTGACATTTCGTACTAGTAGGAATATTACGCAGATGCGAAGTGAAATAAAAGTCAGTCACAATAAAATAATGTGTAAATATAAAATTGTTTACATAGTAAACAAAAACTTATAAATACTAGTGTAAAACTATTGTACATCTAAAATAAAATAGGGACAAATTGCATTAAAACAGTTCAAATTTGAAGAACACATCAATCGGAGGAGAATATCCGCTCTGGTAAATAACAATATCATTAGTACAAAAAGAATTATGAACAAAAACAAAAAATGAAAAGGCGCATCACAGTATTTTCCAACTTATATCCATAAGCGCGTCAGGCTTATCAAAGGAATTGCTGCAATATTGGACGAGAGTGTAAACTCACTCACTAATGTACTGGGTGACCAAATAAAAGTGACACGCAGCTGTATCTCAGAAAGTAATAACATCATGATTATGAGATTATATTAATGTGGTGAAGATTTCTGCGTTTTGCCCTCTAGCAGATATTGTAAGAAAGTAAAAATAATTTTCATTTTCTCCAACACTTTTACTTAAAAAAAGATTTATTCTGAAATACAGCCGTACGTCGCTCTTATTTGGCCACCCAGTGCAGTTTTGCAGCAAAAAGTTTCAAAACCATGGTGAGTATGTAAATAACCTAAACTAACTACTAAGGAGGAGTTTAATAGCGATTATTGCTATAAAATATCTTCTTGCATCCTAAGAGCTGGTACCTTTTGAATTGAGTGACTATGTCACCACCTTCATATGCACCATTATCACATTCAAGAAATATGTACTAACTTAAGACATTGTACTACATAAAGATGCGTTAATATTGACGGTGGTTTAAAGGCCCACCATTTTTTAACTCCACCAAAGCAATTGCGGTTTGCATGTCTGCCCTTGAAACCTCTTTCGTTGTGCCGTGATCCTGCACCCGCATTAGGACGGTTGGACGTTTCTGATTTTCGTACTCGACGAGATTTATCTCGTCCCAATTAATGGGACGAGCTAAATGCTGCGACGCATCCCATCTTTGTTGGTCTTGGACGGCTTCGCGTAACCAGCGCTTTTTTGGCAATTCTATATTCTCGCTGATCGACTTTTGGGTTCGTGACACTTCCGAATGTGATGTATATAACTGGACGGAATCGGGTGGTACATTGGAATGTTGTATACTCGAGAATCCTTCGAAATCGCTTATGTTATCGTCGCCATTGTAACTAGGGAAATCTTGCAACGACGTTTTACTGCTTTGCGAGCTTTCCGAATCTATTAGATTTAATTTGTGATGGTCACCGATTTTCATATACGCATCCATGCTTTCGTTCTCGTCGTTTTCCAGCAAAGCCGAAAACTTCATTGACTTTCGTTTGGTCGGTTTGGATGAACTGTAAGGAAATTGCACAGTTTAGTCATGATAAAACAGATCAAATATTTATCAACTTATTCAATCAATTTTTTTTACATTATTTTGACCATAGTTCCGCTCTACTAGATTCCACAAAATGTACAGAGGGTAACATTAAAAAATTCAAAATTGTTATCATTTCCAGTGCAACCAGAAATTACAACAAATAAAAAGGTTGTCACTTGAAGGCGAGTAATGGTATGTGCACTATTTTTCTTTATAAGAAGCAGCTATGGTTAAATTTTCAAATAAATGTCTCCATAAATAAGGCACTTGGCATTGCGGATGCGCACATTTGGTTTTTACAATATGCGATATGCTTGTCTTTACTAGAATCATCTGCGGTTAAAATTTCAAAAACATATCTCAATATGCGCACATGAAAGAATTAAAATAAAACTATCAGAGATCCGCAGTCAACCCCACGTGAAAAGTTTAACAACTTCATTGTTGTGTCTAGGTAGTACAATTATTAAGGCTTGTTCATGATTTTGGACTTTCTCATCTGTCTGTGCACATACTCGAACCTTCACTTGAACGGTTTCAAATTTTCCAATTGTTTCCAGTAATAGGTAGACAATGATCAAGGGGCTAACTGTTTAAAAGAATTTTAATGACGCTATCAATCAGCGAAAACGCAGAATAAAAAATGCAATTATGACTTAAAAATCTCGCAAAAATGACATAACAATTTAACAAGTTAAAAAATCAATCGTAAACGATTTACAAAAAGCACATTTCCACTTGCATTCATTTCCCATTTGTAAGATGCAACTTCTGCAAAAATCGTAAAAATCCGGCCACAAATAAGAAAGATAGCGTTGCATATGTGCAATCCATTTTTGATTTACTATTTCAGTTTCAGTTTATAAGAAGAATCCTACTCTAAAATTTTAGAAGAGTTAGTTTACAAATAACGAATGTGGGTATTTTTAGTCGGAACGAATTGCGCATGCGCAAAACAAATTTATTTGATTTGGCATTAGTTTTACCTTCATTCGAGGTGCCTACATACAAAATTTCATTTAAATATCTAACACAAAAAATTTGATTACGCATGCGCAAAAAAAGTTTTTTGATTTGGCATTAGTTTTACCTTTATTGAAGGCGACTAAATACAAAATTCCATTTAAATATCTTCATAAATAAAAATCGGATTGCGCATGCGCAAAACAAATTTTTGGATTCGGCATTAGTTTTACCATTATACAATGGTTTTACCTTTATTCGAGGTACCTACGTGCAAAATTTCATTTGAATATCTTAACAAATAAGAAAATTGGATTGCGCACATACAAAAGTTATCATGCACAACTGCACCCGGACAGACAGACTGACGGACAGACGCCGATACAACATAATAAACGATCTCGAGGATCGTCAATAAACGGCAAAAGGGTAAAATGATGGTAAATGAAAAAAATAGATTTTTGCCATAACTTATAACTTTTTTCTTAAGCGGCACAGAAAAAATTCCTTTCTTGGTGCCAGCCTCGACACCAAATAGCGAAAAAAGTAGAACAATAGCTATTAAGATAAAGAACTAGTAGCGACCGGATGGACAGACGGACGGACAAAGTTGCCTCAATAGCACATTTTTTTTTACATTTGTGGAATAAGATTCCGCATGCGCAAACCCAATTTTTTAATGGGCATTAGGTTTACTTATATTCTAGGCGCCTACATCCAAAAATACCTTAACAAATAAAAAAATGGATTGCGCATGCACAAAAACAAATTTCTTGATGCGGCATTAGTTTTACTTCTACTCGAGGTGCCTACATACAGAAGAAAAATATTGCATTGTGTTTTAGAAATTTAAGACTGCACGAAAAATAAAACTTTAACAAAGGTTTCTAAGCTCGCCAAGAGAAATACCGTAAAATATCAAAAAATTATGTTTAAATTACAACAAAAAATTTGGTATGTACTCGACATTTACTCACATCTACACATGACATATACCGAGTGGTCCACTCCTCTAAAAATGGTTGTTTTAAACACCTAATAAAAAGGCGTGACCCGCGAACATTTCCAAGCAACTTTTCTAATAATTCTGGAAATATTCCCCAACATTCGCATTACTAAAGACGAATATTCGCCAACTGGAAATTTAAGGGAATATTTCCCATACATTCTTGAGACGTTTACGAGAACATTGTTCTGAAATTTCCAGTTTATACTAGTTTTTAATTTGTGCAGTGTAGTTCTTCTCGAGAAAGCTTTTCATTACTCAAATATCAAAATTTAAGATCTACACCATGGAATTGTGGAATTCCGTATTTTCGTGAACGTTTTAGATTTTTTTTCGTGAACGTTTTATATTTTTCTGAAGTTTTTGAATTGTCATTCTTACATTCGAATTTTTGAGTGAGTTTTCTTTAATTTTGTCTGATTTTTTTAGTTTTGTTTTGAAGGTGCAGTATTTATTATGGCATTATGAAGAAAAGTTTTTATTTTTTATGTATGTTGAATAAACATATTGCAATTAGTATAGAATAGAGTATATTTCGAAAAAGATAAAAATCACGGACTTCACTGATATTTTTCATTGGACAAAATGCCATCCTCCTTTTTTCTAGCGTTCTTGCAATTAAAACAAAGCAGTTAAAGTAGAATGTATTCATATAAATGATAATTGAGGCACAACAAACAAGTAAAAAGGTTTTCGCCCTAAGGCGAGTAACTTCAGCGCATTTTCCATAAATTGATCAATACTTCCCCAAAGGCCATACCTATGTGCGCTATGTTTTTCATTACTAGAGGCATATATGGTTAAAATTTTAAAGAAATATCTTCATAAATAAGGAAGTTGACACTTACTGCGCAGTTGATATTGCGCGTCCTGCGCATGCGCTTATTAATCTGATATTTACAATATGCAATACGTTTGATTTTACTACAAGTATCTGTGATTAAAATTTCAAAGAAATATCTCCATAAATAAGAAAGTTGGCATTGCGCAGTTTGCGCATGCGCACATCTGATTTTTACTATATGCGATATATTTGCCTTTACTACAAGTATCTGTGTTTAAAATGTCAACAAAATATATTAATAAATAACAAGTTAACATTGCGCAGTTCAATCGTCAAAATTTGGTCTCAGATTTTGCATACGCATGGCTTTAGTGGAGCAGTAGGTAAAGATTTTGAAAATGGGGGGGAGGGGGGTAAACACATGTTCCATCTTCATAGTTTCTCGCCCCTTATCAAGGAGACGAGACGGGGGTGTGGAACTGGTTTTATGCTTCATGGTACTCTAATGAAAGGTCTCAACGAAAGGAATTAATTTCTACCAACCATAGTCCTCCTCTTCGGCCCCTTACCATGATTGGATATATTCCCTTATATCTCCACAACAGATTGTCGGAAGAGGCTACTCACAAAGGGCGATTGGGACGTCTTAAAGAATTATACCCATTGGGGATGTCAAAACTTTAAGAGCGAATATCTCGAAAACGGATTATCGGAGGAAAGTACTCTCAAAGGCAAAATCAATCGGGGGTGTCGGAGGATTTTGAATGTCCTCCCCATTAATCATCTACTAAGAAAGTAAATATCGATAACATGCTACTACCTTCTAACCCAACCATCTACTAAGCTATTTCGGTTTAAAAAATTGCCCTTTTATCCGCACAGGAGTTGTGCACCATTTATACTTGTTAAGATTTTCTTATCAAATGTCTGTTATATGCAGTTATACTAAATGGTTCACTTCCTATTAATGTAATGGGTCCTATTAAAATATAACGTTTATAGTACATATTGGATATCTGGCTACCATATAAAGGTGTCCAATTCTTCTTTTAAAAAATTCATTTCAACAAACAAAATAAGCGGGAAAATATTGCTTAGGTATTGTAACTTGTATTACCTACCAAACTGAACACAATAAGTACTCCCCCCTCCCCGCCCGCAACCTTTTACAACAGGTTGCATTTTTAGGGGATTATTTTCAAGAATTATGCTAATGGTGTTGTTTGTGAGATAGTATTGACCTTGGGATTGACATAGTCGTAAATAGCGCAATGGCTGAGCCAGGAACTTGATTTGGGAGGGGCTGATGTACTAAGTTATGGAGGGTGCTGAAATTTTAAGGAAAACAAAAACCGCTATCCACGCGACAAATTTTTCGTCTGTCGACTTTATTTTACTATGCCTAATGAACCTGAACCGCCACTGAACCTAATGGTAATAAAGGAAAGGATTTATTAAATTTTTAAAAAGGAAACAATTTAGGTTTGTTGTACACATAAATACGACGCAATCAGTACGTCTTACGACGAGACGCTGTCTCATCAGGGCGCCTGTGTAAACTGTCCTTTTGTTTTGTAGAAATGGGCATAGTTAGTCACTCGGTTAGTCATTCATAAATAAATGCTAACTTCACCAATACTTCACGCACTTCAACAATATTTAGGGTTGCATCTCAAAACTCTGCCAACTAGGGCAGGAAGCATGAAAACCCCGGATTTAGGGATTATAAACCCGGACATATCAACTGAATTTGATAAAAAATACTGTCTAAAGAAATATTCTTTGAAGTTATAGGTACTTTATTTTTTCACTGACTAGACTGTTTCAATATTCAATAAATTCCTTACTTTGGTCCACTGTTATGCCACTAGTGAAAATATTCTTTCAACGTTGGCATTATGAGCAGGAATGCAAAAAAAAAGCACTAGGCAATTTTCAATAACTCCAAGTATAAATGACCATTCGGTGTTTTAAAAAATTGTAACCAAAGCTGATTGGCGCTTATAAGTTTATCTTGTTGGCCTAAATTTTGACAGAAACTCATAGATGTCTCAGTCTCAGTTGCACCAACAAAATTAAGCCTTTCTTAAAGAGTCGAACTTAAAATCCATGGCAACGATTATTAAGATGATCGTTGCTATGGTATTTAAGTTATACTTAACTTTAAAGGATACTTATACCGCACTACCAATGAAAAGCCGCCCGGACGGTCTCCGGACGCCCCCTAAACTACGACAAATCCGGGGAAACCCGGACGGATGGCAACCCTAAGTCAATATTTCACGAACTGAACCAATATTTCATGGACTTCACCAAAACTTCATATGAACTTCACTGACTTCATCACACTTGTACACCATACTTCAGCACTGGTTCACCCCTCGACCGAATATTCACATTCAACTCTCTCATTCAACTAATTTTTTTGATACATCTACCACCATCAAATCAAGCATTCATGTTACCCTCAAAATTACACAAAATAACAAGTTATCTCGAAATTATTTCAAATATCCAATTGCAAGGAGCGGGTGGCCCCTCTATTATTTATTTTTCAAAATTGTAGATTTTTAATGGTAGAAAATATATATATATATATAATGTATATATGCATATACAGCATGTTTGATATGAACAGACCAAGATCTTGACAGAGCGCTGTCTACAGCGATGTTGACGCAAATATGTATTTCACTAGTCTACAGCAGTAACAATATCATTGTTGCTTGCGAGCAGACATGTTGGGACTACAACTGTCTACAGTACAACAATCAATCTCTACAGTTTAAGCTAATTGGGTTAATGAGGGATTTATTTAGATAAACAAATGTAAATGATATAGTTAACAAAATGACCAAGATAATGACAAACTTCACTCTGTTTGTGCATACCTTAGTTCAATTCATAATTAAGAAAAACTTTCTCTAAAATCAATTAAGAAGTAAACACATTCTGGGTAATCCCAAGTAAAAGTTGCACACGACTTTCAAGTTACTATAATTTGCCGTGATGAACGAGTCAATATCAGAATTTTGCCAAAAACCTCCCTCTTCGAAAGACATGCCAAACAAGCCGCATACTACACTGTTACCGAAACTTTGTTATCATCTTAAATTGTTTCTCTTTTAAAATTGTGGACGGAACATTTCTAAATCATCCCCCAATTCTCTCCCCTGCACAATTTAAACTAAAACTTTAGCGAGACAATACCTTTTGTTGTTCAACCACTTTTGGACAGCTGTGGAGTGGTCCTCGTCATTAATTTTTTCGTTCGATGACGACAGCGAGGACGTGAACCGACGCAACTGTGCGTCCGGATGCTCCGGACAATGGCGGTTTGCATGTGTGAACTTGCGGTCGCAATTCGCCGCCGTACACATAAACGGCTTTTCGCCCGTATGTAAACGTTGGTGAGTTTTGAGTTGTCCCGACTGCGTAAACCTGCGCGAGCAGCGAGGGTAATCGCATACGTACGGTCGTTCACCTACAAGAAAAGGTTTCGGATGTAAACAATTTGATCGGTACTATGTTTACCTGTATGTGTTCGTAAGTGTGCTTGCAAGGATTTTTCCCTAGGAAAAACTCTTCCACAGTAAGTGCACTTAATGGAACTTGGCGAGCTGGTACCTTCCAAAATCAAGGTATTTAAAAATTCGGCTCTGGGACGTCCCCTTCTCGATTCGCTTGGTGATACAAGATTTTCATTACCATTACCGTTAACCGGCCGTTGATCTATGGAATTCGGAGTACCCGCTAAAGATTTCGTGCTTGGAGAAATATCGTGCAATACTACATTATTTTCCGATTGAATTCTTGCTCTTTTTGGTGTTCTATACATTTTTTTTTAGAGCGTAACTTCACATTTGTAGACTACAACAAACTAAACACACATCCACCATATTTCACGCAGATGGCGTTTGTAAATGGAGGGAAATTATTTGTCAAGGTCAACGAAGGGAATTTAAAGTTTAAATGGATTACCGCTTAGTGAAATAAAACTTTAAAGGCAACCTGAAATTGTTCTCTCCTTTACTTTAATCAAATTAATCCAGTATTTTTGTAATGTAATATAAATATTGTAAACAAATACGGCATCTCCCAACGATTTCCAGTTTTCGCGCGGCAACACTTTTCTTATAATAGGTCTGTCCACCATCAGAAGTTAACAATTCCATCTTTATCTTTTGCAACAATGTTGTGGTACCTATTCCCGAATTATTATTTTAAATCTAATTATACAAAAGATAGCATTAGTTTCAATAACGCCTACTGCTTAGGCAACAAAACATTCAGCAAAGTACAACATGTGATACCTGATCACACTTTTATCAAAGAATACTTTAATAATTACTCTTTGCTTTTATCATTGTATAAGCATTGAATTTAGATAGTTATAAATTCAATGGTATAAGGTTTATCTTATATTCAAAGGGTATATGTAATAAATATACTAATGCTTTTATATATATTTCTGTGGATCACGCGGCCGTTGTAATCACAATCAGAACAGACAGGCACGTAATTAGGGAGAAGATTCATGATTGGCTTATCTGAAATGTACAATAGGGCTCCACTACAAATTGTTATCTTCAAACACACAAAACACATAAACTCGAGCAGTTAGCATTATCATTGAAAATACTAAACAATTAGACCGGTGTCAATTGCTAGTAATTCATTAGTGCCTTTTAGATTTTAGTGCATCAATGCACAAAACCTGTTCCACCAGAGACGGGCTACCCCATCTTGCAGGAGCGGGATTACGCTAATCAAATCTCGTCAGTTTAGAATCTACGTGCGATAAATGAGTGGCGATTCAATAATTTCCACATATCTTGTGTTAAGTTAAATTTGCCTACAAGGCCATGCAATTTTCCATCTTGCTTTTAACAAAAGGACTTTATTGCACCAAAGATGAGTCACATCCTGTGTATTTCACCCTTTCTTAGAATCTTGGTACCTGCTTTACCTGACCCATAGTTCCCAAAACTTGTTTTTAACCTAAATGTTACCTCTTGAAGTCTACATGCTACTTTTTGTGATTGTTATAATTTTATGTGACGTACCTATTCACATCATTACAAACAGAGCTGGGCAGAATACTTTCAAAAAGTATTTGAATACTAAATACTTTTACGTCCAGCACAAGCGAATACTAGATACAGATACATTGAAAAGTATTCAAATACTTTAAAAAATAAGTATTCAAATACTTTAGAATGTATTCGAATACTTTCAAAAGTATTCTAATACTATCAAAGGTATTCGAATACTTTGAAAAGTATTTCATTATCTTACTTTGAAAAGTATTCGAATACAGTAAAAAGTATTCAAGTACTTGTCACTCAAATACATTAAAAATTTAAAATTGTTATACTAGATAAAAGGCTTAATACTACTTAAAAAATCAAGTTATACTTTGTATGGGGTTAACTTTTTTTATATTTCTATTGTTATATACAAATTTAAGGGGAGTAAAAGCGTATTATTATTATTATATTATTATATAGGAGGTACCTATCAGGACCTTTCTTATACCAGTTATATCCTTAAGAATACGTGTACCTACCAGTTTTCAAAGCGATCGTACGTCGTGCACATGATACGTACGCCTTTCTGAAATTAATCCTAGCGATTTTGGAACAGATCTAATTTTGACCATCCGTTTGTCTGTGTGCACGATAACTTGATTGGAAACGTTTGGAAACTTTGAAAATTGGTACATATGGTCTTAAGAATTAAGTTCGGTATTCAGATGTATCGGATTTTTATATTTGATTTTGTGACAATGGAAACTTTCCCTAAACATTTCTAAATTGTTCTCAAATATTTGAATAACTTAAAAGTACTGCCTTTTTTTGAGGCCGGAAAAAAAATTGTCTGAGATCGAGAGTCCATAATTTCAAACAGTTTGAAGATTGGGCTACTAGATCAAAAGTTACAGCCCTTTGAATTTTTTTTCAAAATTTGTTTTTTGTCGATAACTTTTTATTGAGAGGTCTAATCGAAAAAGTACGAATTGTTTTGGATTCTACGCACCAAAATTAATAAGAAAAAGTGTTTTCCCGAGAAATTTTGGTAAAAAAGGAAGGTTATACACTGCCTTTTTTTGAGGCCCGAAAAAAAATTGTTTCAGATCGACCCGGAAAAAAGTTTTCTTATAGAATGTGGCCTGTAGAATCCATAATTTCAAACAGTTTCAAGATTGGGCTACTAGTTCAAAAGTTACAGCCCTTTGAATTTTCTTTCGAAATTGGTTTCTAGTCTATAACTTTTGATTGAGAAGTCTGATCGAAAAAGTACGAATTGTTTTGAATTCTACGCACCAAAATTAATAAGAAAGTGTTTTCCCGAGAAATTTTGGTGTAGTCGATGCTTTAAAATGACCCTTGATGATAAATGGTTTAACATGCCTGCACTACGCCAACCGTGCCGACACGTGTGCAAGAGACACTAAGCCCAATGTGACCACAACGTCCACGCCGTACCATTCACTGGGCATGCGATTCTTTGTATAAAAAATTATTTTCCAAAAATGCACACCCAATCCACCAAGGTTGTACATTAGGACAGTAAACGACTATTTTATGGTTATTTGTAAGTTAAAGATTTTTTTTTAAATTTTTTTGAAAAGCAAACTTACAAAAATGCTTTTAGACATGCGCAGTATATGGTTCGGTGTGGACGATTGAGGCAATGTCATTTGTTTGACTGTGAAAATGACAAACTCGGACAGTTGTTGTTTATTAATTAAAGCTACAACAAAGAAAGGAGCATTTTTTGCTTTTCACAGATGCATTTTTACAAAACTCAATTGTGTTAACTAAGGATAAATAATAACCATTAGGCATCAAAAATTACACGAACTATTTTTACATATTATAGTCTTGATTTTTTCTAAGTATCACAAAACCTTCCATAATGGGAGTTAAAGGTGTGTACTCTTCCGTTGCCAATTCGGCACGTTCGCCATACGCAAGTAAAACAGGCGTTGTATGTGTTTGGAACCCTGTTATCGTTTTTGGTTTACCTGCTTGACCGACGACATCAACTGCCTACAATGACAGGAAACAATACTAGCTAATTACACTTGACCGTTACTTACTAATCCTACTCGAACAGGTACGGGTAACGGATTTAAATCTTCATCGAAAGTGACCAGCATTCTTGGCTGCATTGCAGCTGCTAAGGTGTAGAGAAGATAATGTGAACGTCCCAATATAACTAAAATAACAGGTGTTAGAAACTAGTACCTCTGAAGTTTTCGACTTAACTGTTTTTGACATCTAAGCATCCTACTAACGTTGCCAACAAACCGGCCACTGCTACTGGACTAAGTAACTGTCTATCACTGTGATAGGGACATAACGTTAATGTCCCTTTTCCCAAATGAGTTAAGCCTTGCGCTATTCTCACCATGAATAAGTTATTGGGATCCTTCGCGTGATATTGTGCCAACTGTCGTAACATCGCAGCCAATCTGATCGACAAAAATTCAGTAAAACACGCCTCGAAACTTACTAAACTACCTGGCATTATTTGTACCGGCTCCTACAAGTCCCATCGCGAAAATAGCATTGTGAGCAACTTCCGCATCGCTGTCATGTGAAAACTTGCTAAGTGTGTCCAAAATACTGAGCTTAGGATTCGAAATAGAAATAAGACCCAAAGCTAGTGGAACCGCCCTACGAATGACCGGTTCGCAATAGCGAAGTAAATGTCCAAACGTACGGAAGGCCATCTCACTACCAATATCTTCGCCCATACTAATTAGGGCGATACCTAATACGGCCACGGCCTGCCTCGCCGAAGTGTCTTTATCCTAAAATTATAATAATACAGTATGATCCAAAAATTATGGTGAAGAAAGACAGCCGTCATATAGAAAAATGGCGACCGACTTCTCATTTTCTAAAGTTAGGTGCGCGACATATTTATTATTTAGTAAAAATGAGAAATCTATAGTCATTTTCCAATTTGGCAAAGTATTTAAATGGCGAATGTGTTTCAATTTTTGTCTTTTGATCTAGGAGCACAGTTTGTCATACTTGATAAAATGTTAGATCGGCCGCTATTTTTGAATACGGCGGCGCATCCAAGGGTTTATATGTAAAATTTTCCAGCTATTGGATTCATTTTAAAAAGGTAGCGGTAGAAAGTATAGGGAAGCTTTGACCTTCACTGTGATTGGTTAAAACACGAGTCAGTATTACAATGAAACATAAAACGACTGGTGAATTTTGTAAGGTGGTAGTTTATGTTGCCGACTAAATTGCCGAAGTGTCATTAGCTGTTATTGTGAAAGATTTATTTCTGTTCGCATTGCTGAATATTTCTACTTTACAATAATTTTTCCTGTGTGTGTTTATCTTCAAACACAGCGCCATCTACTACCTTCTTATAATGAATGCAGTATAGATAATAATTCCTGCACTAACCTTCTCTTTTTCTTTACTTTTATCTTTGTTCTTCTCATTTTTGGATTCTTCACGTTCCGGATTCTCATAATGCTCGGAGCATATATGTAACAACTGCTGCACTTTTAACACATTTCCGGTACCCGCATAAGCGCATATCTCCACCATAGTTACGGCCATAGATTTAAACGGTTCCGGAATTACTTCCAAAGCAGCAACTATTGCTTCTACGGCTTCTTGTTTGCCCAGAAAACATAAACCTAAACCTAACGGTAAAAACCTAAAAAAAAAATTGGTTTACCAAATTAATCCTCGAAACGAATGTACCTCGCGTATGTATCTTTAAGTTCAGTCTCAGTTTTTTCCATCAATGTTTGCATGATGGCTGCAGTTACGTCCGGATTTCCAGAACCGACTGCGATCATACCGCAGGCGAGACCCGCCATACCGATCACCTCCATGCTAGATTTCGGATCGGAGAAAACTGGCATAAGGAGACTTAAAACAGCATCCCTGTTCGAACCAACGTATGCCAAGCCTAGACCGACGATCGCACCTATACGCATAATGTTCGTGTTATGCAAAACGTAATCCGATAGAAGCGCCAAGGCCGGATCGCACTCGTTGCGTACTCCACAATTTACGATACCGCACGCCAATAATGCGCCCGACTTTATGTGATCTTCGGAGGAGTACAGATACTTGTCAATTGGAGTCAAACCACCATCCACATCCCAAAGCAGAACCTGAAATTATGGTATTTCTTTGAATCAACATACCCACAAAGCACAACGGTCAGATTTCTACCATCTATCAAATTTACGAATGGCGGCGACCCTACTCCTGATAAATATACTATTGATCTAGATCTCACGCCGCCATTGGAAGTATGTGTAAATTTAAATGTAGACACATTGTGCTATCTCTTAACGGGCAGAGTATATTTGGATTTCCAATGTAAAGAAGTCTGGCGAATAGGCTAGATCTAGGAAGACTAAGAGGAGGTAACCTCAAACCTAAGTGGTCGGACCTGACAGGACGTGTGAACGATTTTTAACCCAACCTTAGAATACCCAGCGCCACTGAGTTGCAATAAGTCTCCTTAAAAAATGTGTGTGGAGATATACAGGGTGGAGTCCCACCTGCAATAGCAGATAAACATACGTTTGATCTTGCTTCGTTTTCGAGTTATAGAAGCTTGAAGGTAATAAAGTGCCACCACTAACCTTATATTGTTTTCAGCTTAGTATGAAAATTTTGAGGTACCTACTGTATCTGCTATTACAGCGTAGATCTTTAAATTTGGGACACACTGTAGACATATTCAAAACAAGTTTATTCAGAGCAGCATACCGAAAGATGAAATAGTCAAAAAACCTTAAGCAGTCACCATGAGGGTCTAAATGGTTTTCTTCTCCTTTCTTTAGAAGAAAAGAAAAATTTAAGGGGACCTGTTCAGTTAAAATAAAAAATTCGACCAACTCACAATCATGGAAGATAGTTCAAACAAACAAAACAACAGTCTCTCTAGAAAAGGAAGAAGGGGGGGGGGAGAGAGAGAGAGAGAGAGGGCCTCACTCACTGAGTGTAATAAGACAAAAAGTAAACCCAAGAAAAACTGTGAAAAGATTCAACAACCTTCAGAGAGATCCAGCCTCCAAAGGAACGGAGGGGGGGGGGAGGAGGAGAATTGGTTTATTAAAAGTGATAGTAAACAGTTGAAGCCCAGTGAATAAAACTACCCTTGAGAGGATTTCTGAGCTTGCCTACCACCCTCAATAAAATCCGCTTTAGTTCAAGACACCAGAGGACTGTACTTACCAAGCCTAACGATGCAGTAGCGCTAAGCATTCCGTGCTCTTTATTTTTAAACAACCACTTGTTACCATCCTCCATAACAAGTTTATCCTGGCCAAAAGCGGCGTTAACGAAGCTATTGACGAAACTCGCTGCCAAATTTTGTCGTGCCGAGTCAACTTGCCCGCCCCCAAACTGGGGACGTGTGTTCTCGAGGTGAGATTTGTAAACGTCCTCCGGCGTTTTGGGTTCCATGATATCGAGCTACAAACTAATAATTAGCGTCAAGTTCTCGCAATGTCGTACTGTACCTCTCGCGCTAAATTTAAGAAATGATTATTGAGGTGACAATTTGCCATGATTTCGATCAAATCATCGTATTCAGGCGTGTGCTCATTAATTTCTATGTAAATCTGTTGTCTTCCCAAGATGAACGCCAACTGCTTCTGTATCGCTCTGTAAGAAAATAATTTCACTTGACCTCAAATTTTCATCATACAAGGCGAAGAATGGCTTAAGGCTGAATTACTAAGGTCTTTGTAAAATTTGAAAGAGTCTTCAAGATCCTCTAACTCTATCGAGTTTTGAAAATAAACGCTATTATTTTAAAATTTATTGAATGAAGAACAATAATTAATGATTGCAAACATTACAATCGGTTCTTTTCAGCACCACAAAATGTTTAAAAAAAAATTCGCTTTTTCCTTTAATTACATCATCGTCCTTCATTTAATAAATTTTAAAACAATAGCATGTATTTTTAAAACTCGATAAACTCATTAACAATTGAATTTTGGTACATTATAATTGTTACAAATTTTGCTTAAAAATGAAAGAATTGAAATATCGAATAATATACAGGGCGTTCCATTATTCTATTCTATTTGCAGGGGAGTCCGACCGGGCAGCACTTAGGCACATCAGAGGCCCATTGTGTCTACCCCCTTTCTTTCGCAACTAAGTTCCATTAAAAAAAGATATAAATTTGGTGTCATGCTTTTATGACCAACCCTGTATAATTAAAATTATTACTGCCTAGTACACATTGAAGAACCTCAAAACTTTTGTATACATTTTTTTTATAACTTGCATATTTTCCTCGATAATCGACCGTTTCCAGACTTAACAGCGACCATGCATATACAGGGTGTTTTTTGGGAGCTTTAGTTGAACGTTTCTGGGAAAGTAAAATGGGTAGAATTTTGAAAATTTGTACTTAGGAGTTACTTTGAATGCCGAATCGATGTAAAATATTTTCAAAATGGCCGCCCTTCCGGAAGCACCGGAAGTAGATAGTAACTTCGTTATTTTAAATAGCAACCCCTATTTTTTATTGGATTTTTGGATTCTGCGTGAAATTTCAGTTCTTTTGACTTTAAGCAAAAAAAATGGCGGATGCAGATAGTACCTTGATAATGGATTACTTGAAAACGGTTGTAGTCATGGCAACCTATTTTTATCAGTGGATAGAGAATGAATAGGGATTTCTTTTAGTGCACTTAAAAAAAAGTTAAGCTGCGTACGACCGCCCCTATGGAGATCCAAATTTATGAAACTTCAAAGACTAAAAACTCGTTTTTTTTTAATAGAAAATGTTTCGATTTTTGAAAAACTTATGTTAACCTATAACAATAGGTGACGGATTAGTGTCACTAGATTTGTTTAAAATTCGATTGTTATAAAATCATGGCCGACTACTAAAATGAAAATCCGAAAAAAATAGTGTCAATTCAATGAAATGGGAATAAATCAGAAACTGTTAAAGATAGCTATAGGAATATGTAATATCAAAATATGCCCATTTCGATTCTTTATCTCATGCAATAGTAAGAACATGGTCATTCCATTTAAAAAAACTGAGTTTATAGACTTTGAACTTTCTTAAATTTGGATCTCCATAGGTGCGGTTATACGCAACTTAACTTTTTAGCCCATTTTCCAACGAAGTTGGGTGCGCTATTGCAGCCACTTTCTCTGTCCGTCTGTCCGAGGCCTTAACTACTCCTACAGTTTTCAAGATATTTAGTTCGTTCTTTTTGTATTCGGTAGCGTATCGCTCTGGCACCTGTCAAGGAAAATCTTGACGATTGAACTGCGCATGCGCAGGTTGCGCAATGTGCAATGTTAACTTTTTTATTTATTAGATAATATATCTTGTTGAAATTTTAATCACAGATACTTGCAGCAAAGGCAAATATATCGCATATCGTAAAAATCAGATGTGTGCATGCGCAAACTGCGCAATGCCAACTTTCTTATTTATGGAGATATTTCTTTGAAATTTTCACCAAACATGCATACAGTAAAAGCAAACGTATTGCAAATTGTAAATATCAGATTAATAAGCGCATGCGCAGGACACATAATATCAACTTCCTTATTTATGAAGATATTTCTTTAAAATTTTAACCATGTATGTCTCTAGTATTGAAGAACATAGCGCACATAGGTATGACCCTTGGGGAAAAAAAGGAAAAGGTCGTCGTGTTTCATTCCTCCGACATCCCTGACTACAGGGACGCCGGAGGCGGACTGCTCAGGTTTGCCAGAGCCTCTTCAGCCGGAGAACGGGTATGTAAGGATAGGTAAAGTTAGTGATGGGAACGGAAGGAACGGAGTTAGGGTGCTGAGGGGGAGAGTACTGCTCCAGCATTCGCATCGTAGATTTCAACATAATACTAGCATTATGCGAAGCTACGTATGTCTGAGGAAAACCCCCTGACAAAACCCCAGACAGAGCAATTCGAACCCACGACCTCCCGAATAGCATCGGTGAGCGCAGCCACTGCGCCACGTGCCTCGGTGCCCTTGGGGAAGTATTGATCAATTTATGGAAAATGCGCTGAAGTTACTCGCCTTAGGGCGAAAACTTTTTTACTTGTTTTTAAGTACACTAAAAATGGGTTGCCATGACTATAAGCGTTTTCAAGTAATCAATTATCAAGCTACCATCTGCATCCGCCATTTTTTTCATAAAGTCAAAATAACTTAAAAACCATAAATGGCAGATATCGACATGTGGGTATCAAAAGAAATGAAATTTCACGTAGAATCGAAAAATGCAATACAAAATTAGGGTTGCCATTTAAAATAACGAAGTTACTATCTACTTCCAGAGTTTCCGGAAATGCGGCCATTTTGAAAATATTTTACATCGATTCGGCCTTCAGAGTAACTCCTAAATACAAATTTTCAAAAACCTACCTATTTTACTTTCCCAGAAATATTTAACTAAAGCTACCAAAAAAACACCCTGTAGATGTGTAAAAATAAACAATGAAAACTTTTTTTATAAGATATTTTTCGTAACTGCAAAAGTAGGTATGTACCATGTGCCCTAGTTTGGTTGAGTGTATGTCAGCTGTTTTTAAAGATGGAGACTTGGGGTTCTCTCGACCCTGTGTCACTTTTTTTGTTTTTTTTTTTGTGATTTTACTTATCCAGGTAAGATGGAAGAAAAGTAAAAGTTTACTATTTTAGATATTTTTACGTAGAATCGAGTGGCGTAGTCAAAAAAAATTTTGAACCACTGATTCTGAGATCTGACCCAAAGCTGGCAGTTTTTTAATCCAACACCCTGTATATCTTAACGTCATTTTTTGCATTGCTTTTCCTGATTACATTGATGTATCACACCCTATATTTTTTAATATATTCATATTTTTCAAAATTTTGAAATGACATGTTTCTACCGTCAATTATTTTTATTGATCGGTATGGGTTGCCTTAGTTACGATGGATACAATAAACAAAACAAAAATCTCCATGAATCCATGGCCTACTATTTAAAAACAGTAAAAAATACGGTTTTTATTATCTTTAATGGGTAAAATTTAAAAAATATGTTGTGAAGCCACATAATCAGGAAAAAAATTGACGTTAAGATATGCAAGGTGTTTCATTTAAAAAATACCAAAATTGGGTCAAATCTCGAAAACAGTGGTCAAAAATTTTTTTTAAATTTTTATTAAACAGGCAATTGTTCCCTTTTTTCTATCTTATATGGGTAGTAAGAAATGATAACATCCCAGAAAGTCAAACTTTCCGTTTTCACCTTGTATTTCGGAAACACATGTAGCTAGATTGGTCCTGTTTCTGGTATTATATGGTTAAGAAAAAAGTGGCACAGGGTCGCGAAAACCGCAAGTCTCTATCTTTAAAAACAGCCAAGATACACTGCAGTCTCAACCAAAATAGGACACACGGTACAAGCATCAGGTACCTTTAAAGAACAACATTTTCCCCGACCCCAGAATTGAGGCACCAACCCAGCTATTGAAAAGAATCGCCCAGAGGGCACTGAAGTTGGTGTTATAGCCAAAAAGCCTTTTCATTTCAATGAACCATTGAACAATGCACATTGCTATAATACTATAGCCCTCGAGTCGTCATTGCTGTGTGCCATTGCTCTGATCACCTTCACATTTTCAAATTCAATTACACACATGGGCGCTATTAATATTTAAATTCCGAATAAATTCAGTCAAATTGCGCGATAAGCTGGAATACTCGAAACAATCGACTCGAAAACGACACAGGTCAGCTGAATGCTTGGCTCCAATGAACTAAGTTGGTTCAAAATTGAGCAGAGTCGAGTTCGTTTGTGGTCACCCCCAAATCCAAATTTTTTTGTGAAAATGTGAACTGCAAATTCTCGACTTACAAATAATTTTTGCACATACATTGGAATTATTACTTTTTTCAAAAACTAACTTGAATTTTCAAAGATCCTCGAATATCAAGTATAGGCAAGATCGCAATTGTTTTTCACACCCACATTTAAGGATGCGCCATCTAGGGTTAGGAGTTATCAAACGAAATTTACAAACTTGGAAACAGCAAAGCAATCAGCTGCATTCCTTGTGTTTTCTTGCCATACTTACCGGTAACTTTCAAGTGATCCGAATATAGACATTACATAACTCAAGAGACAATTCCAAATTTATAATTAGAAAAAAACCCAAATTGTCCCTATAATGTTCATTCGTGTTTTGGATAATTAGATGGTGAGGTAAAATGGTAAAAGGAAAGCGCTACTTACCGGTACGTTTCCATTTTCTTAATGTGATATGGCATCACACTTTGTGGAATTCTTCGTTTTCATTTATTACTTTCATAACACTTGAAATGAGGAATGAGGATAAGGGTAGAGGAATGAAATAATTAACATGGGGGGCTAACTTTGTTAGCAAATTACGTAAGTGGTCAAATTCTATACGTTACACAAATAAACAATGTTTTAGTCCCAACCCGTTATATACATGTCAATAATCCACCTATTTCAAATTTTACAAATTCATTGCTACCACATTAGGGTACATAACTCCTCCGTAGAATCAGTATCCTGATGTACAGGATGATTCAAAAAGAGATGGTACCATTTTACATTTCATTAATTTTTTCCACAGTGGTTAAAAATATATGTTTCCTCTAATAATTTGATACTTGTAATCCGAAAAACAAAAGATGCCTAGGTTTTGGAAATCACCTAGCCATCTATTCAACGTTTTCAAAAATAAGCAAGGTTACCACTAGGAACCATTATCTTGAAGTATACAGGGTGATTCTTAATAAAATAATTCGAAACCATTGACGATTAATCATGAATATACTTACGTATCTTTACAAGATGTAAAAATGTCTTCGATCAATGCATGGTCATTCAACTGCATAGCTAACCGTAAAGACTGCGGATATTGTTTGAATTTGCGAAACAAATGTAAGGCCGTTTGCAGAAGTGTGGTGTTTTCAGGATCGGCAACGTAAGGCACGCAACTGCAAAACATACACTTCATCTATGACAAACAAAAATAAACATCGCACGCACCTTGTAAGATATAAACAAACTCTGGGATAAACATTCTCGTCAACATACTGCTCTAATAAATCCAACCTTTCGATTTCCATCAATAAATCGCAAGCTTCGGCCTCTGCGTTATGGGCCATATTGTAAGGTACAATTTGGCAAACTAATTGGATCAGTTGTTTCTTTACCTCATTCTCAGATTCATTTTCTCCAGTGAACTCCGCCCATTCCGCGGCAATTTCCCCTGACAAGTGCCTATCGTAAAATTCAATCAAAAACTGTTTCAGAGATTAGTTACATTACCTTATGTATTCATGCCCCCAGTCTCCGACATCATCCAAGGTAGATCGCAAGCGATAGTGCAAACATTGCCTCGGCTTACCCATTGTCATCGCTAATACCGAAATTATATCGGCACAGACTTTAGCTATTTCCCCTTCTAACTTTTCGTGAATCTCCATCATGGTAGCGTAGTGAGGTTTCATAAACTTTAAAGGTTTTGGAACAGACGTCATTGACGTTGTGGACGCTCGAATCAGTTTTCCTAATGTTAGTAGAGGTGGCATGCAGAGTTCGCCATTATTTTCCTATAGATAAATATGACCAAGTATTAACAAATAAAATTCAATTGATCTCATTGTTTAAACGATGAAAACATAACAAAAGAGGCGTAACACACAAATTATACAACTGACGAGTTTCTAATCTTACAAGTACATACCAGCAACACTTCCACGCACAAGTTTAATTCATCTTGAAGAAGTTTGTCCTCTTCAGACTGCAATAAAGAAAATGTTAAATAATTGAGAAAATGCAAGAAGTAAAGTTTACCAATTCCGAGCGATCTTCTTCATTTTTTTGCTCGGCTTTTTCGGGTTTCTTTACTATTACATCGGTCATTTTGCCGTTTATCTTTTACAATTTATTCGATTTTGCCGTTAATAACCTCCTTCACGATCATGAGCTTTCAAGAAAACATTTGCTAAATGCTAGTCATCCAAAGGAACAGTGCTGCCAACCAACCAATAGATATATTTTCTACAGTATGCGGCAAAATCATAGACAGAAATAGAAACTGTATTTTCATTTTTGCCATTGTTATGTTGCACACATTTTTCCGACTGCGTAACGTTGTAAGAGAACGGGAAAACTGTTTGCGACGCGAACGCTTTTTCCGGCCACCTTAAATTAATTCGCCGCAAAGAGAGCAGAGCATATGGTAAACGCACTTAAAATCAGCCATCAGCACTAGGCGGGGACTACTACATAGGCGCCAACTGCGCCGGGGCACAAGGACACGTGCCCCGGCTCGAAAAATGTAGGGGGGGGGGCAATGCCACCCCTAGAAAGTTCATATACTTTAATAAGTAAAAACAACAAATAAGCCTCTGATTTTCGTTGTCTTGTACGGGTTTATTCGATTGAGGATGAATTGAGAGTATTTTTACACTTTATTTCTTTCCTTCTGGAGAAATTTTAAGTTTGAACTGCTCGTAGTTAGGTATATTTACTTATTATGTACATATAACATAAGTAGGAGAGTAAGTAAATTTTTGAAAATACAGAAATATAAATTATCTTTGTGTCAAGTTTTTAGTAGTAACGGTTGTGCCCCCCCCCCCACTCCTGGAATTTTCAAAAGTCGGCGCCTTTGGACTACTACATATATTTCGTTGTAATATCCGAAGTATCACTATTCTTGTAAATTGTATTTTTCCGCTATCGTCGGTCACTTATTTAAATTCGCACCAATGACATCTAACAATAGGTATAACCTCAAAATATATATGGTAGTATATGCGATTAAAATGGAGAATTTTGCTTAGACATGACCAGAGATTTACAAACACCAAACATCTACTTTTGCTATTGCTACGAAGGTTCGTAGATGAATGCAAGATTTTTAATATATGAAATTTAGATTTTTTAAGATATATTTCCGATAACATGATCTGAATCAGAGGTGCGATGATTTTAAATTTTTAAGAAATGTACATTCTCCTGGAAAAAATTTCGTGATGTGTTATATCTAGCCGTCATCACAAAAGTTTGAAAAAACGTAACTTTATCTTTTCTATCATTTCAAATTAAATTATAATTTTTAGAACAAGCGTACATTTCAATCCTGGTTTTGTAACTATTCATCAAATCTTTAATTAGCGCGTTTAAAACTTTGCATTTGTTTTACACGTACCTACTTTAACTTCGCTAACATATTAGCATATACACATTTTCCGTGTGATGTTGCTCTGCATGATTCGATTTAACTGTTTTGTGAAGGAAGCGCCTAATACATTCCGATCCTTCGCTGTATCTATTACTTTCCTCTCGTGCGAGTCTTACAGCTTTTGCATCTTAGTTATACGAGACCGGGGGTGCTCTAATTTGAAGATTCTCTGTACGGCTTGCTGATTTATATAAACAGGACTTAGGCTGATACAACAAATGGTTTTTAAAAATTGTGGAAAAATTCAAAGGCATATTCTTAGCGATCGGTTCCTACTTTGATCCCCACCACTCCGTCGGCGCGCTCTTAAATTTCGTGTTACAATTTGTTTAGTGTACATTTTGATTTTGGCATCTGTTTATTGAAACATAACATGCTCCAAATTATTTTGTGTACCGTATCTATAACTGAATCATGTTGCTTTGTTATGATGTACAGGTGGTTATACTTTTATATTATTTGATGAAGAATGTATTTATGTGATCGAGAGTTGTCTAGTGTAACTTGGTTTGCTATTAATCATTCTATTAGCCGTTTATACCATAGAGAAAGCACCTAATACAGTTTCGACTTTTCTTTTCTTATCTTGTGCGAACTGCAGCCCTATGTGTCTTAGCAATACGAGAAAGAGAGGGCGATCTAATTAACTCTTTTGTTTCTGTGATGATCTACTTTGGTTCCATTTTCACCTGCTTTTTCGCGTTGCGTTAATCGTAGCCGATGCCGTAGTAGAGCCATGCCCACTTTGATGTTTTTTAGGTACAGACAATTTATCATTTTGCAAGTTAAGAATTTGAGAAGAAATTGGAAAAAATAATCGTAAATTTGAGAAACAGAAGCATGAACAGAAAAGGGGGCGTACAGGACACGTCTGAAAGACAGACAAGAACAGAAAAATGACAAAGAGTAAAAGGAGTTGTGAAGTTGCAGTCCTCTTGTTGTATTTTAGATATTTTCTTAGTTTTTTGTACCATATCACAAGGTTTCTTTACGACATCCACAACCTGTGGAAGGAAGGGAACATTTATAGAGTATTTTGTCCACATGAACCGTCTTCTTTTTCAAAGAAAAGTATTTTTGTCAATGTTCACATTGATAGTCAGTGCTGGATTATTAAAATTTTTATTTATGATACACAAAACTTTATTATTTACATAACGTAATAAATATATATTAACTTATTGAAACATGAAACTATACATCCCAAGAGGTGGTATTTAAGCTCTGTAAATAAATAAATTTAAATCAGATCAACATTTACTATCATTTAAGATCTTAGAAGAGTGGCTACTCTGGTAAGACCTTGTCTAAAAAAATGCATCGCCATACACGCGGGGTTAGTTGTAAGTTCTGAGCAAAACAAAAATAAATGCGTTGTGCAAGGTGCAGAACGAGCATTGCAAGCTTAGCCAACACCTTTTAATACGGACCACATTTTCCTCCTAGACACAGAAAGTGGTGTTATGTAGAGACCTCATACCTATAAGTCTCTAGTAACTACAAAATATTTTGTTGCATGAACATGTTTCAATTTATTATCGTTTAGATTACACCAAAGCAGGTGTAGGAAAATGTGTGATAGGGGATGTGTTGTGATAACGTGAAGGTTTGTGAAATTTCAAAATTGAGAGTATGGTACATGTTCACGCAATCCACATTTTTCATAGCTACCCACGTTTCTTCTTTATGGATGCAACTCTTCACCAGTTCCCTGAAGGACAATACAATTTTCACAGCCCATATGCATTCAACCATAAAACAAAGGCAAGCCGATTATACTCCAGCTGTCAAAATCAGTAATTATAAAACAGAAGGGTGCAAACTGAATTGCGAAACATATTTAGGTTTCCACCTGTCTGTTTAATAAAAATTCATCACACATTTCCTAATAGCTCCTGCTACCAAATAGCATTTTCCATCTCCAAAGTAGTTAAAATGTGATGCTTTAGTGTGGGTCACTCAACATCACATGGTAAGCTAAAAACAAATTATACCTGGCGTCGTAAGGCCAGAGTCAGTCGCTATTATGGACAACAGCATTAATGCAGATAATAAGCAGTATATATTGTAGACACAAACAAACACATTGTTACATTCTTTTGCAGACCAACACATCTAGAAATTAACTACAGCCCAAATAACTTAACCCGTTACTTTAACCTAATCAATACTGAAAATAGGTACATATCTAATAATTCCCCAGGTTCTAAACTGACTAGGACAACTGCCAGCTTTAGCTAACATTTGCAAATAAATAGGGCATTATCCATGCCCATTTTTACAACACAAATCCAAACTTACAATGAATTTTGAGAATTGTATCGAAAATTTGTTATTTATATCTGTAGTCAATTGAAATGCTAAATCAATTCGCAGTTAGTAATAAATAAAAGGTAGCACGTTATTTGTAAATTCGCATTTGTTAGTAATCAGTCATGCAATCAAATTAATTACCAAGCTCTTGTATCTGTTTGAAGAATATAATCGATTATTCTCTGAACTATCTCGGTACTACTAGCTGAACCGCCCAAATCTGAAACGAAATGAGATCACAGTTCCCAAACGCAAGCATCACGTACCTGGTGTGTGTAGTTTATCTTCGCATATCACTTTACGTACTGCATCAGAAATCACTTGAGAATGTTGTTTGTGACCTAAATGATCTAACATGTCAATGCTAGCGCTAATCATTGCGATCGGATTCGCTATATTTTTTCCAGCAATCGCCGTACCGGTATTACGTGTGCCAGGTTCGAAGATAGCGTACTGCAAGTAAAACGTTACCCTCGTTTACATACCAATGGCAAACTCACATGATCGCCATAGTTTTTACCGGATAGTAATCCAGCACCTCCGACTAAGCCGCATACAACATTAGAAACGATCGTTCCATATAAATTCGTCATGATCATCACATCGAATTGATGCGGTCTCGATACTAACTGCATACAGCAATTGTCGATGATCATGTCGTTGTGTTCGATCTCAGGGTAGTCTTTGGCGACTTTTTGTGATGTTTCCAAGAATAATCCGTCGGAAAGTTTCCTTAGTAAAAAAATTGTTACTAATACTGTTCATCGGGCTTGTGAGTTTTATTATTGTATTTAAAGCGATAGGGAGTATGTGCAGCAAAAATGTTTGTGTACAGGGTGGCCAAATAAGAATGCGAGGTACTGTATCTGGGAACCTGTCCATTGTAGAGGCTTGCGGTAAAAAAAGTTATTACTAAAACGGCCACGAGAAAAACCTGGAAAATATTTTTAAGTTTCTGAAATGGCCGCTAGGGGGCGTAACTGCAATCTGGAATCTAAAAAAGTGATGTTTCTGTGAATTCCGCTATATTAACCTAACAAAAAAATGCCCGGTCTTTGAAGTCGACGATGATCTGAAACTTTTTTGATTGACAATTTTTGCTGTATCTCTAAAAATGAAGTGGTGGGGGGTATTCAAAGGTTTCCGTAAAGAACAACATGCAGTTTTCGCGAGCTTGTTTAGGCATCATTTAGCTATTGTTTCATGAAAAAAAAATCGAACCAATGCATTTAATTTTCTTGAGAAAATTAACCATTTCTGTCGGAATGTCAAAAAAAGCCCTCGAGCGGTGATATGTGAAACTAACAAAACTTCAAATATTATATTTGTAGCTGAAGAATAGCTCTTTTGAACTAACCTGAGTTTGTTTAAATCGGCTTAGCCGTTTGGAAGATACAGGGTGTTATTTACGGAAACCTTTGAATACCCCCACCACTTCATTTTTAGAGATACAGCAAAAATTGTCAAACAAAAAAGGTTCAGATTATCGTCGACTTCAAAGACCAGACATTTTTTTGTTAGGTTAAAATATCGTAATTCACAGAAACATCACTTTTTTAAATTCCAGATTGTAGTTACGCCCTCCAGCGACCATTTCAGAAACTTAAAAATATTTTCCAAGTTTTTCTCGTGGCCGTTTTAGTAATAACTTTTTTACCGCAAGCCTCTACGATGGATAGGTTCAAGGGTGGATGGGAAACCATAAACCGGTCCGTGAAATATACTTGACTATGGACCCACTTAGCGGGTGGGGGAGGAGGTACTCAATGCGCCCTAAATGCAAACATTTATGATTTTTCTAACACTGATTGTTGATAATTATTTCCCTAGATTCCCTTCTAGATTATTGTTACACAATCTGTTCCTTAATCGGAATTATACATTTCAGAATTGCGAAAGAATACGAATCAATTAATTAATGTACAAGTCTTAAAATGGATTAATTTATAACAGTAATTATAAGCGCGAACTATTCATTACTTCGGCGTTGAAATTGACACTGATTGAAATGCACTTCGATTTGCTTATATGGCAAACACCGTTCATTCTGGAAGGCTCCCGAGTATTCTAGAATGTTCTCTAACGAACACGTCGTATTTCCCGGAAAGATTGCGTCACATCTGTCTTCGCTCTTTATCGCCGATTCATCTTCTCTCATGGCGCCTCGGAATTTCTGGAACATTCGCTATAATGTTTCATGATATAAATTCTACTGGTAATCGCACTATACAGCATCTAAAACAGTTTTGACAACTACCCCAAACGGCATTTTTAGAGAAATCATCTCCATTTTGTTTTTCATCTGCATCGTTCGGAAGCAATGCGGCGGGCGGTCGACAATTTTTATATATTTTTTTTTTCAAGAAATCTCAATTGTGGTTGCCCCCGACAGGATCTTAAAATGTCTTCTCGTAATCGAACAGGTCTGGCATTTTTCCCAACGTTTTTCCAGTAGATTATTAGGCAATACTTCATTTTTAATATCAGGGAAATTATGTGAATTTAAAATGGAAAGAAAGCCTTAACATAGAAATTCTCAATATTCATCCAATTTTTACTCATTTAAATATCATTATTTCATTTTTAGCGCATCTTTGCAAATTTGTGTCAAAGGTAGCTTTTAATCTTGAGCCAGCTGGCTAGCTGGCTGGCAGCAAATGCGAGTCTGTAGAAAAACACTTGGAGGAAGACAAGGAGTGCTGCGGGTGTCGTGTAATTAACAAGTTACTACATGATGCGGTTGGCGACATCTGGGAGCCATCCCGAAGCGTGTTGTACTAACGTGGTGATTTTTCCTTCTTCTTCTACAGTTTTGGTCCGATTGTGCGCACCTAACAGTTTCTTAAGTGCTCGAATTGCGGTCTCTTTTTCTCGTGTCGCCAATAGAAACCGGAGCTATGAGAAGTACCCCTAAAATTGAGTACTATTTTGTGGAGGGTTTTTAGCAAAATCCACCAAAATACGAATTGCGGGTGAACGGGGCGTCGGAGGTGGGTACCGACAAAGGGAATGTGGTAGCTTTCAACAAGATCTTATTGATGGAAGGACTTTGATCACTTTTTATTTACACCGTCACCTTCTAATATTAATTAATTAATTACTTGTGGCAGCATAGCCTGGCTTTATCTCTGTTTTCATTTGTGATGCTGCCAGCCACAAAGTGCTCATGGATCCTACCGGCCCACCGGGAAAGTTCCCAGTATCCCGCCGGCCCCATCCACCCCTGGATAGGTTCTCAGATATAGTACCTCGTATTCTTAGTTGGCCCCCCTGTACAGAGGACAACATGTTAATGATTACATTGCGAATTTAATAATAACAATAACAGTGACTTTATTTAAAAAAAAAGGAACTAATAAAATAATAAATCAAACATGTTTACAAGGCGACAGAAAAAAAATCTGCCGTCTGCTTTACCACTTAACCTTGCATGGAAAAATGATGAACAAAACAAAACCAATATACCCTACACAAACGAGGCTGCTCAACCGTAATGACTCGCGGACGATGCGCATGCGCAATGCTTTTTGCATCTGCATAGTTGCCTGAGGTTTAAAGAATATTTACTAATACAGCAAACCGGACATCCATATGTTCTTTGTAACAAGAGTTATATAAAAGAAACCCTTCTTGGAGGTTTGGGCAGTTTTGGGCTGTAACTTTTTGACCCGTTGGTCGACGTAGCCGAAAAAAATAGCGATCTTTCATATATCCTGAAGTACATGTGTATCAATTTTCAAAGCGATCAGACGTTTCTACGCAAAGTCATCGTGCACACGGACAGACAGACAACAAATGAATTTAAGATTTTTAATTATACATATTAGCTTGTCGCTTTATAAGCGGTATTTAATATTTAAAAGCACGTGCGTAGCGCAGCGGCAAGGTCGTCGCCTATAGATAATGAAGACGCGGGTTCAAACCCCCCCCCCCCGATCTCACGCTATTTCAAAAATACGGCGACGTGAGCGGAGTATGTCAAAGAAAAAAACTCTCCGTTTAAAATCGTAGGCAAAAGAAAGTGCAGAAACCCGCAAAGGGAGAATTGGGTGGGTATTTTTTTTAATTTGATTTTTTTTGTTTTTAGTTAGAAGTATATTCTTCTGTATGTATTTACACGTGTAATGTCGTAAAATGCGACTAAAAAACAGTCAGTCAACCACAACCCCAGCGCTGGAATGAAGATGACTTCTTTCCCGATTTATGACACTTTTAGGCAGTTTAGTCTTACTCGCAATACAAAAAGCGGAAACCCAAACTGTCGGTTTTGCTCCCCAGGAGCGGGACGACGTCGAGCACGCGTTTTTGACTGCCCGTGTTGGCATAGGGATGGAACAGTCTTAGCTTCAGATACAGGTTGCATACTTTTACCGGAAAACTGCATAACAACAATGCTAACTAGTCAACAAAATTGGTAAAAAATTGCATTTGCGTTTTTTGTTTGCAGTGTCAGAAGAACTCGTATGGAATAAAAGTAGGGGGCAATGCTATGTGCAAGATTATGTAAGGTGCTAGATGTGGTGCGCCGTTATGAACGTACCCGTACGGTTCCCTAGAGTAAAAAGGACACATGGGTGTAGGCGCGATTTTGGTTGTTAGGGTGGTTTCTTCCAAGTTTAGGTCGGGAGTTAAATTTTTAAGGGGTTGCGCAATTTTTAGGATTGTGCTACAAAACATATAGGGTGGTGAAACATTAGAAGCACCATAAGACAAAATTAATGGGATGTATTTACCCATCCGGCTGAATCACATACGCTCGCACATGAATATGCAGCACGAGAATTGCCAATTCTGTGGAAATTTTCCGCTAGGCTCGTCCGAGGTTTCTGGCAAATTGTTCTTCTGGAAATGTGGTTCGTGAAAAGAACCAAGAAACGGATAATTTATCTCCTTTCACAGGAGTTTCTTTTTAGCGACGCTTTGCATCGCGTCGCGTAGACGAGCTGAGTGCAGCGCAAATGAGAATCGGCCTTAAATCTATGTACTATGTCTATGACAATGGTCATTGTGTGTTGCGTACCCTACCCTACTGATGAAATAATGCTCCTACGAACGTTATGGACTAAAGAAGTAAGTACAAAAGAAAAGGGGAAAAAGTAGATTATCATTTAATATACAATAATTTAAATCAAAAATTAAAATTTTTTAATTTTTGAGGTTATGAACACCTAAATCATTTGCGCACTTTTTAAACTTTCATACAAATATTCTACCTATATTTTTGTATTTAAAGTTTTCGTTAACATTTTACCAACAATATTGTGCGTGTAAAACAGCAATTTACGAAAATGTTCAGTGATGTTTTGGTAGTAATTCTAAAATGTGTAAAATGGCTCCAGGAAGAGCACACAAATTTACCTACACACCTACAGCAAAAATACATACATGATGTTTGCCTTATGTATTGTGGTAACCTTCTTCCGGTTATTCCTCTTGGCGTATTCAAACGCAAACCTTGCCACTCTTTCTGAATTTGATTTTGTTACTATTTTCATACTTTCAACGACTCCTTCGACACTCTAAAACACATTCTACATTTACAATGTCTAGATAGAGATGTACTAGGTACCTCATGTTCGAGCATGGCGTATTCGCCTTCGGTATTTTGACGAATAATTATAATATCGATGCCTTTTTGTCGTGCAGGTACACCGGGATACGAATGACAATGTAAAACATTCACAAATAAATCAAGTTCATTTCTAATGGCTACGTTTCTAGATTGCACACCGGTGCTTTCACTTTTTGTTTCAATATTTCCTACAAATACCAGTAAGTAACAAGTTTTCAGACACTTACACTGTACCTTTAATAGCGACACCATTTCGCTTTATAGATGTAATCGCATACTCTAAATCATTTGATTCATCCGACTTGGGATCAATCTCTACGACTTCAAAATCGACTGGAGCTCCAGCATATTTAAATATTTCCTTTACGTACACCATTAGTTCAGGTCCTATTCCTCCCCCAGGAAGCATTGTTACAGCATGTCGTCCACCGTACAATGCCACCGGTATTGGTTTCTAAATCAAATAAAATTAAATGTACCTCGCAGACACACATTCTGAACCTACAGTTTTCTTAACCAAAGGTTGTTTGTGTTGGATTTCGAAATCAGACATAGGCAAAGCCGTCGCAGCCTACAACAAAATAATGTGCTACACGTACTGCTCGAACATCGAGCAACTTACTGTTCTTATAATTCCATTGCCCGATGGTAATTTCGCTAATCCCGAACTCTAAAAAAAATATTACATTGGGAATTGCCCACTTTGACACTTACAAATTCGTGCAGTTTACGGTGTAAACCCGAATTTGTGATAATTCTGGCTGCCATAGTTTTTGAAGGGACACTATTATTAAAATTTCAATATTTTCGGTTTTTTTTATTTAGGATGTTAGGTAATACATGTTCTGCACAAGCGCGCCACCACTGAACAAAAATAACCCGTAATTTGAAATGTAAAGTAAGGTTTACACTACACGAGTAACTAAAGATTGAATTACGTTTAAAATTGTCAATACTTATTTCAAATTTCAATGATATTGTTTTTATCACCTAATTTTTATTGTTTTATCGTTGTGCACATTTTTTTGCTTGATTTTTACGATTCGATTCTTGAATTTCTGGAAGTAGAACTACTGAAAGTGGGCGTGGTTTTCTCACTGTCGTCAATTGGCATTACTTCTACTCCTCCGTGACTCCCCGGGGATCAATACTGTTCGATTGCGAATTTGTAGGGAGTTAGCAGGGAACCACGCATTTTACTATAATCACAAACAGCGTCTGTGGGCCGGCAAGATTTTTTCTAAACTTTAATAGTGTTCCTTTGATAGTTAGAGGATGTACCTAGTTTTGTGGGATCAGATTATCATAAATATTCAGGAAGCTGAACAATTTGCAATAGAAACCTACATTAGAAAAAATCCATTCATGCTGTTGGACCAAAAATGTGCAAAATTGTTCAGGAAAACTATTACTTCTTCCTGGTTTTTTACTTGCCGCTTTTGTGTATGTGGCTGTAAATCTTCCCACAAACATTTCCTCGTGTTCCAACACAAAATCAGTTAATGTTTGGTTTTGAGCAGAACTGATATACTGCCACATTTAAAGTTGAATCCATAACAAAGTACAAAGTTGCAATCTTACACAGGTAAAAGTTGTCAGGGAAATGAAAGGTGTTCTCGTTTGTTTACGAAATTCTAACATGCGATTGGTTGAGAACCTTGACAACGCTGCATGTGTTCTGTCGTAGAACTCTACTCTTTCTACTCTAATGTACTCAAGAATCAAGGCCCAGTTCGATTTGCTTCCTATTAGAATTACAAAATAGATTTATTAAACTTGCATTTATTCACCAACATATTATGCACCTCAAGCACCCTTCAAAATTGCATCGTATAAACATAACATAAACAATTAAAAACCTTTATCAAAAATACATTATTGCTTGTCATAATTTAATATATTATATCTACTAAAACTATAAATGAGATTTTTGCGAGTTATTTTCAGGTTTCCACTGATATGTACCAGTATATCGAAAATTATTACTGTATAATAATTTGTCTGCCTCTATTGGACCGCGACTTCCATAGCTACAATTAAGTATAAATTAGAAAAATAAGGTTGGTACTAGAAATATTACACGTACACATATTGAAAGGGTTTCACCTTATTCTCCTCAATATTGTGCAAAATTGGTGTAAAAATCCTCCACGCTTCACTTAATTCATCTGATCTTACAAAATGCATTTGCGACCCGCAAAACACGTCCAAAATTAATCGTTCGTAGGCGTCAGGTAATTTCACATTCTAAAATAATTACATAAATTAAGACTTCTTGAAACTGTTATTTACCGCGTATCTCTTATCGTAGGTCAGATCCAGTTCCGTTTCCTCCATATCGAAAGCCATGCCTGGAGTTTTGACCATTAATTTAACATAAAGGGCCTCTCCGGGTTGGACTCGAATCACAAGTTCATTTCTTTGGGGTTTTCCATCGAAGATATCACCAGAAACGTCTTTGAACTGAACCCGAACTTCGGCTTTTCTTTCATTTAATGCTAGAAAATCAATTTAAGACCATGTCATGCACAAAAATTGTATGTATGTTAAGGGGTCCCACAAGGTGTTACATAAAAACCTTTATTTTTACTAGATCCTGCACCCTTTTTAGTAATTGACAAAGTGAAATCAATAAACATTTCGATTTCTAGTTAGAAGACATACCTTTTCCACACTTTAATATAAAAGGGACACCATCCCATCGCTCGTTATTAATCTGGATGATACCTAACGCAAATGTAGGTGTGATAGAATCTTTAGGAACCGTTGTATCATCTAAATATCCCAGTTTAGCCATTCCTTCACCAGATGGATCGCCGACATATTGCCCAAGAACAATGTTTTCCATTTGTAGCGGTTTAATACATCTCAATACCTTCACCTTCAATTCGTTAAAAATTAGTATGATACCAGAAAATGATTTAATACCTTTTCATTTCTAATATCGTCGGGTTGAACGGAAGCGGGCTTCTCCATTGCCACAAGTGTAAGTATCTGTAGTAAATGATTCTGCATAATATCACGAATAATACCAAACTGATCAAAGTATCCGCCACGGCCTTCAGTACCAAAAGGCTCTTTGAAAGATATCAAGACTGACGCAATATTGTCACGATTCCAAGTAGGATTGAAGATACGATTTCCAAACCTGCAGTTTTGTAAGTAAATCATTTCTTAATAACTCGCGGTTTTTCTCAATTATGAAATTCAAAGAAATATCTTCATAAATATGACAGTTGCCATCGCGCAGTCTGCGCATGCGCAAATCTGATTTTTACTAAAAGCATCTGAAAGTTAACATTGCGTAGTCTGCGCATGCGCACATTTCATCTTATATGCAATGTTTGTCTTTACTAGAAGTATCTATGGTTAAAATTTCAAAGAAATATACTGCGAAAATTAGCACTGCGCACATCTAATTTCAATTCACACCTACCTTAAAGTCATGAGATTCTGCACCATTTCCTTCCCCAAATAATGATCGATTCGATACAACTGATGTTCTGTAAATAAAGAACTTAAATGATCCGATAATTTTTGAGAAGAATCCAAGTCTTTTCCGAACGGTTTCTCTACAATTATCCTCGTCCAACCCCTACAAACAAAAATTTAATAAGCAATTAAATACGCACGACCATCGTTTACTTAGAAGACATGCACGCGTGACGAATATTGACTGTAACAACTTCGTAAACGGACGGAGGTAAAGCCAGGTAAAATAATCGATTCGCAATTTGTCCGCTTTCGTATGCACACAATTCTTGATTAAGTTTTTCGAAATCCAGACGAGAATCATAATTGCCCGCAATATAATGGTTCAATTTCCAAAATTCGGAATAAGCGTCCTCTTCACTTGGTTTCACCTAAAAATGACTACCTATTAGAAAGAAAGACGACAAATTTACTACTCTTACCTTCATATACTTATCACATTTTTCTTTAATATCGGCAACAGTAGTTTTACTACGAGCGTATCCATAAAATATAATTTTTTTTGGTAATAAATTATCGCGGTACAACCACCATATTGTCGGATAAATTTTCTTATGAGCTAAATCACCCTACGAACAATTCGCAGTGAGTAAAGTTACAGCGTTTAGTACGTACTTACTGATGCACCCAGTATAACGAAAGAGTGAGGATGTTGTGTATCGAAACCAGTCCCGTCTTCTTCGATGGTAAACTTCTTTAAGGATTGTCGTATCAGGCCCAGGCATACTTCTGTATTGTCTACAAAAACAAAGTAAACACACAGTTAATTGTTGCCGATACTTTTTACCACAGTCAAAACGGATTCCCTTATTCTTTAACATAGTATTTCAAAATAAACTAAAAAGTTGGTCAATAGTTAAGTATGTGAGGGTCTCTTGTAGAAGGTGTTTTATCGTGTGGTTTATTTATGTGTTTAATTTGTGGGAAGTGGCATATGTATAGTAAAGTGATTGTATACTAAGATCATAAATAATTTATTTATGACTAAGCTCACGTGACTAGGTTTAAGGTTACCTGTGGAATCCACATTCAGATGGCAGTACCAGGGTACAGGTACCTCCACTGACTTCTACTGTATTTAAAACTTAGAGAAGGAAAGAGTGAGGAGTAATAATAATGATCGTAAAGTGTAGCCCACATTTGTTTGTTATTTCACCGAAAACTAACCTATAATTTATACCTCTGAAACGATATACTTTCGTGTGTTTTTTGGCTATCACTTCCCTGCACTACAATGTGCCATTGTCCAATAATGTTTTTAATCGCACATTTCGCATTATCACGAAAATGAAAAATTAAACAAACTTTGGCTCCGAAAATATGGCCGCCTCAGGCTTCAACGCGCAGCATTGCCCTTGATAGCTTATTATCCATATATATAATATTATCAGTCCCCTTTCTTTTATAGTCTTAGATTTAAAATTTAGATCAGTTGGTACCTCTTAAGAAATTTAAGTTGGCACTCAGGTTAAAAACAACTTGCGTCTAGTTCACCGTGACTCCCTCAGTGACCTCGCACTGCGCAACCGCAAGCGCGCTAGAATTTGAATTTGAGTTGGACTGTAAGGATAAGGGGTAAAAATCTACGAGTAAAAAATATACTCGTAGGGGTAAATAATAAACAAATAGCCTCTGCCATCTTCAAAAGTGAATATTTTTAGTGTGTCTGCTTAGATTGCACTGTTTAGTAAATGTCTTTCCACATACCGTAGCAGTACCAATGATGACATATCTGTGAATTAGAAATTAAACAACATGCAAACAGCTGAGCGGAATTAATTAATAGGTACAATCAACAATATTCATTTTTAGTATGTGGAACCAAAGATCATTGCGGAACCCTTACCTCTTCTTTAACTTATTTGCGTTCTCGCTCAATATTACGTGTTTGCGTAACACTACACAGAATATTTTTTTTGCGTAGTCCGCAGGAAACGTGGTTATATAAACAAAACAAACGCTTGCACGTGGATAATTCAAATTAAAGCGCTTGCGTCTGCGCGTTGCTGAGGGAGTCACGGTGAAACAGAGACGCAAGTACACCACTACCGCTCAACCGAAAAACAATCGTGAAAATTGGTATAACCTCATTTTGGACGAAATGAATTGAACTTCTAATTAAGATTGTGGAAAATGTAGGGCTTCTTCCGCAAATATGTTTATCGAACACGCTTAATTAAGGTGCCCTCTATCCATTTTTATTAATTTCATTATGGTACCTGGGGGGCTTATTAGTGTCACGTAACCGCATTGCCTATCGTACTGCCATTGTAAGTTTTGCTAATTAGGTAGTTACTGTTGGACAAATACCTTACCTAGTTAAAAACATTCAACACTAACTTGCAATTTAACACTTAACCGTTTTTGAATTTTACTACACTTGTGACCATTTGGACATCGATTTGACACAAATGTCTGCGATCAACATCCCAATGAACGTATTAACGTAAACGTAAGAGAACACGTGTTACGCGTATACGTAACCGTAAGAACACTATTATCACAGATTTAAATCTGTGCTACTATGAAACTGAGTTCGAAAATGTCTTGAGTGTTTTATGTTCTATCCTCGGTTCTATATAAATCATAAATATGGAATTGGTATTTGTTTTTATAAATTTAATTTTCAAAACTTCATTATTTATGCTCATAGCTTTGTTTTTTAATTTTTCCACTTTTAAAAAGTTTTTGTGCTCGTTTAATCGTTTATAATTTTATATTGCTGTCCGTCTGTCTGTCGGTGTGCACGACACCCTTGTTTTGAAACGGCCGATCGCTTTGAAAATGGCTAAACATGTTCTTAAGGATATAAGAAAGGTCCCTATTGTTTTTCAGTTACGTAGACAATCGAGCCCAAAAGTTACTGCCCAAACCTCCAAAAAAGGTTTATTTTTCTTTATAATTCTTGTTTTCTGTGTTATTAGTAAATATTTCTTAAACCTCAAGCAGCTTATCCAGCGGTTCCCAACCTTTTTGATCTCCCGTACCTCTGGAGTAAGTTTTCTCTTAACAATCTTCCCCCACCAATCATTTACATACAGACTTTTATTATTATTTATTTTTACCTTAGTATCAATTTAGTGTTAAAAAATACAAAAACCTCTCAATATATTATGAAATATATAATTTTTATTTTATTACGCAAAATTTTATTTAAATTGCCAAATTTAACAATGTACAGGCCCTGAAGGGAGTCCTGGCGGAGCGGGAGTTTGTTATGGAAGCCCACTTGGTTGGGAACCGCTAAGCTATGCGAATGCAAAAAAAATCGCACATGCGCAATTCAACTTTTCTATTTGCGCAATGCAACTGTTTTATTTATTAAGATACTTAAATTAAATTTTTTATGTATAGGAACCTCGAGTAGAAGTAAAACTAATGCCGATCATCAAAAAATCAAAAACTATGTCTTGCGCATGCGCAATACGATTACGATTAAAACCAAAACTGATGCGGATTCCACAAATGGGTTTTGCGCATGTTTAAATAATCCATATTTAGCGCATTTCCACAAAAATAAAAAAAGCGCTATTGTGCCCACTTTGTCCGTCCGTCCGTCCGCTCGTTCGTTGAGACACTACTAGTTCTTTATCTTAAGAGCTATTGTTCTACTTTTTTCGCTATTTGGTTCGTTATGGTGTCGAGGCTTGCACAAAGAAAGGAATTTTTTCTGCGTTTATTGTAAAAAAACCAAAAAACCGTTTTTTACATGTTCCATAATTTTACACTTTTGCCGTTTATTAACAATCTTAGAGATCGTTTATAATTTTGTATTACTGTCTGTCATCTGTCTGTTGGCCTGTCCGTCTGTTCCGTTGTCTGTCTGTCCCTCTATCTGTCCGTGTGAACGATAACTTTGGTTAGATCGAAATGTCCGATCGCTTTGATATCTCCATTAGTTATATGAACTGAATTGCATGAAATTCAATATGGGCATAACTTTAGCCATCTAATACGCAATGTCCAAAGTTGAGTCGAATCGATCCAAAATTCCCAGTGCCTTTTTTGCACCTCGACCATTTATAAACCGAATTGCAAACTTTTTTATTTATAAAAGTATTTGAATGAAATTTGATACATAGGCACTTGAAATAAAGGAAAATCATACGCCAGTTTCAAAATTTGGTTTTGCGCATGCGCAGTGCCAACTTTCTTATTTATGGAAGCATTTAAATGAAATTTGATACATACGCGCTTGGAACAAAGGAAAATCTAACGTTAGTTTCAAAATTTAGAGTTCCAACATTTTTTTTTCCATACCGTACATTGACCTTAGCCTCAATTTACGCGTTGGATTTTTTGAACGACAGTCCGAAAAAAAATTTTTTTACTAAAATAATGTAACGTCTAAATAAGGTATTTACATGTTTTGTATGCAGTCACTTACTCACCTCGAATAAACGTAACACTAAATGCGGATTAAAAAATTTGTTTTGCGCATGCGGACTCAAATTTTTTTATTTGGCTTGCACTAGCGTGCAGAAGAGATTCTCTAGGGTGTTTAGCAAGGTTAAAAAATGTGTAGTGCCCTAATTTAATAACGCTTTTCATCAATAACTGCAAGGAAATAGAACATTTTAAAGTGGGGACTGAAACGATACATTATATCATTGGTTGTGACATCACTCCTTTTACGCCGCCATATTTGTTGACATATTACAGCGTGTTGGCAAGTGCAGTATACGTCTTTCACAAAAAAATTTCATTATCACGCACATTCACCGCAAGTAACATGCAGCCATAGCAAGTCGTAAAAGGAGTGACCTCACGTCATTGCGAGGCGTTTTTTTGGCGGGAACTTTGTTTGTTTGAACTGTAGTACCAAATTTTTTATATTAAATATGTACCTTAGATCCTACATGTAACATGTCTAAACATACGATCTAAGGAAACGAATTTGGTTACGCAACTAACCTATCTGATCTAAAATGTTTTCATTATGTTCAAATTTGCGCAAATAATGCCTATGCCTTGACTAATATCTGAAAACAATTTCGCCTTGCGAGAAAACATTGTTCTCGTGATTGTGTAGAACAAAAAAAAGGTGAATTTTGAAACAATAACCTAGTCGATGCAATGTAAAAAAAAATAGGAAGCCTCGGCTCAGTATATAACAGCTCCACTGGTGGTATTTTTACGAAAATCACGATCGCGCGCATGAATAAGTAAGAAAAATTGAAAGGGACTCCGGAAAATCATACACATATTTAGAAGATAGAAAAATGTATATACTTTCGTCTCCGTTGGGCCGCAAGAAAATTTCAAGGCAAACGCAAGCACGAGAAGTACAAATGCCTCGAGGAACAACATTTTTCATCTTGTTGTCATAGCCTTCGAAACTCCTAGCTCATACAGCGTTGAAGCCCTTCAATTTTTATTATCAATTGCGGCAAAGAAATGAGTGACCTTCGCGCCATTTTGCCATCCACGAATTCCCATCAAATGTACCTTTCTAAATACACAGATACAACGAAAATGTCGAAAGACCCGATACATAACTCGCTCATATGAACTTTTATGTTGATCTTCCGTAGCTTTGGCGAATTGAACCACGAGGAAAGTCCTAACGAGTTTTAAGACCCTAGCTAGCAGCTAGCTAGACCTATCGTTCGATAGTTGTCTAACGCAACTGTCGATAATTGAAGAAAATGGTTATGAAAAGAACAATCGATTGGCAGAGGAAGAATGTTTTATACTTGGAAATTGTACAAAATGGCACACATTTTAACCAAAAAATTACTCCAAACCATATAATATACTGCTCAGAACGAGTGTTTACAGTCATTAGTAACCCCACGCCAACTTATCCGAGCGGAATTTGTTAATCAATTCCCTATCTTGACCTTGATTATTAATAGGTATTAAACCTACTTAATTGAATAAGATAGCAAGGGGAATAGTTCAGTTTGTAAATATAATTAATTTTCCGGAAATCCGGACAAATGTTTGGTGTCCAAAAAAAGCTATTTGTTTTTGAGACAACAAATATGACGTTTATTACTACAGTAGAAAACTATAATCTAAAGAGCACTGAAGCCAAATCACTATAATCATATTAGACGTTCTGGAAAAACCTCTGCTGGCCGATTACCAAATTTGATTATTTTGGCAGGTCAGTTGTAAGAAACAGCAACCGAGGTCGTGCACATCAAGAATAATTGATATGGATGGCAGTTTCCCTCAACCCCAAAGCAACGACCCTCTTGACATTTATTTGACCGTTTTACTGGCGATAGTAGTGTGCCCTCCTCAAATTGGAAGATACAATGGCATAACAACAAACTTCTAAGCCTAGGAATAAATAGTTATCATATCAGACGTCACAACAGAAAAATCTCAGATTATAGAGGATTAGTTAATTTGTTTGCATAAGACTTCAGCCTCTTTCCATAAAATTATGTTAAACTTACTTGCTATCTAACTTAGCTTCGTGGAGCGATTAAAATAATGACAAAGGGTAGAAGAAGGCCATGACATGCATAAATTTCATTCAAATAATAAGATGAGTTAATAATTACCATTTTATGGCAGAATTAACTTGTTGCAAGAGAAGAGATTATAACTTTTTACGGATTTGTTCATAATGTGTCATTCTCCTTATCTCACAATAAATTCTAAAATACATTTTCAAGTTCGACCTTCAATCAGTTGACCTTCTCTATATTCTCCTTTATACAATTTGACAAGAACATTTTTCAGAAAAGTCAATTTTCGCAAATTCGCTAACTTTTGTCTTCAACAATTTTTGAAATTTTTTTTAAGGTATGAAATAAATAGATATAATATAAACTTACGTGTCGACATTATTTTATAGTTAATAACAAAGTTTAAATAAATTAGTTTAAACACTACACTTTTGATACTGCTAGAGGTCTATCGCGGAATAAATGGTTTTTTGATAACTATTAAATAATAAATGAAGCACAACAAACGGAAACCGAGTTCAAATGTGCATTATCAATTTTATAAGCTACTCATGCGCACCAACAAACCCATTTGCCGAAATTTTGCACCGGTTATCAGTCGACATCAGTGCCTAAAATTCACTGCCTATAGCCTTACACTGTGCGTTATCAAATTTTGATTTTGAACCTATCAAGTGGAGTAGGTACACTGACAGACTGACACCAACAACAAGAGTCAACAATTCATTTTTTTGAACATTTGCGTAGGGTAACTTTACTATACTACTGTACTAATCGGTCGCCTGTATAGAAACTAGAAAGTGTGTTTTGCTTATTGTTGCGTCCGTTGTAAGATAATTTTGTTTTCCTTATTTTCCCTTCCCGCAAACCACAAACATGCGCGAAAAAAAAAGGATTCGAGTGGGGTTCATAGTGTGCTAGAAAGTCACAAAAAATCCACCAATTCGTTTGTGCGTTGACCGCCAAACATTTAGAAAGCAAACAACAATAAATTTAAACAAAGAATTTCGTCGTCGTTCACCACTACAATTTAGTCGAAGTCCGTCCATTCATCTTGTATTCGGTGGACAAGTTCACCACCATCTTATTACCCGCTTAACTTCGCCTTTCGTCCATGAAATTAATACAACAAGTACGTTCCACGAAGAAAAGTTTATATTTTTTATGTAATTAGTAAACAATTTATTTGCGTGCATTCATTAGGATTTAGGAAGAGCACGAAAAAGATTTCCTTTCATATAGATAAGTACAATCCACTTCGAAACTAATCGTTTTGCTACTAGTGCATAACATTCTTTGGTTCTTTGAGCCGGTTACATTTTTTTGTTTCTTACCAACCGCAACCGAGTGCGCTAATCGTGTAAAATATTTCAGACATAGATTTTGCCTTCATCAGAGCAATTAAAATTGTGAATTAGAAGATGCAAAGTTTCCTCCTAATATTAACAGTTAAAACGGTTTTCTAATTAGTCAACACATAATCACACTGTTTTCAAACAATGGAGACGTGTCTAGCATTTTTATCTTATCAATAACGTAGATGTCTATCTAATTGTAAGTAATAATGACTTTAATGTGTTGACTAATTACAAAACCGTTTTCGATGTTAATATTACGTGGAAACTTTGCACCTTCTAATTTACATAATTTTAATTGCTCTGATGCAGTATATGTTCGAAATGTAAGCGTTTAAAAAGAGGTAAACATCACTATGCAATTTTGAAAATAATCTCAACCCAACATAGCTAACAAATATAGACAAATCTTTCTTGGTTCGAATATAAAAAATGCCTATTATACAGAGGAGAGAAATTTTGTATGGAACACTGAATATATTTTCAAAACAATATTTTTGTATACAAAATTATAAAAAGTTTGCAAAGGAAAGTTGGCAGAGGTGAAAGGTGAAACGAACGCGCAAGCTAAAAAGAAGTTTCAATTAAATTTAACAAATATGTTTATGCAAACAAGAAACCTCACAAACCGAAAAAAACTGAAACCGGAACCGAAAATTGGAAAAGTTTGAAAGGTTCCACCCTGTATATACAGCTTACGACGATACATACATATTTGAGAGTTGGCAACCATGCAATTTCTAGGTGGGAAAAAAAAGCTGCTTGCGCCACCTAATAAGCACGAACGGGAGTTACGTTTGGGATCTTGTCTCGAATGGCGGTCGTGAACGTTTCGTTCCATAAATGGTTGTTATTTTGTGTTATTTAATGCAGGTAGTAATTTTTGCATTTCTTTATATCGTATTTGTGTTTTGTATGCCGCATTTTATATTTGTTGTGTGTTTGAATCTCTGTTTTTGAAATTTATTACTTTGTTTAACCGCAATGCAATCATATGTGTGATACCGTTATGCTATTGTTTTTAATTGTTTACATTTTTGGTGTAATGTTTGCTTAATTTATGTTTATTGATGTTGATTACTTGGTCTTGTCTTTGAAGTTACATTCATATAAGTTTTCATTTTATTTTAATACTTATGTGGAAATTGCTGATTCGTTTGATGTATGTACTGACTTGTTGTATGTTACTAACAATTTTCTCCGTGAATGAAGCAGTCTCGGGAAGGTGGAAAAAGAAACTGTAGTCTATATTTATGTGTTAGGGCACCTAATTCCGTGCACTGTCTTCGACATCCAACTGTAGGTTCGAAACCCCGAAACCAGGGGCGGACTACCCATCTTGCAGGAGCGAGATTACGCTAATCAAAGCTCTTCAGTTTAGAATCTATGTGTGATAAATGAGTGGCGATTCAATAATTTCCACATATTTTGTTTTTAGTCAAATTTGCCTACAAGGCCATGTAGTTTTCCATCTTGCTTTCAACAAAAGGACTTTATTGCACCAAAGATGAGTCACATCCTGTACTTTTAACCCTTTCTCAGAATCTTGGTACCTGCTTCTACCTGACCCATTGTCCTCAAAAACTTGCTTTTAACCTTGAGTGTAACCATCCTTGTGTATATGCATTTACTATCTTTGTTAACTACTGCTTAAACTTTTACAAAATATTTTGTTAATTAACTTTTGGACTGTTTAAATCAAACTGCAAGGTTTTTCTTACGTCGTACTCTTTTTATCCTTGGCAGTGACTTTTGCGAGAGTACGACACCTTTTGGCTTTGTTTGTTTTGTTTATATTAATGTACATCAACTAATTTCCGGGTTTTCACAATCATAATAATTACGATCATTATTAAACAAACTTCTCACAACTTCAGTGTTTTATTTAAAATTCCTTCCCTACTGTGCTTCAGGTCAAAGCATTGTCTACAACTAACGTAAGGAGGCCCTGCCTTAGATGTTTTATCACGTGCCACTTTTCAAATTTAAGCGGGTACTTGTTTAGTTTTAGAGGGAATAGTGTCCTTAGAGAAGGAAAGAATGAGGAGTGATAATATTGATCGTAAAGTGTAGCCCACATTTGTTTGTTATTCCACCGAAAACTAACCTCAAATTTATACCTGTGAAACGAAATACTTTCGTGTGTTTTTTGGCTATTACTTCCGTGCACTACAATGTACCATTGTCCAATAATGTTTTTAATCGCATATTTCGAGACTTAAGGATCGCATAATCACGAAAATGAAAAATTAAACAAATTTTGGCTCCGAAAATATGGCCGCCTCAGGCGTCACCGCGCAGCATTGCGCTGGATAGGATATTGTCAGTCCCCTTTCTTTCATAGTCTAAGGAATAGTCATTCGGGTGGCCATTTTTTAAAACGTTGCCGGGTTTATTTTATTTCCGTGTTCTTGTAGTGTGAAGTTAGCGTAGAACCTGGGGGTTAAGTACACTACAAGTTGTAGAACCGAACCCTGTACCGGCCCCCTATACGAACTCACTTGCTTTTTTGTCAGCTAAATTTAAAGGTAACATGAAAAACAGCCTCTATGTGCTTTATAAACGATATACCTACTAGATTGATGAAATTAAGAAACTTAAATTATTTGCATAAACCTCTCAGTGATATCATAAAATAAACAAGATAATCAAGCTGTGACAAATACTTTTATTTGAGTATTTAGACACAGATATACATTTGAAAAATTATATCTAGATACATTTTTAGATAGGTACAGTCGCTTCAGTGCATCTAGATATAGATAATTATAATTCGTTTCTAGATAATATAATCGAGAAAAAGAAGGCCCTGGAATCATAATTGACATCTAACAGTTTAAATGTTTCATATGTTCACCCAGATCAAAGTTTATTCACGTAAATCACAATTTTTTAATTTTTTGTGGTTGTTTTTTTGTACTTACTTTCAGGGTACCTACCTAAGAAATTTAGCTTTGTAATAATTGTAGTAACTTTTTATATTTAACAAAGAATATGTACAAAACAACAAAGAGAAGTATGTCTACATGTTACATTTTTTCCAAAGTATTTAAATTTGTAATTAGATATTTCGAAAGTATTATAGTTACTGTATTTACATATGTGACAACTCACAACACTGTACTACTTGTACCATAATTTTGGTGGTCTGGGTACACACTTTTATGAAAACGAATATAGCAGAGACACGTTATTTAAGTTCCGTGAACGGTTGCATAATTGCTGACGTACATTAACTCTAACCTCAAATTAAGGTGGAAATAAAAAAAACAATTACATTAAATACATCACAATAACATGGATAAAACGCGATGTATATTAAATTAGTGTGATGGACGGGGTAAATAATACCGAAAATGATAAAATTTCTTTTTGGAAAAAGAATAACAAAGCTATCCCCGGAAGGTGACACTTACTTAATGTGTAACGTTATTTACCCTGTAATTCGTAGACCAAGTCCCAAAAAGGAGTTTCGTGGTAACAACAGATCGAAGCCGACCGGATCTACTTCGTTTCAAGAGTTTCAAGCATCCGTCAGTGACGCTTGGGCTGTAGACGATGACGAATTCTGTGTTATATCGGGAGTGGAAAGTACGCAATATGCATACTCACTGAATTCTTGTAATCTTTTGCAGGTACTCATATTTCAAGAAAGGTGTCAGAATCTGCCGCGTTAAATGTATTAAATCATCACAGAACGACTTCTGATACCCCTGTGAATGTAGACTCCAAAGAACCTCACAAAAATACTAGTGATAATTTAATTAGATATAGTAGAATACCCGGTCGTCCGCAACAGCTACGATACACAAACAATCAAGACGAAGATTGTGAATCTAAATTAGAGCGATTTGAAAGTCTATTATCCGGTACGCCCACGCTTGCGGAATTATGCAAGCTCAGCTGGTCCGGTATACCCGTGAAAGTTCGCGCGACGACATGGCGATTGCTATCCGGTTATTTATCAGTTAATCTAGAAAGACGTCAAGGTATGTTGGAACGAAAACGGCAGGATTATTGGAATTTAGTAAAACAGTATTATGATACGGAACGTGACGAAGCTTATCAAGACACCTATCACCAAATTCATATTGACGTTCCTAGGATGAATCCTACAATTCCTTTGTTTCAGCAGACGTTAGTTCAGGAGATGTTTGAGCGTATTTTGTTTATATGGGCAATTAGGCATCCTGCATCGGGTTACGTGCAGGGCATTAACGATTTGGTAACACCCTTTTTTGTGGTATTCCTTCAGGAGGTTATTTCGGATGATCAGCCCTTTGAATTCTTTGCAATCGATAATTTATCGCAGCAGCAACGCGACGTAATCGAGGCAGATTCTTTTTGGTGTCTTTCAAAGTTTTTAGACGGTATACAGGATAATTATGTGTTCGCTCAACTTGGGATTCAAAGGAAGGTGAATCAACTGAAAGAATTAATTCAACGTGTCGATAATATTTTGCATAAACACTTAACGCAGCACAACGTAGATTATTTACAGTTTTCATTTCGATGGTTGAATAATTTACTTACTCGCGAACTGCCTTTACGATGTACTATACGTTTATGGGACACATATTTAGCCGAAAACGATTCATTCGCTTTATTTCAATTGTACGTTTGTGCCGCATTTCTATTACAGTGGCGTAACAAATTGCTGGAAGAAACGGATTTCCAAGGATTAATGCTGCTATTGCAAAATTTACCGACGCAAAATTGGACAGGTTCAGATATAGGACTGTTGGTCGCCGAAGCGTACCATCTTAAAGTAGTGTTTGCCGATGCGCCAAATCATTTACACAATAATCAGGTGGACAGATGATTGATTAACGTTAATTTGTATAAAGTAAGCCTTGCGATAATTTTTTGTGATTTTTATTTCAATTTTACAGATATTTTTGTAATTCTATCAAAGTATGTGAGATATATGACTAAATAATAATTGTTCCGGTGATTGGCTTAGGTAGATGTACACCTTTTTCAAATCGTAACTTTGTTAAATAAACTAAATATGCCAATAGGTGTAGTTTGCGATGGTACAACTTCCTATACCACCTCTAATTTCAAGGCTAAAGCCCATTATCTAGGTCACTCTGGGGGAGAATATTTCAATTAATGCTTTAACGCATCATACATAGAGATGGATTTAAGTATAGGTTTTTTGTGCTGGAACCCAATGGTTTTGATTTTCCCTGTATTCCAGCAAATGTTTTAAAAATTTTGTGCTCAATTATGGATCTGCAAGTCATACCGAGCTTTTTATCATGAATACTTTTTTCTGGTGAAATGGAAGGTAACCTTTTTGTGCCGGCTGGTCTGTGTGGCACAGTGGTGTAGAAGCTTGACTGCGGTACTAAGGGTCCTTGGTTCAAATTAGCGTTGGAGCATGGATATTTGTAAATGTATAGTGGGTTGGGCTGGTAGAACAGCCTGCGCTGAAGCCCCAAAAATAATACTTAATAATTTCTCCATTTGTATAAAACACACTGTATATTAGGCAAAATGTAATATTTTAAATAAGTGGTATAGGCATATTTCCTCTATGGTATAACTCATTTACTTATACCAGAATTTATTTTGTGAAGAAATACATTTTTCCAAAAAACTCAAATAACTTAATACCCTTTTGATTTAGGTTTATGGTGTAAAAGTCAACTTCTGGTATAACTGGAATCTTTAGTGGATAACCCTGTGGTTGAGAAAATCCTCATCTTAACCTTAACGTTACTGAATAAGAAATCATATCAAATTTATCACTATAAACTCGGTCAACAGGGCGCCGAGACAACTGGGTACGGGGACTTCGAAACCCAGGATGACTGGGCACAGGAAACCATAAGGGAAATTAAAGGATACACTGGAAATCTTGTCCCGTTTTCATATTCCCATATCTTTTATAATATTATTGAGAATTTGTTGATTTTTTCTTCTCTTATTTTTAGTATCTCTCTCATCCACTTCTCACTCACCTCATTCCTATACTGCTCCCTGTTTTTCAGCTCTGTACAGTGTACAGTTCCATAGCATGTGTTCTAATTTTGAGTCAAAAAATTAAAACATTGCGAATCCTTGAAGATATTCATTTAGGAACATCTGGTACCTACCTATTATATGTAAGTTGGGTAGGGTTAAATATAGTCTTGCTCATGACCATTTTAGGTATGACAAAAAAGGTCCAAATGTCCAAGTGTATATACTGAGATTCAGGTAACATAAAGTATTTTAGGATTACTAATGCCGAAAATAAAGATAATCGTATCATGAAGAAAGCAATAGTTGAAACTACTGATGAAGAAAAGAACAGCAAAAAAAGCTGGAGAGTTGACAGAGAGGTGAAACGCGAATGCGTAAGCGAAAAAGAATGTTCAAAATATGTTTATGCATAATAATAATAATAATAATGTACGTAAATTTTGTGTATTATCTTTTTTATTTGTTTATATTGGAACCCTAAAAAACTGGAACCGGAAGGATTGGAGGATCTTCAGTAACTTTTTTAACGACAATAGAATTTCAATCCATCTACCAAATTCATTCTTGGTGCATTGAGATAATGCTTTTAGTCTTTTCCCAACGATCTTTGTGCATGAATAACGATTTTGACACCATTTTTTCTGATCTTGTTTCACTCGAAGTCGTAGTATAACGGTTTGTTCCTGTTAGTCAGCTTCGTGAAATCAGTAACGTCCTGCCGACGTACCCGAACACCAAATTTCAACACGATCGGCCACTTTTCAAAAGTGTTATATAGCGCACATCACGAACGGACAACAAATAAAAGCTATACAAAGTATCTGGGGATCGTACTTATCATCTTTCCCTTTATCTTTTTTATTTTTAGCTTATTTTTATTTTTCTTATTTTTTTTTTAAATTTTATTTTTCTTTTTTTTTAAATTCTATTATCAAGTTATTCACCTTGCACCTGACAAAAGATACTTAGATATCTGCTGCAGGTATGAATTCAGTGTTGATATATTTTTTTTCTCTTTTCTTTTTAATGTCCAATGTACCCATGTTTGTGTGAATGAAACTCCATAACTAAGAGTTATAGCGAACACAGACGAGCGGGCGGACAAAAGGAGGAACAACCGCATACAAAACACTATACCTAAGCAGTGCGAAACTTGAACCGCTATAATTCATATACATTCCAACCCCTGGCCTGGTAGTGAAAGGCCGAAATCTATACGCGACCTAGTGATTTAGTAGTATACCTATCTAATTCTAAAATGGAAGTTTGCCATTTTTGCTGTTTTTAATCCACCACCTTCCCGTTGAGATTCTTTTTTAATCAAGCGGGAATATCAAATTTTGATACGTTAACCGTCTTTTAAATGAGTTATCCTGCACGTGGACAGATGGATATCAATCTATAAAACATGAAGGGCCTGAAGGTAGCAAATAATGTTTTATTCCCACGCGTTCAGTTGCTCCGTCGCCCAGGGATTTACTTTAGATTATGACAGAAAAATCTAATTTACTCATATAATTATATGAATTTACTACGCGGCGTGTTTTTTCAATAAGCACAGTTTTCAAATTTCCCAGTTGCAGAAGTTTTATATTTATTTATTTCATTTTATTTTGCCTTTATTTTTGAGTGGCCGGGGTTTCAGCCAAGGCTACTCTACCAACCCAACCCACTATACATTTACAAATATCTATGCCCGAAGCCGGATTCGAACCAGGGACCCTTAGCACCGCAGTCCAGCTTTACCTGAACTGCGCCACACGAGCCGGCTGTCCCGAGCATGCGCATTAAGTATCTACATCTGTTGGCAAGCGCTTAAATCATACATAATATATATGATCTAAGGGCAAGCCGCAAGCGACAACCGTCATTACGCTCATTCAAAACCCTGCCGACTGTGAAATACACTCTGTAATAAATTGTGCTCACGTGACGATAGGTAGGTACCAAAAATGTGAACTGAGGTGTACCTACACTCACCCTGAATAAAAGGGAGAATTTTGATTTATGCACACCCATTGCTACTAACTGAACCTACTAAACAATGTTATCTGAATGTCACCATGGTAAAATTTACACACCGACTTTTTTTGTCATCCGTAACGATTAACCCTTACATATAATATGTTATTGTGAATAAAAATCCGATACAACTGAATACCGAACGATCCTCGAGATCTTCCCACATACATCATTTTTACAATACACCTTGAGGGGTTGATTCTGTCCCACCAGATCAGCATGGCTTGTAAAACGAACTTTTGAATCGGCATTAGTTTGCATGCGCAAAAGAAATTTTTTCGGCACTAGTTTTACTTTTATTCGAGGTGCCTACATACAAAATTTCATGCAATTCGGTTCACAACTAACGGAGATGTAAAAAAAATCGGATTGCGCATGCGCAAAACAAATTTTTTGAACGGTATCAGTTTTCCTTTTATTCGAGGTGCCTACATACAAAATTTCATTTAAATATCTTAACAAATAAAAAAACCGACTGCGCATGCGCAAAACAAATTTTTTGATTCGGCATTAGTTTTACTATTATTCGAGGTGCCTACATACAAAATTTCTATTAAATATCGTAACAAATAAAAAAAATTGGGATTGCGCAAATATAAAAGTTGTAATGCGCATGCGCAATATTTTTTGCATCTGCATAGTTGCCTGAAGTTTAAGAAATATTTACTAACACAGAAAACCGGACATTCATATTATGTTCTTTGTAACAAGGGTTATGAGAGAAACCCTTTTTGGAGGTTTGGGCAGTTTTTGGGCGGTAACTTTTTGGCCCGTTAGTCTACGTAGCCAAAAAACAATAGCGACCTTTCATATATCTCGAAGAACATGTGTATCAATTTGCAAAGCGATCGGACGTTTCTACACAAAGTTATCGTGCACACGGACAGACAGACGGACAGACGAGGATCGTTAATAATAACCAGTAACCAAAACCACTAATGTTGAATGCTACGAGAAAAAAATAAAAGGAGAGAACCTTTTCCATTAAAAGGGGTCGAGACGGAAATGGACAAAAAGGAAGTTATAAGAGTAGGGGGAAACGCGTCATTATTGGAAGTGGTGTAATAAAATCAAATTGACATCGTCTCTTCTGTTTTATGATAAGTCAAGTCGACATAACTGACCAGCGCAAAGGAAGTAATATGAGGGCGACTTCCGACGCGTGCTATGCTATTTCTCACCACCGTTATATTCTCCTCTTATTTTTTACTCGTAGGTTGAATGTAAGAAAAGTTTTTAACACCAACACTTCAGAACCAAACTTTAAGAGCAACAATATAAAACGGATTTCCCTTTCGTAAAACGCAACGTGTACAAGAGCAAAGAGTATGGTTACTCTTTGACAAGAGAGAGAACCGAAAAATATCGGTTCTTCAGCCAAATAAAGAGTCGACAATAACAAGAATAGGTATTTATGGCCGTTTGCCGCGAGAAATTTAAGCGAATCTTAGCTTAAGCGTAGCTTAAAATCCAGAACAACTATCTTAGCTTAAGCGTAGCTTAAAATCCAGAACAACATCGTTGTCATGGATTTTAAGCTACGCTTAAGCTAAGCTCTTCTTAAATTTGTCGGTGCAAACGGCCATTAGTGCTTTATTTTACAATCTAAATTAGGCAACTTTACATACTCAATGCAGGAATTTTATTACCCCATGCATTGAATGTTGAATGTCCCATGTTAGTTACGCCACTGACGATTGATGGCGGGACTTTTAAATCTTTTTATTAATTAAAGGTATTTTGAGGTATGACTGCTGGATGATATTGATATGTATATAATTGTTAAAGGAAATGTGAACCCTATGTTTTGTTTTCAGGCATGTGAAGTGGAAACCGCATCATTCTCGAAGGCATTCGGAAATACGGAAAAAAGTAATTGTATCTATTAAACAATAAATAGTTACCAATTGCGAAGTAGTTATATTTACATTGGTAATATACGTAGGTACAGCGTAGATCGAATCGAAGGACTAATGATTTTGCATTAGAGTGTATTGGCCTCCCATTTGTGGAAGTCAATGACCCATTGAAATCGAATATAATTGTAATCGTGTAGTAAATGGACGAAAGTTTTAATGAATAGATTAATTTATACATTTCTCGAAGTAAGGCGTTTCGCTTATTATTTCAATTAGGGATAATAACGTGGTTAATAGAATGGAAATTGGAAACAAGAGATCCTCTTTGAAATTAAAGATTTACCGCGTCCATCGGGCATGCGCAGCCGAATCGAAATTAGCGAGCGCTTTGCAGCGGAACCAAGCAGAACTAACAGTTGCTTAGATTTCTAGAAAGTTATGGCTGTAAAATAACCAAATTTCTTTGTTTTCCATGAACATTATTTTACTAATTGATCTCAACGGGAGCTTGAAGGTGTTTGCCGAGCTTTATACATCAAAGCACGTATGAAATTCCACTCGAATCATTTAAGCTCGGGAATGTTGGTTAATTTAACGGAATCGCGTTCGTCTTCGTAGTGTTGATTGGTGGTGTATTTGTTTGGATCGCTTCATTGACCATTACGTCTGTGTAATAAAATAATGTGTTTCTGTCTTAAAAGACATGAGTAGTGCTGCAGTTGCGAATTGCATGAAAATGCCGCTGTCGCGAACACACATACTTTCAGTCACCTCATCTAATTCAAACATTCAGGATGGTAGCACTTTACCACCTGTGAAAATAAGTTCACCACCAACCTCGGCCGTCTTACCTGATCTGTACATTCAAGACAGCGACAGCTTGCCTCCCGTAAAAATAAGTCCACCCCCATCGCTGATTCAGTACTTACACACACGTATGGTAAATAGACTAACACCTTCTGGTATGCCCTTGCAGCCACAACAAGAGAAACCGAAAACGATGGTTGCAACACCGGAACAAGTAATGAAGCTCTACATGAATAAGTTAACTCCGTACGAGCACCAGGAAATTTTCGATTATTCTCAAATATATTTCATCGGAGCAAATGCTAACAAACGTCCCGGAATCATCGGTAACCCCAACAATTGTGAATATGACAACGACCAGGGATCTTACTTACACATACCCCACGATCATGTCGCATATCGTTACGAAGTTCTTAAAGTAATAGGCAAAGGTTCCTTCGGACAGGTGGTTAAGGCCTACGACCACAAGACGCACACTCACGTGGCTTTAAAAATGGTACGCAACGAAAAACGTTTTCATAGACAAGCGCAAGAAGAAATTCGCATATTAGAGCATCTACGTAAACAAGATAAGGATAACACGATGAATATCATACACATGCTGGACTCGTTCACGTTTCGCAACCACATGTGCATTACTTTCGAACTTTTATCGATGAATCTCTACGAGCTTATCAAGAAAAACAAATTTCAGGGTTTCAGTTTGCAGCTTGTCCGAAAATTTAGCCACTCGCTCCTTCAATGTTTAGATGCCTTAAATCGTAATAAGATAATACATTGTGACATGAAGCCCGAAAATGTTCTTTTAAAGCAACAGGGACGTAGCGGTCTTAAGGTGAATATAAATATTTCCGCTCTTTTATTGCAATGAGATTTTGATGCTCTGTGGTTGTAAACTGCCTTTACCTCAACATTTTGTAGTTGTTCTTTAAAAATGAGGAACTACCTATTCCATACCGATATAACGAACCATATTTTTTATTATTATAGAAATTGAATATTTCTCAATCTTTATTTTGGTGATTCACTAATAATGATGCCGAGAATGATGCCTACAAGTAAAGTAAAATGCTGCCATTTAGATGGAATTTATTAGCGCAATGGCTGAGATTATTCCTCTCCTAATAAGTTGATTTGCGAAATAAACTCTCTAGTTTCCGAGCTAGTTTCAGTTCTAAAAATCTACAAAAAAGATGATTGCAAAGAATAAGGAACTCAAAATATTCTTATGCAAGGTGTACAGGTAAGAAATCAGGTCATAAATTTCTGTCCATTTATTAACCAAAAGGTGTTCTTATGAGTTTATCATGAATAATGGCATCATGATTTTAAATCTTAATTATTTTGCATAACTACTTATTGCTGCTGATATTGATTAAGCAAGAGGATCAAGAAAGGACATGTGACATGAATGTCCATCGCCTTTGTGGGGTAACTTTGAAAAAATAAATGGCGACTATACTGGCCATTGGTCCATTTTATATGTTTTTATCAACTTAGGAGAACATTACCAGAAAAATGAATAATGTCACATAAGTAAGTAACACTAAATCAAACTAAACTTGGTGGTGAAAGGATAGCCATGTACAGGGTGGTCCTATTATATAACTCAGGGGCTTGAACATTTATAACAAATAGCCCAGAGATCTCGGTAATATTGTTGTTCTCTATCAAATGACCCGAAAATTGGATTCCACTTTGTAATTTCGAATGTAACCCAAATTTCCATATCTCCAATCTAATGTCCATGAACCTAGCAGAACACAATCAAACATATTGCATAATTAGGTGCTAATTGAGCCCTATTCCCGAATTAAATGCTCCTTTTCTTTTAATTATTACATGTTCTGGCAGGTTCATATGAACTCAGCAGAACACTACCTTTAAAACCCCAGAAAATGAAAAGTGAACTAACTATAATTAGATGCTAATTAAGTGCCCTATTCCCGAATTAAATTATTACGTGTAATTAATTAATTAAAGGTGTTAATTAATGAATTAACTAATTTTTAAAAGAAGGTGCAATTAATCGGGAATAGAGCACCTAATTATGCAATATGTTTGATTGTGTTCTGCTGACCTTGCTCTGCTAGGTTAATGGATATTCCATTCTACTCAAAAAAGTATGAAGAATTTATTCCAAACAGTTTTTGTCGTAATAACAGGTGGCGCTGTGATCCCAAAAACTAATTTAAATTTTGTTTATGTTTATAAAAAACATTTAACCGAGCATTTAACGTAATAAAAAATACCATAAAACAAAAAAAATATTCTAAACCCTAACCTACTCAGCTCATAGCAATAGATAATATCGAAATTTAAAAAAATTATAACTTTAAACATTTAATTTACAAAGGTACAAATTTACTGCAATTAGTCTCTGTGATTAGAGCGCCACCTGTTACTACCACAACAAAATGTTTCAAATAAATTCTTCAAATCTTTGAATAGGTCAGTGCTAGGGCTACTAGAGGTTCTTTCCTTAAACGTTTAGTGTTAGCACTTGCACTATAATTTTCTGGACCTCTAGAAATCAGTAATCTTGCTCTGGGTTTAATGGAATACATCAAATGTTCGGATATACTGTTCACTTCTACCATACTCACTATTTTGAAACGGGAGGCGACTTTATTATTGGAGAACTAGATACCTCAATTTTAGTTACGCTTTCCCCAAAAAATTTACACTGCTATTCGTACATATTTCTCGATATGTCTGAAGGATCCGAGAAATCGATCATTGTTGTAGGAGAAGGTTCTTCTCTAGGTTGCTTAAAATATTGATTTTGGAATGAATGGGACTTTTTGTTCCATAGCTTGATTCTACTAAAAAAAGTATGACGATTTTATTAGAAACATTTTTTTGTTGTGGTGACAGGTGGCGCTGTAATCACAGAAACTAATTGCAGTAAATTTGTGTCTTGGCTATTTGTTAAAAATGTTTAAGTCCCTGAGTTAGAAAACGGGTGGAGGGGTGATTTGAACCACCCCTCTCTCGGCTACACGACTGACGACTTTTCTCCCAGGCACTGTATAGACAGTCTCAAACATATTTGAAGAGAGTAACAGAAAGAGAAATTTAAAGCTGTGTGTTAATAGAGATCTCGTTATAAATCCACTTTTGTTCATTTTGAGACAATCGCGAAAAACTTCTACAGCCTAATCCCAGTTCAAAGTTATAAAAACAGGAATTAGCATTCTATAAGGCACAAATCAAAATATCGGTTTTTAGCGCATTTTCCTCAAAGTGAAAAATCGCTATTGGCTGCACTTTGTCGTCTGTCCGTCACACGTACTCCTTCTACACCACCGAACCAATTTGGATGATATAGGGCTCATTTGAAAGGGCTTGGTCTAAGGATTCCGTGCATATACAGATTTGGTTTTGCGCATGTGCAGTGTCAAAAATTTGGTTTGACGCATTTGCAATGCTAACTTTTTTATTTATGAAGTTATCTAAATGACACACTACGAATATAAGTAAAATTTCAAAATGTTGTTTTGCGCATGCGCAGTGCCAATTTTCTTATTTATGAAAGCATTTGAATGAAATTTTATACATAGGCATTTGGAATAAAGACAAATCTAACACCAATTGCAAAATTTGGTTTTGCGCATGCGCAATGCCAACTTCCTTATTTACGGAAGCATTTAAATGTATATATAGGTACTTGGAATACAAGCAAATGTAACACCAGTTTTAAATTTTGGTTTTGCGCATGCGCATAGGCAACTTTCTTATTTATGAAAGCAGTGAAATGAAATATCATATCTAGGCACTTTGAATTAAACTGTTTTATTTATGAAGGTGTTCAATGAAATTTCTAATGTAGACAATGCCCAATGCTATTTACAAAAGCATTAAATTATTGTCTTCAAAATTTTACACAATTTGTTAAACTCTTCTGAATTACTTCAAGAAATTAAGCTTAAGGTACCATTTGTTAAGCTAAGGAAAAATAATACCATTTTTGCAGTTAGCAACACAAGTTCCCCACTTATTAAGATCTTGATCACTTTAAATAAGTTCTCCTCAGTGAATGATATCGACTTTTTTCACGATCCCCTAAATGTAATAATAAATCAAATTAGATCTTAAGTCCTAATGTTTGTTCAGAGCCCCAGTGCCATGTAATTGGAATTTTTATTCTGTATGGTGTCCGGTTAAACAAATAAATAAATAAATAAATAAAGTTCATATGTAGACACTTTGAATAAAAGTAAAACTAATGCCCATTTCAAAATTTGTTTGTATTTGTATACGCCCCACTATGTTTCTTTAAATTATATAGACTTCGACGATAAGCGGCTCATTTGAAGGAGAATGGGGTATGGATCTCGTGCCTATCAGTATTTTTTCCCAGTCCTACCATTAATATTATTAGGAGAAAAATACGCTCTCGTCATTTATGTTTGCATAATGACTTTGTAAGTTCTATAATGTATGGAATCCGAGTTACTACCCACTTAAAATGACATTTTCTAAGAGATATGAGACACTAGCTTCCCTTTTGTTCATTATAAAACTCAAAACAACCAACAACAAAGTACAACCCACTGAGTAAAACAAATTAGCAAAATAATATGATTTAGACTTTAGAGAATGGCTTCCAATTATTTAAATTTATATTAGCGCCATCTACCTATTACTCATATAATATTGCCGTGTGCAGTGGCAACGGTCACTAAACCATCCACAAGCACCTATCCAAACAGAGATACACTAACAAAATCTTTTAAAAGAAATAATCATAATTTGTCTAGGGCACATCCAGCCTCCGCCATAACGATATTGACGTAATTTTATTAATTTGAGAAATTCAGCCGCTTTAACCGCCTCCACAATTTCAAAGATTTAATTAACACCTGATATAATTCTGGGAAAAAAATAGAAATTTTTTAACATCAAACTCTTCTCTTGGTCGTAATTTGGGCCCGATTAAACACAAAACTGACCGTTTACAGGTGAAACAAATTTATTTGACAAAACAATAAAATATGTAAGCTGAAAGAAAATCAGGCACTCAGGACCAGAAAAAAGTTTTAACTACCTTAAGTTAAGTAACCTTTATCATCGGTCATAATTGCGAATCTCTTTATAACAGACTCACAAACACCAAACGATTTGCCTTTTCTTGAAAATTCGATTTATACTGTAATTACAATTATAGTATTGGCACTTTGATGGTGGACAAAACTCCCTTTAACGGGACTTTAACTGACTGAACTGACTATATTACCCAAAACTTTGGCCCCTCCGAAACTGACTGTTTTGCAACAAATAACGCCCACCAAACAAAAGCTTTTTAACTTCCGCTTCCACTTCTTTAACAAATTAATGCGTCGTTGAACGATAAACTGCACCTGTGTATCTTGAAACTAATTAACTTACGCTGCGATAACAAAAGTTCTTATCTATGACCGGAGATAAACTTTTACAAATCCTACGCAATTACTTACAGCTGTTAAAATCTCGTCTTTTAACACGTAATAAAATTGAACAAATAATTAAAGTACTAATAATTGTGATACAAAACAAAATTGACTTTGAGTTCAAAAAATATGATCAGATTTTCGTTTAAACTAAAGATTAGCCAAAGGTTATTTTATTTGTTTAAAAAATACCTTTGTTGCATCTAGTGCAAAATGTATTATAAAATTTTTTTTTAATTCCAGGTGATTGACTTCGGATCTTCGTGTTACGAACACCAACGTGTTTACACATACATTCAATCTCGGTTCTATCGGGCGCCCGAGGTCATTTTAGGAGCTAAATACGGTATGCCTATTGATATGTGGTCGTTGGGATGTATTCTCGCCGAACTACTGACCGGCTTTCCTCTTTTACCGGGCGAGGACGAGGCCGATCAGTTGGCGTGTATAATCGAATTGCTGGGAATGCCTCCCCAGAGATTGTTAGATCAGTCGAAGCGCGCGAAAAATTTCATTAGTTCTAAAGGATATCCACGTTATTGTACAGCCACTACTTTAAGTGACGGAACTGTAGTTCTTAGCGGAGGACTTAGCCGTCGCGGGAAACCTCGCGGGCCTCCCGGATCGAAGGAGTTAAAACGAGCTCTGAAGGGTTGCGATGACCCCCTATTCTTGGATTTCATTAAGCGTTGTTTGGAATGGGACCCGGAAGTAAGGATGACGCCATCTATCGCTTTACGTCACGCATGGTTACGTAGGCGATTACCGCGGCCTCCTCACAGTACGGTAGAAATCATTAGAATACCTTCTCATAATCGCAGTCCTCCCAAGAGCAATACTTTAACTAGCAATAGCAGTACCAAAGTTAGGGTGCAACTGAATGACGAGCGTTCTGCTACGCTCCATTCTCAACACAGTACTCATTCAGGAAAATTGCCACCTGTTACATAGCTTCTTCCTGCCCCCGTTCATTATGTGATCTTAGGTTAGTTAGTTAGTTGATGACTGTGTGATTCATGCATTGATCACAAAAGATTTCTTTACGATCTGCATATCATCCATACTTGAATGTTTATAAATATGATGAGCCATTACTGAATAATCATTTTTACAATAGTATGGTTGTTACAAGGTATTCGTGGGTACCAAATTAATATGCAGTTTTTCCATGCAATTTTTAGTATATGGACAAATTAGTATGGTAAGTTTCTCTAGTGTTACTTTTCTACATTGTATTAATTAGTTATCGCGAATCGGTAATTATCACATTATTTATATTATTTATCTTTGCGCTATATTATTCTACACAACGTGAATTTGACTTTATCGAATGAATGCCGTTTTGTTCTGGTAATGTTGGTTTAACCCGGCAACAATTTAGTGACGACTCTTATTTCACTATAATACTCTTATATTTATTTAAGAATTTAAACGGTCACTGCCATAGTACGCGTTGCATATTTTTACATCATTTTTAAAGTATTTATGAAATGTTTTACGCATTTAAATGATCACTAGGTAATTATAATCAATTCAAGTTTGATTTGTGCGGTTCATCGATGTATCGGTTAAAATGCTACGTATTGTGATAAGGACTAGTTGAATATTAAATCGGCTTCTTTTTGTTAGTTTATATATTATTAGATAATTTTCGTTGTTAATGTGAGGACACCGTAACGCCGCCCTTATTCTGTTTCTCGATTAATTTTATTGTGATATCGTCCAAATTGACAGCTGCCAATTTTATTTGACGTAATTGACATTAAGCTTGCAGCATGACTCAGTTTTTCTCGATACTTAAATAATCGCCCTCTATTATTAAACGAGTAGTTTAATAACTGCCAATTGGCACTTGACATTAAAATGTATTGACCAAATAATTATAATAAATGTATTCTTTAATCAGGGATTCGAATATACGATTAATCCAAATGTTAGGACCTTGATCACTAGCTGGCGCCTTTTAAATCTTACACTTTCAAGTGGTTTAATTTTGTAACAGTAAAAATAGTGATATGCAAGAAGACAACAAAGGGAAAATAATATTCTATTAAATTAAAAGGAAGTATTTTCCTACTTACATGTAACTATAGGCGTATACAAGGTAAGGCAGTATTATTTATTTCTACATCACAATAAAAAATGCCGATGTTCGGCTTGCCATTTACACTCTCATTGCCAATAAATAAATTTTCACTTTATTGGTGTGCTTGAAACTCAAAATTACATTATTTTTCTTGCTCGATTCTTTTTCATGACGTCCACATTGGGATATATTAATTTTGAGATTTGCTGCTTAAATGCTCTATTGGTTATTTCCGAGGTTATTTCCTAATAATTAATAAAAATATTAATTACTGTACAATAAACAATAGATCATGAACACTTTAAAACTCGGTATTGTATCAATTGAAAGTTGGCCACATTTTTGTTGTGTGCAAGGTATCATTCTACCTAACAATGAACCGACAATCAGTATTTTATAGCGATACATTTTTAACAGCGAAAACTAGACATGCTGCAAGATTAATGCAAATTATTTTTTACGTAACACTTCTTTTCAAAGTGATCGTTTTGTGGGTACATTTGGTCTTGCATTCACTTTGAGCTCTCTACAGTATCATGCCATATTTTTTTCGAATACGTTCAATTTCAATTATTATTCCCAAACATCAAAATCGCAAAAGAGTCGAATCTGGGGAATAATAGGCCTAATTTTTTGTATTATCCGTTGGTATTATCTAAAATCAATTGAATCTTATACTCGAACTTTTCCCATCTGCTCAAGCCCGCTAGTCTTTAGTTCAAACTATTTTATAACTTGCATTTACCCTTAGTTTTAATCCTTGTTTCGTATGAAGACTGAAAAGCGTGACGTGTCACCTCTTCGACTTTCGCATTTTAGTTGTAGTTCTCACGGTACTAAATCTAATCGAGGTGGAAACGAAGGCGACCATACAAATCATTTCACGGTACAATGGGTAAGGGGTGTTTAGGATTGATAGACAATTTTTTCTCGCATACTTTAGCGTTAGGAAAGATCTCAGTGGTACTTAATAGTGCGACAATATGTGAGCGTGATAACTTTTCAAAAGTATTGCATCTTTTGTCCTTATCTCTTATAGCTTTCATTTCGTATAATGTAACTATAGTGGTGTTATAAAGTCAAATTCATCTTAACGAGGAATGGGAGCTATTTAGTATTCGAGTGTAACTATTTTGTACTTTTGTTAGTGTAGGTGTTTTTTTTAAATGTCTTAAGTATCGAATAGCACCACTGTACAGGGATATTTCACAGGCTGCATGAAACCTTCTTTGAGCGATCTTTTCATTTACCCAACATATACTCGGTTAGTGTATGAAATTGCCACGCCCTCTCATCAGGTATTGGGTAAGCAAGAGAATGGCTCAACATTCATTACACTAATGCATTTCTGTTTGAAGTCATAGCTGCCAATTTGTAACGTAACATAGCCACTAAGTTCATTTCCGATCACAAAACATACAAAACGTTTATCATTTACTTGGGAGCTTTACTTAAACTTCGTGTTTTGTGCAATATTGCTTAGGTTATTGTTTGAAACATGCTCCTGTTGCTCTTGAATTGTTTAAACGTATTGTAATCTATGTTTCGGAAATGAGTGTATCAGTGTATGTAGTAACAAATGTTGTTAATGTTGCTTTTAAAATTTGAATTGAGCCACACAAATGAAAGTTTGATGTGGTTGACAGCATTTGTTTCACTTGCAACTGAATTTTTACTAGTGCCTATAGCGATGAATTTGTATTTTAGGTTTCAATATTGTTGTACATATATATTAAGTTAGTATTAGTCTTGTCACATGTGGAATACTAATATCTAAAACTTCTAAGGTAAAATGAGTAAAGGCTACTTAATTGACGTTGTGGTGATTTAGTCTAGAAGCAAATCGAGCGATGTTGAATAACTGCTCTGCTAAGTGATTCTATATTATAATTTTTTTAGCATTTTAAGTTTTTTGACTGAAATGAAAATCCTATGTAAATGAATGCACAATAATATTAAGTATTTCGTAAACTTTTCATGTTTGCAGATTTTGTACCGATTTTTACACTTAAAAACGTTTTATTTCATTTACTATACAGTTTCAGTTCGTAATTACCAACAATTACATTATGAAACGCTTTTTACGATGTTATTTAAATAAGTGATTTGTTTATCATAACGTCTATGTAAAAATCAATTTTTTACATGCAGTGAAATTTTCTATTGCGATTCATTGTTTTTCGTTAAATTTTACAAACAGCATTATGTTTTGGCAATTGAACAACTCAAATTGCTCCAAATGCCCTTAGTAATGTGATGCATCTAATTTAAGGATTATGTTTACATTACAAATATAAACAAATAAACATATTATTTTGCTTTATTTAGTTTCTTGAAATTATGAAATAGGTAAACGGCGGTACTAGTGTTACGACCCTATCCCAACTTTTCACACACTGTTTTTTATTGGTTTACCATTGGGGGATAGACGAAAAATGGAATTTGATTTGGTTCAATGGACCAATATCTTGAAGCTGTCCCTTTGAAGTAAATCTATTTGTCTTGAAATTTCGTTTCACATTTTAGTTAAACGGTGGCAACGAAAAAAAGTTTGATTTGATTGGAAAGGTTTTTTTGAAGCACAGGTTTGAGTTTTAAAAATCACATCGTTTAGGTTCTAAACAAGACTACGCTCTTGAGAAGGAAAATTTTAAAATGAAATTGCATGAGAAATTATATATATTTATACTGTTATTTAGGTATTTAAATTTACAATGCAAATATTTATTCTTTTGCGGCTCTTTCATTTGTCTTTGGTTTCTTTTTGAACAAGAAATTAAATGTACAAACATATACATCCTACCAGCCATCAAACGTCATGCGTTATAAATTTGCTATACATTCAATGTCCACCTCCCGTTCCGATGGAATCTCTTAATAATTTTTTTGGGTTATCCGTAATATACACAGAGTTGTATACAACTTGGTGGCAACGGCTCCGCCATTAAAAGTCGGCCACTGTAGTTTGAGTTATTTTTTCCATACCATTCCACAATTTTTACTGGGCATTTGTTCTTACAGTGCCTATACTATATGACACTAGGGACACCAGTGGCGTCGCCAAAGTTTGGTGTCCGACCATAGGAATAGAATTACTGAGAGAAAGGGGGCGAAATTCTTTCCTAAACATAATAATCTACTCTTGATTGGCTTTACAAGGGATAACTCCGCCCTCTTTTTCTCACTAATACCAAAGAGTACATACCAATAGTAAGAGATCCAACGGTATAGGGAAAAGTATTGTATGTGTAATGTGTGTTGCCTAACCAATTTTACTGATTTTTCGCGGATTTATTGTACCGCACGCTACGCCTGAGGGGCTAAACAAGATTTTTAAGGCGACTACTTGTTTGTAAATTTATAAATATAAATGGCAGAAGTTCCAGCGTTGCCAATTTTTTGTGTTTGCTTACCTACATATTTTCGTAGGTAAGTGCACAAGTGCATCAAAATTACCGATAATTTTTTTTAAAGCATGTTGTCTAAAAACTGCATGAGTTTATTTTTATATTTTGGCGAAAGAGCCCGACACCGAAGGTGGAGGGCTCTTTTAACAAAATATGAAAATGACCGAATGCAGTTTTTTACTGACAACATGCTTGAATAAAAAATTATCAGGTTTATTTTGATGCACGAGTGTAATTTAGGGGAATATTTCCCGAACAAGCATTACTTGTCAAACTGACGTTATCTGCTTATAAATTGTCGGTGTATTGTGAAATTGTCCAAAGGAGTGGCCAGTTGCCATGGATATGGACAGTGCAATTACCGCAGGGCTCTTTCACTTTCTACAGTGCAATTATCGCTGTAATTGAGCGATAATTGCGCACCTCATATGGCATTTATGACATATCAGGGAAATATTCCTTGAAAGCAATTTACTGGAATATATTTTCTATTGCACTCAAATCACAATAGATGATTTAAATGAATTTAATGCGAGGAATTTCGTACTTACCGTACCTGTATGCGTAATTTCGTTATACTGAAATATTTTCTCCCATAATTATCTCATTCAATTTGCTTATTTGTATTTTTTTGTTATGATAAATCGAAGAAACGAAAGAAGTTAGCATTTTAGTGAAAATCACTCGTGCCGTGAAATTATTGAAACAAAAATTAGATTTTTACGTAAATGCTAAATTCTAATTTATTTAATTTTTCCCGTTTCCAGAATTGAAAAATCATAAATGAATACATGAGCAGACGTAGAATTTTCCGAGTTACAAGAAACCTATTTACAACTTTGCTCTAAATTAATTTGGGGAGAAAATATTTCTATATAAAGAAATTTGCATTGCACTATAGCATTTAAACAGTTTCTACACCTTGTGTAGCCCAATTTCGAAATCCAAAATATTTACGCTTAACATTGCGCGCAATGTGATAATATAATAATAATGTACGTAGGATTGTAAGGAGTAGGAAATATTGAGTTGGTGGTTAGGTGATTACCTATAGGTCCTCAGAATAAAACAAAAAGAGCGAATTAATACAAATGTTTACAGTCCATTAGTCACATATAGATAGGTTCCATGAATAACATTCAACAAACAAAACTGTTTACTTTTTACTCGTATTTCCCCTTTAAATGTTTTAATTTTTTGTTGTTTACATGCCCTAGCGATTTTGATGTTCTTAAATTTTGTGAAAACAGTTTAAGATTTTTGTATAACTTACATTTCATTAAATGCCGAATTAAAAACAATTTGTGATCATCGGATCGACATCACATCGTTCTTTTTCTAGGGGAAATCGAAAAAAACTTATATTGTCAGCGTTTCGGCGATTTGCATCGCAATTAATATATACACACGAATGAACCATTGATGAAGTTTAAACTTTTAAAGATACGTTATCAAAACACAATATAACTTTAACAAACCCTGGGATGTGGTACTGTTTAGCACTTGAAGGGAACTAACTGTACGTACAAAGGGTGGAAAGTCCAGGTGAGTAACAAATGAAACATTTAATGACATTTTTGTCATTGTACCAGTTACTCAATTGAATTATGGTAATTACTTTCTATTCAATAAATGCCAACTAAACAGGAAGATATTAATCTAATTAACAATGTACTAAACCTCCGTTGCTTATTTCTTTTATATTAAGCATAATGGTTTTCTAATTATATCATGTCCACATTTTATACAGCCAATAAGAAAGAAAATTAAATGTGACAACCGCGCAAATATTTTAAAACGCTATTCTATAAAGAATTCTGCAAATTCCAATTGCGCGGCAAAATTTAAAGGGGCGGTTAGTTCTGGCCACCTCTACGCGAGGACCCGCTTTTGGAATCGTAGCGGGCGAGTTCTTATAGCCAACACGCGTTTATGCCATGGGTACTCTTTGCTAATACTATTCCTATGAACTCAAGAATAATAAGGGCCCAGACTGAAGACCAATGGTGGCCAAGAATTGTCCCTTGGTATTGAATCAACAATCTCTCTCTGCACTGTCAGTGGCGTGATTGGCTTCCATTATAACAGATGGCGACACTTGACGCGATAGGTGTCCTCGTGTAATAAGGCACTTACAACGTCCGTCTATCAAATTGACATTTTAAAAAAATTTGTATGAGGCTTTTTGGGAATATCACGTACTATATAAAGTGACTTTTAAAATTTTGATGCAAATGGTGGTCTCCGGTTCTGCACATAAATATCTTCGATGTAACTCGATTGATTATTTACGTCAATCAGCCGTCAATCTTCAATTGCTTAAAAATTAACGCAACTTTTAGGTAGTATCAACCTTTGAAACCTCAATTTTAATTTTTTATTATAAAGGTACCTATCCAAAATTAGAAAAATGAAAATTGGACGGTATATACGGCCAAACTGCATTTTTGCATAAGATGATGGGAATATTGTTGAAATGCCAATGTTCGAATGCATAAGATACAATCGAAAAAGGGACGATTTTTGGAAATTTACAAATGAGAAAAATGGTTTCTACGCATGTGCAATGCGATATTCGGTACCACTGTTTATTTGAATGTTTTGGGTCGATAACCTATTGAAAGGGAAGAGCCAAAAGTCACAATTTAATTTTCCCAGTTTTAACATACTAAACATTTTCGATTTAATCTTATAGTATTTTATATACAGAGTCCTGCAACTGTGTGTCGGTGTTTCGTAGCTTATACCAGTTAAAAAAATCATTTGTGCAAATGTCAACTACTTATAGATAGTGACAATAAATAACGCCTGTCAATGTAGTGTCATCACGCAATTAGATTAAAAAAAAAGGGTTCGACGATGAGCTCGACTTCCACCTCCAAAAGTGAATTCGATTAAGTAAGATAAAAATCTTAAAAGGTACGGCGGGAAACCTGCGAAAACGGATTTTCACTACCCCTTACGGCAGTTAACTCTCCCGTGGCACGGGATTTTTTGACCCGCGCGGCACCCTCAAATCAACTATACCCAATTTGCGAAGGCTGAACTCAACCCACTACCTCGTACGAATTTTTTGTTCGAAACGTTGCGCAAGCGTACTCCGCAGTTGGAGTGAAGGAGGGGGGATTCATAGTTCTACGAACTCCCGCCTCGGAAGTAACTATCTGCTCAAATTTCAGGTCTCGCTACTTCAAACGGAGTGATGAATGAGCGATGATTTTACTCCCGTGCAAAACATAGAGTGCATACCGAGCCATAAGAAGTAGTCACTTCAAAAATTGTTTTCGATTCCTATAGCAGCATTTTGTTCGATGAGCACACCCACCTTAGCAGTGGTACCGTTGTTGTTCCCTATCGGAGTGCATTTTATGCGGAAGAACACGTTAAATTATTTTTCTATCATATAAGCGCCCCGAAGATGGAAATTTCAGCCCTTTCGGCGGAGGAGGCCGACGGCCCCTTGATGGTGCGGGACTGATTGTTCATTCTACCGCGCATCTCTTATAAAAATTTTGCCCCCTCCCTGCTCAAACCGTTGGACTTCCGAGATTTATTTTTCGATACCTGCGCGAAGAGTTTTTTCAAAATGTTTTTGAGGAAATCATTCGAGATATTCCTGAAAAGGTGTCTCGAAACGTCCCTTGCGCCTTCTCGTTCTCTCCATGTCCCCCGCCGCCCCTCGAGAAAACTTGACGAACCTAACCCAAAAAACCGCAACCCTCCGTTTCCCCGTGACGGCGCCCTAACTTGAAATTCGAAACATCGCGTCGTGACCAGAGTTGGACTGGGTCAAGCATAGAGTGACCCGGTGACCCAGTTAGTTTACTGACCCGGTGACCCAGTTGACCCGATGACCCAGCTTGACCCGGTGACCCGGCTTGACCCAGTTTGACCCGGTGACCCAGTTTGACCCTGT